GGGGGCGCGGCTGCCGGCCGCGGACGGTTTTGCGGATGCGCAATGATTCAAGTTACGACCGAGGTCAAGGACTCAATGATGGAACGAAAAAGTCAAACGCCTTTCGACACACTGAACAGGCGTGGCCCATTGCCCGGGGATTTTGTCGCCGGTGCTCCTAGGGCTTTCAACTGCCTGCGTAAGAATGACCGGTTAGTCCTCCTGAGCCCTACCTATTCCCCCACGAGAAGCATTCAAAGCAGCACAGCTAGGGGGATCCTCCGAGTGCTGCAGACAGGAAGGAGCTCATGAACTACGTCGATCGTGACTGCGTGGGGCATCCATGCTTTGGTGAAGCTGTTGAAGTTTGAGGATACCTTCACAGACGAATGAGATTCTGCAATGCTGCATTCTGGGGACTTCCAATGTGTTCAACATAGAAAGTTTTTCTAAGCACATTCCTTCCATTCTTAGCTGTAGCTTGCGCCTTGTGAGTTTTAGCAACATTGAGTACGAACATTAATCACCTGCCATATGCGAGGGCAGTGAACGGGAGGCGGCAACGGTAACAAAACAAAGCTGAAAACTAGGATCCAGCAGCAATCAGCAGCTCTTCCCCGCGCTTGTGGGACTGAAACCAGCCTTGAAGGTGAGTTGGGAGTGACAATGACACTGCTCAGTTGTTGCTTTGCAAGATGGAGCCTTGCCGCTCCTATCTGCTTGCTGATGTCAGCTTTGCGGCCGCATCTTCAGCACGGTTGACAGCATTGCATGCTTCCAAACCGGCAGTCACAGGCTCCTATGCAAAGATGGAAAGGAGAGGGGGGCTCTGCTTATCACTTGGCTGCCTTTGACTTGGGAGCTAGCCAGTACTCTGTTTGGCAGATGCAAGCCGCCAATGCCGCCACATTCAGCATCTCCTATTTAGCACAAGCTTAGCATTGCACTTCTGAAAGAGGGTTGCTTGGGTTTCAGCTGGGGGAAGTGCTTAGGGGGAGCGCTGAGATCATGGGCGGTCCTGCATATAAAGCCCTGCTTTTTTTATTCAAGGCTGGCACGCAAGCCCGTTGGGGCAGCATGCCTTCTCCTTTGATTGAGTTCTGTTCTCCATCGGGCCAAACTTGCAATCACTCCGGCCCAGGGCTGTGACTGCTGGCAAACCTCCTTACTGGTGTACTCAGCAGAAACTCTTCCGAGTCACATCAGATGAGGTGTTTTTTAAGTACGGGCATTTCACTCATATAGTATGTCACCCCTCAGTCCAAAGTGATGTCATTCCATAGGTTGCAGCTTTTTCTTCAGGAGGCATAATCGCAGTGATACATGGCGCACAAAAATGTCATCAAAAATGCATGAGCTGTCCCTCAATGCAGTTTAAGGAGTGCGCGCTGAGCCTTTTCACTGAGCAATTCCCTTTCGTCCTCGCAGGCTTGTGACCCTTGTGCAACCACTCTGAAGTATTTATTACTGTATAATGGCATCCAAACTCACCAGCGCCCTCCGCCTCTGCTTCTTCTTCCTCGCCCTCTGGATACTGCCCTCCGATGCCTTCCAACCCCGCACGCTATCCCAGCTTCCCCCTGTTGGTGGAGTTGTTAGCGCCCTCCCGCTGCTTTTGAACACCTCCCTCCCCATAAACAACGTCACCGCACTACTGGCAAGCTTTCCAGCAAATCTGACTGGGAACTTGACGGGGCTACTGCTGCCGAATGCTACCGAGTTGGCAAAGATTCAGCAGTATGTGCTGAACGTCACGCGTCCGACGGTTGCGTCGTTTATCGATGGGACGAACACAACGATAGACTGCGTGCCGATCCAGGTGAGAAGTGTCTCTATTTTGTTGCTGACTGCATTCTTATCTATGGCCTAAAGCTTTGGCGGTCGTTCACAAACCCCATAGTTTTGAAGGTCTTGGATTCTCCTGGGTTAGACTGAAGGGTGTCGTGTCGGACTTCGGCTTTCCTATGGTTCAGGGGGAGTGCTCTCAAGCATAGCTGCCAATTTAATGATTAGTTACACACAACCTCTTTGATCAACCAAGGCTGTTGCCCTTCTGTGCCGTTGCGTCTGCCTGAAAGAAATCTTGTAGGCAGATACTTCATGGAATTTTACCCCGCAAGAGCTTTTCAGAAGGTTCTTGAGGCGTTCGTTTGTTTAAGGAGTTCCTTTACAGTTCCCCTACTAGAGTAGAGTGATGGAAGCAAGCACTGACCAATGGGCAAAAACCTGCTGCTCGATTTGTAAAGCACATCTCTGGCGTGTACCTACCAAAGTCTGAGTATGCATGCATGTGTCCATCTCGTAGGAACGAAAAGTCGATCTCAGCACCTTCCCACTGTCAACGTCATGGTACTCCCTTCAAAGACAACTTTTTTCAAGCATTTGTGAGAAAGAGGGTCTAGGTCCGGCCTTTTCAAGGCTATCTCTGTCCCTTGCACGTTTCAAACGTCTGCTCATACTGTCGGGAATGCTGGAATGGCCCCTGCATCGTTGAAGTAGTAATGTCACTTACAGAAATATTAACCCAAAGCCTTCTTTGGTGCAGGCGCAACTCTCGCTCATCAACGCGACCCTGACCAACCAAACCCTTCCGCTGACGCCTCCAGTCGGACCGCGCCTCAACACCACCACTGTGACGTCAGCAGTCCCGGTGTTAAACGGCACCATCCCCAGGATCATAACTCCGGCCGCGAATGCCACGGCGCTGCTTAACAGGACGGGCTTAAATGCCACGTGTCCAAATGGGAGCGTCCCGGTGCCCCGCCTGACGGTCGCGGACATTGCGCGCTTTGGGTCTCTCCAGGCGTTTCTCAACTCGGCGCTGAACAAGGGGCCCCCGCCGAACGTGACGGGTGAGCAAAAAGAGTGTCGCTCTAGTTCTCTGCAGAATTGTACGGAGGGTGCAAAGGTCCCCAAAGGGTGTGAGCACTTTGCACAGCATTCCTTCAGCTGTCTGACGGAGCAACTGCAACCTCGGTGTAGGGAGAATCCGGCGATGCGCCTACATAACTGTCATCTTTTCCGGATCGTTGGATCTTCTCAGTTTGTGAGTTCGTCGAGTTGCGTGGCTACTCCAATAATTCAGGGTTCGACGAGTCATAATCGAATTTCATCCAGTGTTGAATACGGAGAGCCTAAACACCTTTGGAGTCTGTTCCCAGGATCGTTGACTTTTCAAAAAGCCTCTTGTGGCACTCATCTCGACATGTCGCGTCTTTGTTACTCTCTTTATCATGAAACGCTTAAACTCTGAATCCCTTTCAGACGCAGCCATAGCGGCCACCAACTGGCCACGAGGTTGTTGTGCTCGCCCGAATCATTCCTTCTCTGATGCTCATACACTTATAATCTAAAAACCTCAGCCCAAGGACGCAACCACCAGTCTCGACCGTTCCCAGCTGGTCGCTCTCTGAATCTTTGAACACTCTGGCACACAGGAGAAGTCAAAATCAGCTAGATTCGTGTTAGCGCAAACCCTAGCGCCGTTTCCTCTCCCGAGCGCAGCTCCGATTGCCGCCAGCACTTGCCACGAGTTTTCCACAACTACCCCAGACCGGGTTCTAGTCATAATAGATAATTACCTGAAGAATCTAGGATGCCGAGAGCGAATCTAGTGGGAACTTGAAGAGCGTAAACTCCTCATGTCTCGTTACTTCCCATGCTGCAGCTCCGTTTGCCGCCAGCGACGGCCATGAGTCTTCCACCACTAACCCCGACCGATCCTAGTCATGATCGATCAGTCTCTGGAATATCCAAGATGCCGAGAGCGAAGTTAGTGTAAGATTCTGAACAGCATAAGATCCGTCAAATCTCGATACTCTTCTGCCGCAGCTCCGTCTTCCCCCCGCCACGGCCACAAAATACTCCACCAGTACCCCCGACCGGTCCTAGTCATGATAAATCACTATCTGACAAAGCCCAAGATGCCGAGAGCGGATCCTGTGAGATTTAGAAGAGCGTAAAGTTCCTCACATCCCGCTACTTTCCGTGCTGCAGCTCCATCTGCCGCCAGCGACGGCCACAAAGTACTCTTCCAGTAGCCCCGACCAAACCTAGTCATAATACTAGATGAGTATCTGAAAGGTCCAAGATGCCGAGAGCGAAACTAGTGATGTTCCGAAGAGCTTTAGAAGTAAAATCTCGATACTTTTCTGCTGCAGCTCCGTCTTCCACCAGCCACGGCCACAAAGTACTCCACCACTAGGCCCGACCGGTCCTAGTCACATTAGTAGATCACTATCTGAAAAGCTAGTTTGCCGAGAGCGAATGAAATGCGAGATTCCATAGAGCGTGAATCCCTAAAACTCTCGATACTTCCTTTGCTGCAGCCCCGTCTTCCGCCAGAGACGGCCACGACTACGCCACCACCAGCCCCGACCGGTCCTAATCACGTTAGAGATCAGTATCTGAAAAGTCCAAGATGCCGAGAGCGAGTTTAACGTAATAGTTCGAAGAGCTTTCATTTGAAAATCTCGTTACTTCCTTGCTGCAGCCCCGTCGTCCGCAAGCAACGGCCACGAGTTCGCCACCACCAGCCCCGACCGGTCCCAGTCATATTAGTAGATCAGTATCATAAGAGTCCAATACGCCGAGAGCGTATTCAGTAAGATTTTCAGGTGGAATTCCTCATTTGTCGTTTTTTTCCTTGCTGCAGCCCCGTCTTCCGCCAGCGATGGACACGAATACGCGACCACCAGCCCCGACCGGACTTAGTCTTGATAGAAAATTGTCTGACAAATCCAAAATTAGTGTGGATATTTGAAGAGCGCAAATTCGTCACATCTCGTTGCTTTCCTTGCTGCAGCCCCGTCTTCCGCCAGCGACGGTCACGAATACGCGACCACCAGCCCCGACCGCTCCTCCAGCGACACCCCGCCCGCATTCTACGGCATGCAAACGAGCATGAGCGTCTGGGCGCCATTTGTGGACCAGCCCGTCGGGAGCCGCGAGTTCAGCCTTTCCCAGGTGTGGGTCACGGGTGGCACGGGAATCGCTTTGCAGACGATCGAGGCCGGGTGGCAGGTAGGTAGATCCTGTTTGTCTTTTGAAATTCTGGTCTGTGGCTTGAAATGTTGTTAAACCTCTTGGACTTTGATTCTGCCGTGTTTTGAGTCCTGGATTGTTGTGATATTGGTTTGTGGTTTTCTGGTCTGGGCAGCTTGGAAAAGCTAGGTTCTAGCTCGAGTGCGTTCTAGGGTGCGGAGACTGGACCTCAAACCACCGAATCGGATGCTCGGGGCGGCAGATAAGCGGAAGCCCGCCTTTACGCGGGATAAGATGACCGTAGTGAAAGTCCGTGTTAAGGTCCTTCCCTTTCATCTCTTTGGGCCTGTGTGTTGCGAGCAGTGGGTCGAGTCAATGAGGTGTGATTCCGTTCTTTTTCCGTTCCGCTTTGAGAGAGAAGAACGGACCTGCGGATGGACGAGACAACCTGGGCTGGCCCTGCGTTTCTGTAGGTCCCTTCAAGCGATTGCTTGAGCCGTTCGGAATCTTTCATTTGACATCGAAGAACTTAAAATAAGGTCGTCGTGTTGATGTGCGTTTTGCGAAGGCCTGGGGATGACGCGCGATCGACTCTGCTCAATTGACGACTTCGTGAACCTGCACGCGTCTCCGAATTCTACTGACAAATGCAAAAATCTGGTCCAATTCCTGAACCTGGGACCCAGTCCCAAAATCTAAGGAGCCTTGAAACCTCGAAACGATTCCTAACGCTGAGGTCTTTGTCCCAGGTTGACACGGTTGCTTACGGCGACGCGAAGCCCCACCTGTTCATCTTCTCCACCCGCAAGGGTTACACTGACCCGGTTTGTTACGCCGGGCGCAAGGACTGCCCCCAAGGCGCCGCGACTTTCGTGCAAGTCAGCAACAGCGTCTACCCCACGATCACGCTCGACAGCTCCGTTGCCAACGGAGACACGGTGAGGCGCTTCTTCTGTTGCAGATTCTGTCTATTGGTTCTTCTAGTTCCTCTACCTCTTAAGTCTTTTCATTTGAAAAGGCAACATCTTCCACGCAGGACTGGATATCTGGTGGTACGGCCGAGCGCTTCTGCTCCGCCATTCTGGGCCGTTGGGTTTTGAACCCTTTGCCGCCCGCTGGTTTCTTTTTTTCTTCTTTCTTTTTTCTTTCTTTTGTTTTTTCTTTCTCATTTCCCACAGGAAAGAAGGTGGGCGCACCCCTACCTCTACCGGTCGAGGTTCCTTCAGGTAGCCGTACCGACCAGAAATGGTGCCGCCCGCTCGGATCCCCGTTCCTGATCCCCTCGTCAGCTTTGCTCACCTTAGAAACCGTCGATAGGGATCCCCGGCTGTGATCGAACGGTCGTCAAAGGGCATCCAAGCAGAGTCATCCAACGCACCCCCGGCACTCACTTGTAACACTTTCGCTTGCTGCTCATGATGATTTGGACTAATGCATGCAGACTTCGAACTCACTTCTTGACAAATTGATCGCTGAGAATACACAGAAGATAGAAACACGGTGACTGTTTTGTGACTTGCAGGTCCAGTACACGCTCCTCGTGGTGCGCGATTCCCCGACCGGCAACTGGTGGGTCAAACTGGGCAGCGAATGGGTCGGCTACTACCCGGGGAATCTATACACCAGCCTCGCCCAATCCGCGGACTCCGTCGCTCTGGGGGGGGAGATCGTGGACTACGCTCGCCTGCCGGGCGCTCCCCCCGGGACGCCGCACACGAAAACGGACATGGGCAGTGGAGAGTTTGCCGCGGGGCGATCCCCGGCAACCGTTGCGTATCATTACAACATGATGTACGTAGACGAGGATAATAACCTGCAGACGCTCGACGGGATCCAGGTGGTTAACACTAACCCGGCGGGTTACGACCCGGACTGCTACTCGGGGCAGCTGGTGTCGTCCACTACCGGGTCGGAGATCTTCTTTTTCGGGGGGCCGGGGTTCAGCGCCGTATGCGCAATTTAGGTTCCTCGTCTCTTCTGCACTTTGGCGGCCCCAAAGTGATCTCGGAATGGCCGCATCTGAAGGAGAACGGCCAGAGTCTGCACCCCTCCAAGTAACGGTTCCTGATTAGGAGTCCTTACAATCCACTTCAATCAGAGTTTTTGGTTGAGTATACTCTAAAGTGTTGAGGTTTCAACCCAAGAAAGCAGCAAACGCTGTCAGGCTTCGAAGAGGTCGGCTGCGTCAAAGCTTAATTAGACTAGTCGCGTGGACTGATCATGCACACAACAGTTTGCAGATTGACAAACAGTATTTATTGTAAGCTGGAACAACTGACTCCAATCGTTGTCCGACCGATCCGTCCTGGTGTGTCTGTTGTAAGCTGGGACTCCAATCGATTGGAGTCCCAGCTTACAACAGACACACCTACACGATCCTTTACAATCACCTCTGAGGTTTCAAGTGGGCCCTTCGGAGTTAGGACGGTCTCGTGCTAGCCGAAGTTTCGAGCTTCAGAACTAGTTCCGGAACTGTCACGACTGCTAGCTAGCAAGCTTCAGATGTGAGCCACAGATATTTCTGGCCTTTGTCTGATTCGCTCATGTCATGGCGGCCAGCAATACACTATCGTGCACAAGTACAGTACGATTCGTGAGCCTTTATTTACAAAGCAGTTGCTTAACGCACCGCTGCATGCTATAATGGGCCATGAGTCAACGACTACATCATCGATCTGCACCAATCGTATGATTTGATCCTATTGCACCGAACGTTGAGTCGATTATTGTCGGATGTCGCTTTTCGCACGCCGAGTACAAGTGATCCAGAGTCTTAGTGCTGAGTCACGCAAGTACCACAAGGAACACGAGTCTTCTGAGGTCAAGACACTAACATCACAAGCAATTAAGTTCGCTGCTTGATAATGAATCGTTACTGCGACGCTTCTTGCGGTCGTCAGCCTCGATCGAAACTTAACCGGCTCGCCGCAAGAAAAGTTTCTCGTAGCCTTTGTACCCGAGGCGATCAGTGGCAACGAGATTTGGTGTTCCTGAGTTTACGAGTTTCACATTGCGTACGGTACGGACGTGGCGACGCTTCTTCCGGCAGACCTTTGCCCGTCCGGATTGCCGACACAGCGCGGCCCGGCGCCGTCAGAGAAGTTTACGTCTGCCCAAATTGCTTCTGTAACCGACTGGTCATTGCCAACACGAGACGAAGAGTCCTGGTGCTTTGTACGCCGTAGCCACATGCAAATCATTCATCTAGGCTTATCAACAAGTGCACGAATATAAAGGTCGATATCTGGAGGCTTTCAATGGATACAACGCCAGCTCCTCCGTGAGTCGGTGACTTGACATGAGCTGCCGGCCGGGGCCGCCGGGGGGCCGCCACGCCGCGCCGAGAGTCTTCCGTTCGGCCCCAATTCGGAATCAGGCCCGCTTCAGCGTCGGAGTCACCGTCATGCTTGCCCAGATTTAATTGTAGGTGTGCAGCCAAAGCGGATTTGGGTTGTACGGTTTCAATCGTATTGATGGAAGGGAGACTTTCTCCCCCGGCTTTCTCGGCGCGCTTGGGAGCAGCGGATGTCCCTCCAAAAGGGCGGCTCTACACAGGCTTTACAACCATTTTTCATGACGTGACAGCATAAAATGAGTGTTAAGTACGTCGAGCTGCGGGCCGGGAAAGTTCCTTCCGTTTACCTGGTGCAGACTTTCTCGGGTCCCGTCTCCCGCTTGGATGCATGGTTCGACGTGCTGGAGGCTCCCGCCGAGAGTCCCCCTTGAGTTTTTGTTTCCGGTCCATTGAAGTTTACCAACCTACCAATTTTCAATTAAGCCGCAGGGGAGACGATCGACTTGTTCGAGGATATAGGGACCTGTTTGAAGCTCGATCACATAGTCACATTCTTACAACGAAGAAAACTGAAACGACAACCCAATCAGACGACAGGCGACTCTTCATTTGTGCAGATACTACGTCAGGTAGCAAGACGGCGGCGACCTTGCACAGATACTTCCGTATTGTGCAATTAATGGCGCGCTTCTTGTCGAAGAGAATGCTACTGGCGAGCCTGCTGATCGGAGCAGCCTTCTTAGCGGCCGGAGTAAGGCCTCCAGGACCTGCAGTTTATCCTCTGGCCGTCTTTGTGTATTTAATTGAATGATGTTGAGATCAACTGTTCTAATGCCTCCGAAAAGGATAACAATGGCGCCGACGGCACTCTGCAATCTACTGCCTTCAAGTTTCAGCCTTGGAGCATTCTGAATCAGATATAGGTTAGTTAGGTTGCTCTGGCATCCTTGACGTGACTCGGTGCTTAACGATCTTGCGCCCGTCCCTTGTCGGAACGAAGTAAAGGTTTTCACAAACGATACCCCTCTGAGGAAGAGGAGAGGAGCGAAACGCGAGCTTTTAAAAAGTGACACTTTCTTGAGCTACTAGATGGTATTCAGGTCCATCTTTAGTTGATCTGGAATACGCGCTAAACGACGAGTCTCCCCAGATTCTTGGTAAGCTCCATGAGATTTGCCCGGCCTCATTTCAGGCAACCTCATCATCATATCTATTAGCTTTCTAACCGTCGAAAACAACCCATGACGATTTTTCTTTTTCTAGGTCAAAAGCTTCGCTTTCCTCGCGCGAATATGAGCAGACTTTTGGAAGAATTTGATTTGATCTAAGACTGCCCTTCCGGCATATTTCAGGCTGGTTACGTCGTCAACCCGGACGAAGCCATCGCCGAGATGACGTCACAGCTTGAATCAGCTGGTGACGTCATCATAAGCTACCTCAGCTCTACGAACATCTTCACAGACTCGAGCGGCACTAGTACGATGGTTTTAATCACATGCTCCACGTATGAATCCGGGAAAGTTTCCTGCTCAAAGAACGGGTTCCAACCCTTTGCGCATCTCCCTGGACGTGAGTTACAGACTTTAAGAAGATTGGTAGTGGAAACGTCACCTCCGTTTGCAGTTAAAAAGGGACTCTGGTTGTGATCAAATCAATTGCTGCAGTGCGATTGGCGGTTGAAGTCGGAGGAATACAGGTGTTTGCAGTTGGTGAAGGTATGATAACAACACAGGGGGGGATTGGTCAGTAACCTGGGTCCGTAACCTAGGCCGCCCAGGTTGTGGCCCAGGTTACGGACCCAAGTTGTCAACAACCGGGGCAGCACCTGGGTTGTTGTGATGCAAAACTAGTTGCGCCAAGGTTATGCGCAACCGAAGCGCCCAGGTTGTGGATAACCAGGGCAACACCTAGGTTATACATCAACTTTGACGTGAGTTGCGTCACAACCTAGGGTGGTTGTGCTCAACCAGGCCATTCGTATGTTTATGTATTTAGCTTGAAACCTATTCACAGATCAAAAGTCGCATTAGTAGAGTGGTAACGTGCTTGATTCTCGCAGGTAGGCCTGAGGGCAGGGGTTCGAGCCCAGTTTACATCAATGGCCCAGCCCTTTTTGTGCCTAAAACAGCCCTGAAACTTACTAAAATAGGCACTTTTTTCGTTCGATTTCCTCCGCTGCAATTTGGAAACCAATGATTCTGCCCCTCAACAATGCTTCAGGAAGTCTTCGGCTACACGTATTGTCGGTTTCCAGATCATCAACCTTCTTCGAAACGGCAAAAAGGCATCGCAAAGTTTCATATTTCTACTTCCTTCTATGTGGGTTATCATTAACCTTGGTGATAGTTGTCCGGAACCCGGGTCAGGGTGGGTTGCGAACAACCTGCCCCGGTTATTCTGACACTCAACCTGGGTCCGGGTTTACCCAGGTTGTTGCCCAGGTTATGCCATAACCTAGGCAACAACCTGGGTACAACCTGCCAAGGTTGTTGACCATTCCCCCCTGTGCAATGTTTGTGCAGAAACCCGGCGCACCTAATTTCGCTTGTTTTCTACACAACTCCGCGCCATGCACTTTTTCCGCACCAATGGAAGAGGCTACGTGCAACAAGCCAACCTGGATAAACGAGGTCCTTGTCTTTCTTTCCTTGCCAGACCTCGCGCGAGTTAAGTTTTTAGGGAAGGACTTGACATCAGGTTCCGCTTCTGAAGTTCGAAGTAGCAGCAGTTGAGGTCAAAGTAAAAGCTTGAGAACCTTAGAAGGCCCGCTCTATCTATTTCATCAGAAGCTTCTCTTCAAAGGATGCTCGCAGAATAAGCTTGCAACTACTCAACTAGCCATACTTTCTATTCCTCCTGCTCGGGTTTTCTGTATCTTCCTCCTGGTCTCACGTCTTGCGATGTTGTCCTTTGACGTACAGAGTGCTTCACCAATTCTCTGAGCAGTGCGAGCAGCGTTAACGTCACCCTTTGTTACGGAGGTACGTACCTTCCACCTGAGTGGAGCGGCGGCACCAACACTTGTTGAATTGGCTGCTCGGCGGAGCCCTACTCTATTCTAGCTCAGGGCGCACTTATTATATTCCAACCTGGCGTACATCATGAACTGAAAACAGAGGATTTGGTACATCACACGTGTACTGGAAAGTAAGTAGATTGATGTAGGCTAAAGAGCAGGTCGAAAGCCTGGCGTGGACGGTTGTGTTGGCACTGCGGTGCTGTTCGAGCGAGTCGAGCATGTGGTGGATCGATCGTGGGTTTGCTAGGCAGTCACCGGATAGAACCGATATCGCAGGCTATATTAAAGAACTTCGAAATTGCGTGCAGCGCAGGGCCGGAGACCTATAGAACCGAGCTTCACTTATCCATCAGAAAGAAGCAAACGCTGCAACTTGACCATATCGCCGGGCTGGATAAGCTTAATTCCGAGGTCTCTGAGACGTCGTACATGTTTTTATCCCTCACACCCGGCACGTCGTCCACGTGCGTTACTCGCATGCTCAGCTTATGACGTCATCCTATTTTCTAGTAGATTGAACGCAAATGGAATGTGCGCCATGCTATGTTCAATCTCAACGACAGCCCTCCTTGTCCAACTCGGATTTGTTTTGGTCTGACAAACAAACCATTCAGTCGATTTGGTGGGTCCCTGTTTAGTTGTATAATAAGCATCAACTTCACCTTAAGACCGATCTTGCGGCCTTTTACAAAAAAGTTGGTCGACTATGCGAGTGGATAACACAAGAAGTCCTCAGACCCGAGCTCAGACCAGCAAAGTAGATTGCCCGCCGCTGATCTACTCCGTCGAGAAACTGATCCGACTTACGTCGGCGTCAGCTTGTTTGCTGACTTGATCTCGCTACTGGGTTTTTAACGTGATAACGTCCCAGCCACACCCTTGAGTTCTGATGGCACTCTCAATTCTGCATTATTTTGTGCAGACCGCATTGCTTCTATTTCCTTTCTAACAAATGATGTCCCCAGGCCAGCGACTCCCCAGCATATCCCTAGCAAATGTTGACATCACTCGACATGCTCGTACCTACTTGGTGATTTGCAAGTTTGAGGACCTGGTACGTTGGGAAAAGCAACTCACGGCTGCCCATCCGGGTCCATGCCCTGACCGGGCCCTGACTGAATATTGCGTGGAAGGAGAACGTGGACCAGATTCGCACATTTTGGACCCTCCCAAGCTTTAGTACCCTGTGGACCGCGCGCGGGGCCCGGGTCGGTGAGTCCGGGGTCCTGAACTTGCTAAAGTTCGTACCCGGTACAGTGTACCTGAACCGCTTAAACCGCTGTGGTCTGTGGGAGGCACCGGGGAGCGAGTGCTGGTCCCCTGCTGGCCCCAGTGGAGCCGGGAGGAGCTACATACGGTACGTTGCGCGGTCCTGGGTACACACCGGTGGGGGTCTCAAAAAGTCCGAATTTGGTCCACGTTCTCCTTCCGCGGGTTCTGACTCCTGGCCTGCTCGGACTGGTCTCGTCAGGCGCCAATACCTTTCAGCGATGTGCGCGCACAGAAACTCTGCTCGATCTGGTACGTTAACCCAAGTAAGGTCGGCTAATCGACGGTTCAGAAGCGTTCGAAAGTGCGCAAGTACAATTTCAGCTGGACCGTGAAATATTATTAGCTGCTTTCTCAGTCTGCTCGCGCTGGTTGACCAGCAAACCCTTGATCAGATGGATGCCGGCTTATCTTTGCAAGCTCGTCTTCTGCGAAGTTCTGGCCGGTGCATTAAATCCTTCTTTGGCAGAGATGATAAGCTGGTTTTGGAAGATCAGCTTCCAGGACAATGCGGAAATTGCTGCCTGTACTGGCCCGGCCAGCAGGAAGGGCATGGGGGCATGGCGATCTTAAAACTTCTTCATTCAAACAAAGCAATTGTTATTTAACAGGACAGATTGATGAGCAACAACCAAGATGTGCAGACTGTTTCGCTACAGTCTGCAGGCTGTAGTTTTCTGCAAGAAGTTCAAGATTGACATGGAGCTGCAACATTGATTGCCAGATAGTAAAAGGTGGGCTCCCTGATTGAGAGTGTCTGGTGAGAACTCTTTTCAGCGCCCGCCACAGCATTCTGTTTCCCCTACTGACTCTTTCAAGATGGTCCACAATGAAGCTGGGCAAGTTTCACAATTGTAGGCAAGCTGTTGACAATTCAGTAGATGTGACAGCGACCTTTGGCTCCTTTTGCTGGATCCAGCGTACAATCCACAGCATTGCTGTGGAGGCAGCTACAAGCTCGTTATCAAAAACCTTGAAAGCTCCCATGCACTCGTGACTGCTTTAGCAAATTTTGTTTCTTTGTTTTGTCAGCATTGAAGTTTCCATCAGAAGTGACATTATCATCGAGCTCGCCCAGCTCATCGAATCTCAGAAGGTGGTAGATTGTAGATCTGGAGCAGGGTGATTGGCTCATGACTCATCTTGTTCGCACAAAGAGCTTCTCAACACAGAACTCTGGGGTTCTGTTTAGAGGTGGTGCGAGCCTGTACTCATTCAACTCCTAGTCAGTTAACACCCCTGAACAATTTACCGTGCGCCTGTACTTGCTAACGGGCCACCCTGGAAGATTTCAAACCCATCTGTTCCAAAGGCTTAATTTTCTAATAGTACTATCTTGCCTTGAGTAGACATAATAAAGCTGCAAAAGCCTGGGGCTTCGCTGGGGGGAGAATTGGGAACCTTTCTTCCCGTACAGGGCTGGCACAATGGCCGAGCCTACAATGGTGCGGCTAAGCCTGCGGGCAGAGCCAGCGGAGCCAGTCGCGGCCCTCGAGCAGAGTTCTCCAGAGGACGGTGCGGCGCCGGAGAAGCAGGAAACCGCACCGGCCCCGGGCTTTTCAGTCAGCTACAGCGTCCTGGGGCAGCCAGAGGGGCAGGTGAGAGGGGGGGGAGGGTGGCAGGCCCTTGAGCCACCATATTTCTGGTGACACATGGTTGTCCTCCTTTCAAGGTCTTGTTTGCAATGATTAGCTGTGGCGAACTTTGGGTCCTGAGCCAGGCAAAGGACCCAAAGTCCGCCACAGTGTGGATGGAACACGTAGATGTTTGGCAGGTTCCTTGAGACCCATTCTCGTATAGCCTTTCCTGATCAGCAGTCCGAATGCTTCAGGATGACAAGTTCAATTCTGGGGAGAAATAGCAGGCGGAAGTCCTAGGGTGTCCCCTCGGAGTCCAGTTTCCGACAATTCCGTTTTGAGCGGTCTCTGCCACCAACTCACAGAGGACGCGCGCCGCACATGATAACCCTGATTAGATATCTTGTCACGGGCAATGCTGACTTCCGGCTCCTCTCCCAGGCGGAGGCCCTTCCCGCGGCTGCGCAGACGAGCCTTGTCTGGGAGAAGGAGCTGCCGCTAGTCGTAGACGAGGTGAGAGAGCGTCCGGGTTGCATGTCGGCTCTGGCCCACGAAAGGAGGATCTTCCAGAAGGAAAAGCAAAACAGAAGACGCTGAAAAGCATATACAGCAAGACTTTGCTGAGACACCTGTCCACCCAGCGGCAACTTTAGCCCCGAAAGCTTGTCACACCTTAGTTCGTTGTTCCTTTGGTGTGAGCATCTTTCGTTCCTCCAAAACAACGGGGATGTGTTGTCTTCAGGCATTCGTACGAACCGCCGCCGCCGCCTATGGCCGCGTATGCATCTGGCTTCGCCCCGGTTCTGACCCCCCCCCAGCAGCGAAGCCCCCACCGGGGGCCAAAGAGGGTTCCAAAGACAGAAGCCAATCCAAAAGCGGCAAGGGTGCGGAACCCCCCGGAAAGGGGGAAAGCTCTAATGAAGCCAAGGCAAGTGGCAAAGGAGCCCCAACTCGCTCAACGAGCATCAAACCGGGGGGCAGTAAAAGCGTGTCCCCGGCACCCCCTGTAACTTCGAGCCCGAGTCCGGAACTAGGAGTGGGTAAAACAGAACACGGGGGGTGCGACGGGGGGCCTCCGAGGGGGTGGGGAGAAAAGGAAGGGGCTTGTCTACTGGTGTTGGAGGCGGCCCCCTTGTTGGCGAATCGGATGCACGTGGAGCGAAGTTTTTCGCTCGAGGGGGGTGCGCCGCAGCTGGATTTGAAGGGGGGGCTGGGGGTGGAAGCGGCGCCGTCGCTGGCGGGGGCGCTGAGTGTTGCGGGAGTGCTGAAAGGGTATTCGAAAGTGGTCGTGACGGCTACGCTTACCCAGAAGCTGCTCCCAGGTACGTCTTGATGACGACTCACGTTCGAACGAATATGGTATCAACAACGCCCTTAACTTCTAACAAATGAAGAGAGTCGGGAGGAGTCCGTCCGTCCGTCCGTCCGTCCGTCCGAGGCATATAGTATGCGGAAACAGGCAAAGTTGGAGACGGCAAGAAAGACGACCACCTGACTACAGCGGTTTATCTGAGGACGGCGAACGATTGTCGAAGGAGGCCATTCCTGCGGCGGTTGCCAGGAGATGGCGTGTAAAGGACCACTGCTCGCTACTCATCTTTCTCACTGTATAATAAACGGCAGAGACCTTATCGATATCCTGTTCCATCAATGACAAAAGCAGACACGACTCAGAGAGAGCACCCAGGCGGCTACCTGCTTGCGCTCCAACCCGACCGAGACTTCGTATAGCTGGCCGTTGGCAAGAATAAACCAACCAAGACCCATCAACCTTCTTTTTGGGTCCACAGATCCAATAGCCGCGGCCCTGAACCCGGTGGTCTTGACACCGCTCCGCCTATACTCGCTACCGGACCAGCCTGCGTCAGCCCACGCCCTTGACACCTTGTGTCAACCGCCCCGAGTGGAGCTCCGGCTTCCCGGCGTCCACAAGGCCTTCTCTCGCAGTGAGCCATATAAACCCCATTCTTTGGAGGTTCAAGCCGATATGCTGCAAGCAAAAGGCGTGTGGCCCTATGACGTAAGTCAGAGGGTTGGTCTACTGTACCGGTTCGCCGTTTGAGCTGCACGTTTTCTTCGACCTGTGACGATACGGTTGGGTACTGTAGGGCGCTTTCAACGAAACAAAGGCCTTTGTCGAACCACTGGGGTTGTTTGTTTCTTGGAAATGCAGGGAAATTGTCCTTGGTGCGGCACTGATCACCGCTGAAATCAAGTACAGTTGAGGGACTGTTCCTTTCATTCCCTCGTACTAGTCAGGGGCACAGCATTCCCTAGATCCTGAATTGCTGACTCTCAAATTGGCCGCTTCTGCAGCTGCAACGTCGCTCCCTTGGCGCGCGCCCTCCAGCTCGCCACGTGGCGCCTCCTCGGTGCCCCTCCAAGTGCGGGACGCGGTCTTCGACGGGCCGCCGTGCATCCTGCTCGCAGGTAGCCTGCTGCGACGCACCCTAAGCTTTGCAATAGGTCATTTGATGTTGGACGAAGTTCAGAGGTAGAAGAGCGAGCGTTCAGGCGTGCTCTGGGTGACTACGTTTGCTTCGTCATCGAGATCCTATGTAAGAGCCGTATTCAAAGCAAGCCTTTGAACGGCGTTACCATATCCTGGTTCTTGAGGGCGTACCCTCGGTTTCTAAACAGCGTGTGCCTATCATTGCGGCCAGAATTTTCAGCCTCGCGATTTGAGAGTGTGCCTTCGGCCGACGTCGCTACCTTTAGCTTGAGCAGGTTGACCTGGAGTCTCGTGAGATCTGCTTAACTTCTCTTGCAAACCCATTCGGACTTGCTCTAAGTCTTCACGAAAAGAGCAATACCTCAATTGTGATCAACACGGTTCTCCTCCCTGCCTCTTTCCGCTTTCGCTCTCTCCGCGGACTTCTTCACCAGACAGTTGCCCCAGACTGAACAGCACCCCATGTCACGTGTGCGAAATATTCTCTCTCATACTCATCGCACGGCTCCTTTCTCCAGGCTTGCTGCCGGCCGGCTCCTTGTACGAGGACCTGACGTCAGCCCCTCTAGAGGTCCGCATTCTGGACCGCAGCCTTTCCGCCCGGGGGAACGCTCCGGCCAGCCCCTCGCCGGAACCAGCTCAGGTCAGTCGATTCAACCAATATCAGGAAGTAATCAGCGAACCTTTCTCCTCTTCTATAATTGGATACCTCCACCACTTGCGACGGTTTCTTGTTGTTGTTCCTCTCCTTCCCTCCCGAGAATCTGCTTCAACTACCGACTCTTATCTCCTCCTGATTTCGCTGCGGGGTCCGATCGTCACTTGAACGACCGTCCGTGACTACTGGTGGCCTCAATGATTAGCCCACATACCAGACAGCGACTAGAACTACCATCGCAGAATGACCTATCTTCAGAACGAGCGGTGCCTCCTTCTTGTTGATTCCCGAGTCCCTTCCTTGGCCACTGCAACTGGCTTTCCCAAGGATAGCCTGCAACTGAAAGTGACTCCAACATAACCCAGTAATCAAGGAACTGTTCTAACCCTCCAGGCACCTTCCCCTGGAGAGACTCCGCCACCCACAGCCGCCCCCGCAAACGCCACGGGCGACCGCCCGCGCCTTCCCGACAGCTGCGGGGTCGCCCGCTTATCGCTCTCCGAGCTGTGCCGCGGCGAGGCCGACGTCAAAACGCGCGCCCCCGTGTACCCGGTCGGCAGCGCGGCCGCGCTCGCGGCCGGGGAGGAGAACGACTGGCGGACCCGCCCGGGGCTCTACATGCAGGTGCGGCATGGTTTAGGATTAGGGTATTATGAGATCTGAGATTCCCGATTGCTGCCCGCAGGACTTGCTGACTTTCAAACCGGTCTGAGATGCTCCTGATGCTTCCGAGCCTGTCGAATCTCGGGACGTGCGCTGTACTTGATGCCTCCCCATATACGGACGGTTGCCAAGAGCTTCAGAAGATCAACTGTTTCCACCATTATGGCAAAGTGAAACGGTGCTTGCATTTCTGCACGGCGTTCAAGGGAGACCGAATCTTTTTTGCTTGCCCAGTCCACCAAAACAGAATGTTTCTCGCGGAAAGGGCCATGATGGCGCCAGTCTCAACACTTCGTGAACTGCATTGTTATGCGAATGGGGAGATGCGCAGAGCAATCTTTACGATCTGATTAGAAAAGAGCTTCTGACAGTACACACATTTCGCAGGCGGGATCAAGCATTGCTCTGAGAGTTGAGGCGGCGGTTCCGCTGGCGGAAGCACCCGGAACGACGCGTCCGTTCGGACGGATCGTCGTGCGGTTGGCCTATGCGGACGGGCCGGTCCTCAACGCTGTGCTGGCGGAGGTGAGCCCGAATAACCCCTGGATAACATGATCTCGGTCAAGTACAGACTGACCTCTTGGATACATTCTGGTTAAGGCCTGGTTCTTTTTAACCGAGGAATATGCGAAGCAAACTCTGGAGGAAGCTTGAATTCGAATTTGAACGACTCCTTTCTGATTAGTGGCTGCCCCGTGGCCAAACGCACCCCTAGTTAGCCGTCTCGTCTTGGGCCTTTCGTCGGACTATGAAACCATGAAACCCTGATTGGAAAACCCCAAAACCCCATTTCGTTGATTCGGCGGTCCATCTTACCTGAACACAGCAACGAGGGAGACGAATTTGCGACTAGCAACCAAGAAACGCGTCTCGCTTCTGTCCTTGTCGTTGACGACGCTGCTACCGCGAAGAAGCAAAATTCGCGATGTCGCAAAAGCCGCAATAATAACGTGGGCTGCCTACAGATGGTCGAGTGTTTTTCCCACACGCTCACAAACACCCGGGCCGACCGCGGAGTAACGGGCGCGTCCGGCAACGAATGTTTATTAAAAAGTCATTCGATCCCCGTAATCAAGCAACCGCTTAAAACGAGGAACCAGCATTTTGGCAGGTCGGTGCCCTCTGAAGAGCTGACCCGATGTGACAAGCGCCTTGACTGGAAATCTCTGTATTCAAACCACCACTCAAAACGAGGAAAGAGCTTGTCTGCAGATTCGATGCCCTCTGGAGGGCTGACCCGTTGACGGGCACGCTTCCCAGACCGAAACGTTTTCAAATTAGTAAAAGTTTGTAGAAATCAGTGAAAATTGTGTGATCGCAGGTGCGCGCGGTGAACGCGGCCACGCTGCGGCTGGCGGGCGAGGAGCGGCACGTGCTCACGACGCTGGCGACCATGCAGCTGACGCCCGCGCAGCAAACGTCGCCCGAACTCGACGTCATCACCGGACTCCAGGCAGGCTCTCATCTCTCCGTTAACAGCTTGACTCATTACATTCTGCATAATCCGGGAAATCACCTACCACAGATTATAGGCTTGGGAATAGGGCTTGGGAATAGCGTCCTTCTTGGTTGCACTAAAGCCAGAATTCGGTAGCCCCTCTCTTCTCCAGTATTTAAAACGGATAAAAGTCTACGAGGGAGGCAGCCCAAGTACTACATATCTGAAGGAATCGTCAAAAGTGGCGTTCCTTGGAAGCCTTTTGCTTTAATGCTGTGCAAAGAAAGCGCCTGAGTAAGTCGCGGGAAGTGAAATGCAAGTTATGAGACCAGATGTTATACGGACGCGACTTTCAAACTCAGAAAGCGGTGCAACAACATGAAGCCTCGCATTCTCATCTCCAGGTCATCGACGGCGAGATACGGCTGTTGCTGTTGGAGGGCCTCCGCAGCGGAAGCTATCCGCGGCTCGAGGCGATGCTCCGCCGGGAGCAGGCGGCCGCGCCAGAACCCTTGCACGTGCTGAGCAACCCGGACGTAGGGTTTAGGGAGCGGCTGTACGGAACGCTAGGGGCGGACGTGCAGGTGGGGATGCGAGATTTCAAAGTTTTTTGTGAAATGCGCGTTCTTTTTTAAAAGTTGGTTTTGAAAGGTTGCTTCTTTCAGTCACGCGCCCTGGGTTGAAGGGGTTCGCAGCTTCTGAGAAGCAGGCGTTTCTGGATCTCTTAGCTGAGACTTCGTCTAAGCTCGATTGCCAGACTGAGAACCTAAGTTCGCTAGCGCCAACCAACTTACAGTACTAGGCATGTCGGTTTGAAAGGCTGGGTAGTATTCGCTAAGTGCACAATCTGACGTTGTACGAGTCCCGATACTGCGAATCCACGGTAACATTTGGATTACAAGTCCTACGTCTTACAGCGAAGTGCGCTGCTCGTATTCCTATTGAGAACCCTGTGTAGTTTGCGAGGGACCGGTTACCAGAAGTTCTGAGAAGTGCTGTTGCTGGTTAAATGAAGAGTCTAGTCTCGTTTCACACGCAACCTGTCTTCTAGTTTTGTCGAAGGGGAATTCGGGGATGAAAGGTGACTCTACGCGTTGCTTCTTGGAAGACAAGACAAAAGCAGACAACGAAGAGGAGAGGCATTGGGTCCCACTTGATGCATCACTTAGTTCTTGCCCTTGGCTGCGCTGAAAGAAATAGATACTTTACTTCCATGGCAAAATATCGTTGAAGAAGTGATCGACGGAAGCGGCTTCGCGCTGCTGATGAATGTACAGAGTAGGTACCGAATTGTGACCTGCGTGCCATACTTTTGCAGCCGTTCAAGCTCCGGGCTTCGCTCGCGCACATTGCGAGCGATCCAAACGGTGCCATCGCGGGGCGTCTCAAACCGGAGTGCCACGAGGGGGTTATCCGACTGGAGGCGGTGAGGACCGACCTTCTTATCGTCTTTTACGCTTGACCGATAACCCTTAACCCTCCTTAACTCTTTATTTACGCAGTCGCAAAGGACCGTTTGGCTCCTTAATCTTGACGAAAGGGAAGCTTTTTATGAAGGTCCTTTCACCGTTTGTTAAAGACTCGGCACGAGTCCCACGGTATAGAATCTCTGAATCCAGGTTGCTCAAAGAAGTTTTAAATGACCACTTTCGGATTTTGAATGATGAAGGAGTGCATGTGTACAATCCCATCGTGCAGTCTTGTTGATTGAACGCAAAAATACTTACCTGCTCCTCACCCGAGGCCACCCCAAACCCCTTGCTAGTCAAACCCGTCCCAGTGTGAAAAGTGAGCGTATCGTAAATACTCTAGAAACAAATGTGAACCCCAGAATCTGTCTTCCAGCTGGCGGGGATGACTCGTCTGCGCAAGGCGGCGCCAATGTTCCCGTCCGCGGTTATGGTGGAAGCCGTCTACCGTAAGTACGGCGGGGAGCTGACGTCACAGGACGTCACCGGCCGCCCCGAGGAGCCCACAGCAAACGCTGCCGCCGCCGAAACGTGAGCGCTTTCTGCGCCGCCCATATTCGCACTTCCTTCCTTTGCTTTCTGATCGAGGCTGATGTCAGCAGTATGGCAGCACATAATCACCAGAGAGAGAGCGGTCGGCCAATTCGAGGTACTGAATTTGCGGTCGTTGGTAGCAGGATCGAAAAAGTGGAAAAGTCTTGTCTTTTTCTGTCTATGGGACCTTCCTAATGGAAGCATGCGATTTATCTGTATGATAAACATTGTCATTCATGTTTAACATAACAAGGACTATACGGTTCGAGGTTTATAAGACCCTGAAGGTTCATGAACGTGTTCCAGGTTTCTGGTGGTTCAAGTAAGGAACTCGCTCGCATGGCAAGTCGCCCAAAGCGGCTCCTCTCCCTTCCCTTCTTCCGTTGACGCAAAACTCCTCTGATCGCCACTCATCATTGCTCAGCAGCTCGGCTGACGAGGGAGAGTCGGGACCCGACGCGGAGGGCGGCTCGCCGCGCCGCGGCCGCGCAACCGCGGCGCGCAAAGGCCACACCGACAACACCAACGACGAGTTCATGAGAACGCGTCGCGCGCGCGCCACAAAAAACCAGCACAAGGAAAACCTGGTGAGCATCAGGAAAGGAAGCTTACGATTGGAACTCGATTGGGGTTTGGAAGGGTGGCGTTCATGGAGCGCACGGCAGACTTCCGAAGGACGTAAAAAACCCTTCTTTCTCTAGGGCCTGTTAAGGTATTCACTTTTTGTCGACTAACAACCGGGATTTTTCCGGAAGATAAATACAGAGTATATTCAATGCAGGAGAAGGCAGTGCGGATCTGATGGGCTGGATCGCAATCTAGCATACAATTCTGCACAACGAGTCCACCATCTTCGAAGCTTCTTAGGGTGGATAAGATCGTGTGGATCTGTCTTACATTCGCATTGGTTTGGTTGGACGAACCATCGCCAGTCCAGAGATTTCGCTTTTTTGCAGGATTCTTGAATGCAAAAGAAGGCACTCAGATCAAGTTTGCTTGTCGTTAACAAGCTCTGTTTCTTACGCACTAGTTCTTATACGGTCAATCTAACTTGACGCTCTGTCCTGCCACGTGGCAGGCTAGGATCGGCGCGCTGTCCGAGAAGGCGCACGCGGTGCGCGCTGCTTTGCGCGCGCGCCAAAGAGCAGTGCTTTTAGAAGAGGAGAAAAACACGCCCCGAGAGCGCTCGCCCACTTTTGACACGACCCTGCATAACAGTAAGTCGTTCATGAGTGGAAATCAAGGTCCGAGTGCTGACGAAAGTACTGTGCATATCCAGACGTCGGGTCAAATGGTCGGCAGTCTCAAAGCCGTCGAGAAAGGAGCAATGAAAGAGTTTGCACACACAGCGGTGGGCCCAGCAATGACAAAAAACGTTCTACAATCAAAAGTTGCCCAAAACCTTTGTTTCAAGTCTTCTTTTCAGACTGCTGGGACTGTACCTTGAGACTTGCTGGGCTTCTAAGCGAGCGCTTGAGGTTAAGGATGATGTCACGAGGAATAAGCAGCAGCCTGACTGGTCGCCGTGATATTAGCAACTCAGGAGGGCCGGCGAGTATGGCCCCTGATTGATCAACGCCTTACCACTTTCATACGCGCAACCGAGCGGACTGCGCACTTTTCTCCGGCAATTGGTTGGCTGTTGAGCACAGCATGTATCACATCCATTCTGGCCTCACCACTTCAGCAACCGACACTGAACAGAACGCAAGTTGCACGTTACAGAAAGGTTGACATTTGCTGACGTGTCTCCCCGTGTGCGCGCGCAGAACCCTTCTTCTGGCCCGCTCCGCGCGAGGCGGCCGCGTTCCGGACGTTGCCCAACCATCCCAGCGAGGCGCGCACGGAAGGTCAGGGATTGCTGTTTACCCTTTTGCAGTTGTAGCCCGATTCATCCACCGTAAAAAACTTTAAGATTTTGCACCTGCTGTCAGCCATAATCTGGCGGTTGCAAAAAGGAAAAGCCAGTGCACTCGTGGAAAAGCCACGTGAGGCAGAGATCATGAAACCTCTGCGGACTTCCTACCCACGATTCTCAAGCAGAGGACCCAAACCAGGTGTTTCGCTAACCCTGCTCAAAATAACTCCGATAACTCGACACTAATTTTTCCTGACCATACAGAACTAAATCAGCCGTGGGAAGAACCCCTGACCGCGACCCTGAGCCGGGAGGGCGACCCCGACTCGCTGCCCTTCCAGACCGTGGTCGCCCCCGCGAACGGCGCCCTGTTCGAGCGCGACGGCTCTTTCTTCACGTCCGTCTTTACGGCCGCGGACTCGCTCGCCAAGGTGAGCGTTCTTTCGCCGCTTTGCTTTTTGCTTTTTATCTTGTTAACGTCTCGGTAACTTACTCTGCTTCTTATCCTAGAATGATCTCAGTAGCTTGCTCTGAGTTCCTATCCTAGAGTAATCTCAGTGACTTGCTTATGATCCTATTCTTGAAGAGCTCTCAGTGAAGATGAATCGGTGATATCAAGGAGCCCTCACAGTTGCTGTACAAAGTACAACCAGTCTGAAAACGTCAGATTCTTGAGGTGAACTGGATGGTTTTCCCTGAAATGCAATCTTTCCATCGAAGCTGCATGGCAACATACAGTGACGCGTAGACGAAACGCCTTTCACCCAAAAATCTTCAATCCAAACCAGCTCGAGCCCTTTTGCAGAAGAAGACCATTGGCCGGGACGACAGCAACCCCTCCGGTCCTCGCTTCGACACCGTAACTCCGCTGCGGAAAACCGTGGGTCAACTAGACAAACTGTCGGGCCTGCTGCGCGACCCGCCGCGGAAACCGGGCCTCACGTGAGCCAACGCCCGCTATTGTGCGGACTCGCTAAAATGCAATTTCTCAAACTGGGTTTGATTTTGCTCATGTGCTACACAAATTCTGGTTGCAGGGGACTGGAGGGCAGCGAGTCGCTGACCCTTTTGTAGGGCTCAAGTCGGCCGGCTAGCTTAGCGTGCAATAAGCCCGCGATTACTGTAACATGTTCCAGCAACTGAATCTGACTCTGAGACTCGACCAGTATGGGTCGGATCCTGAAACCCACATTCGAGACCGATTCCAAATCCCAAGCTTTAGGATGATATACTGTAAAGAAGGCTACTCGACCGACATTGAAAATCTTCAGAAGCTCGTACGACATCTGTGAGCTTGCAGCATCGGCGCAGAATCGGGGCAGACGGGGCACCAAAATCCGCTGTCCTCAGCAAGTGTCTTTTCCATCTTTTTTTATCAGCGGTCGATCAAGTGCCTCGCCTCTTCTTAACCGTTGATTTCTGCCTTCCAGCGGGCGCGCGCGCTTGGATGCTTGCCCCGTGTCCGCTCTGAGCGCAGAACCGTACGTGGAAGGCGCCCAAGAGACGGCCAAGGTTGACCCGGCACCCTTTACAAGCAAGAACGTGGACTTCAGGTACGCACCAAGCCGCGGACTAGAAACCACTCCAGCAACCACAATCTTTCCGTCTTTCTCCTTTGGAGCCTTCAATTTCCAGCCAATGATTCCTCCTCTCCGTTGCGCGTTGACCGCGCAGGTAGAAATAGCTTCTCCGAGTTTGACGTCAGTGTTTAGAAGCAAAATCGGGCTAGTACTTGACGTGAGAACGGCCGGGCAGCCAAGCCAAAAGGAAACATGCAGCCCCCGTGCTTGTGCTGAAGCCGCGTAGGCCAGGGTCTCTTGTGACACGTATGAAGCTGACAAAGCGTCTTCATGAAAGACCTGACAATTGAAAAGAGCCGCCAAATCTAAAAAGGACAAGTCGCTTTTGGCAGGCGCCACATTTCCCCGCCCAGGAGTACGGTCGCGAAGCGCGCGATCACCGAGGTGACCGCATCGGAGAAGGCGGCAAACCCCGCGTTCCAGCAAAGCGCCCTTAGAGAGCCCATCCAGCACCAGTCTGTCTTTAAGGTGACGAGCTGGTACGGGAAACCAGCCGCCCAAGAACATGCATGACTGAGGGACTTAGCCAATGGCCGTCCAGCAGTGTAAAGAAGTGGCAGTAATCGAGTCGCCATCTAGCGATAAAAACAAGTGGCAGCGGCCAGACTTGTTTTTGAATGAGTTCGGTTTTCATGAACGGACTGTACTCGGCTGTAGCGCCGGAGCGTCATGTAAATGCAGTTACTAGCGAATGCAGAGCTAGTGACTGATGAAAACTAAACTCATGATGCTCGATGAGGTACTATTGTATGCGTGTCTTGCATTGACACTCGTAAGCTCACCATGAGCTTGCACAGGGACGCATTCGCAACCATAAACATGATTGGGCTGATCACACACCTTCCGTGTGTATATACTCAACATGGTTGGATTGAAATAGTGATATGAGAAGACACATGTTCCGCGCACATGCCCGAATTCGATGGCCGCTCCGGTCGCGAGACATGCACGAAAGCTGCATTATGATATCGGCCGCAATATGGCGCCGGATATGACATCGCGTTGCATGGTACGCGCGTATCATTGTACATTAATTAAGTGTGCGCCGCGCGGACGGTCGGATGTAACGTCGATATAAGCATGCATACCATGTGACATATATTCAATTGAGCACCAATACATCATGCAGTGGCGGCATTATATAGTGATTCCTTGCATGCATGTTCATATCACGTACGCTTGCCGACTAGAGCATGGGCCGCAATCATTTGAGCGCTGGGCCACACTGCTTTGAGTTGGTCGAAATAGCGCATCCGTTACGGCCTTGCAATTGCACAAGTTGATCTCTGAATCCGTCGTTGCTCTTGTCACTATCAAACGAATGAAATGAAAATCATGTTTCGCACGCACGACACCCACCTTGAGAGCAGGCCGGCCGACAAGAGCGATGTCGAGCAGATCAATCACTATACAAGCTCAACTTGACCGTTTTCCAGGAATCCTCTAATCAATCTATATCTAATAATGAACAATTCTCCCTCTGTTATCGTTACAGGATTTTCATCCCCGCTGCAAGAAAGAATGTAAGTTTCAGACCAAACTTCGTAAGGCTTGCAATACAGTGAACAATATTGCCTGCAGTGAGTGTCGACCCAAACTTTGTAATGCTTGCAGTACAGAGAACAACACTGTCTGCCCATGCGGAATGAACGGGCCATTAACGGATTCCTTGTTCGCTGCAACAGATTCATGTACGCAACCAAGGAATGAAGCGAAGCATATCATACGAGGCAAGTACAAGAACCGTAAATCCTCTGCTCAGATGCTCTGCGGAGAGAGAGACTGCACTCACCGTTCGTCTAGCTCTATGAGGCCTAGGTGCTCTTTAGCTCGAGCGAAGACAAAGGTGTCCAAATCCGGCCTTGGTACTGCAACGCTCAGAAGGACGTGATGAGCGAAGTTGGCAAGGGCACGTTGACAGAGTTCAAGCATAAGATTTTATGGAGGCGCAGACAAGGTCAAAACATGCCACATTCGTGAAAAGGCAGACAGAACCTTTCGAAGCTGTTTTTGTGTCAATGCAGAGTCGGTGTATTGGTGAAACATCTGCTGCGTAGTCAGTATAAAGGCACAAACGGGCGAGCAACTTCTGTTTCGGAACCCAGAAAAGCAAGACGAGGTTGAGGGGGCCTTGATATAACCCCAGGATCTCAGGAGGCACCAAGATGGAGATTCTGTCCAGGCAAGCCAGCCGGCCGCCCCAGCAAGGCTGTAACCATGTAACCATGAGGATGTACCGGCCGCAAACACTTCCTTAAGATAAGGCCACCATTCTGGCTTGAAAGTTCAAGGTACCGTTCACCTGGCAGTTCTGAAACCCTCATTGCGCAAAGCCAGCCACTTTAAAACCTTTCGGATGAAAGGAAAGACGCGAGAGGAAACGGATGAGAGCCCTTGTTGCAGATCTTACCCATGTCTGGTTCCTTTCCTTCTGATTCATATTGGTGTAGAAGCTTGTTGTACGTCGCCGGCAGCTCCGACAAGACCGCTCGATCCATGTACTGATCCAACATGTCGCAAAATCTGCCAGTTGCAGAAAATTTGCCCTTACGATCCAACCAACGCGTTTCCGAGTTTGTCAGCGGCAGGACAAGGATAGTGGCACGTTTTTCCGCCTTCGCGAACTTCACTGGGTACAGATACTTGAAGACAAACCCTGCAGAGGCTATTTTGTCGGTGCGCTGGAGGCATCAACCGTAGGTTCTACCTTGATACACAAGATGCTGACTGCTTCCAGGTTTCATCAATGTTTGAGTTCATTGCTAAAAAGTCCAGAGAGTTGGCAATCAAGGAGCGTTCAGAAAATACGGAGCATATCATGCACGTCAAGCTTGGGAGCTAACTAAAAGAGAGGGCGTTGTTGGACTTACTTTTCAAGATAATTGAGTTCTTTTGGGGATAGCCGCTTCACTGAGTCTCCTCCTGCTATGTGAATGGCGTGTTTCTCAATCTGAACAGGGAGGGCACGACTTTGAAGAAGAGACCTTATCACTTCTTACTTTTTAAAGACCAACTTCCACTGGCAATTGCTAAAACATGCAGGTTTCTGACAAGCGGGCCCAAGTGTTAGTCAAAGTGGACTGGAGGTATCTTAGGGGGAAAATGTGCAATCTTACACGGACACTCTGAGACCATTGACCTGCCACTACTTCAAAGGTTCTGATGACTGCCACATGATACGGTCACATTCCTCACCTTTTCTAATCGTGTCCGTAAATATGATCGCATCAGGAACTTTATTCGGTCCACATCTAGCTTGTATAGGGTGACGATAGTCTCAAGGTTTGGGTCACTTTGAGAGTCCTGTATCAACTCTTCCTGCAAAAAGGGAAAAAAGTTCTCAGCGGGGCCATGTGTTAGAAAAGTCTTAACTATTGAAAGCAAAGAGCTGCCATCATCCACAGGATTTTCATTTGAGCAACATGGTCAGATTGCGCTCAGATCCTCGATTCTCAGAGCCCCAATTCTACAGAATTTGAGTGAGGTTTGTTGATCGCAGGAGCTAGACGAAATGTGGATCACTGATCCCTGGATATCAGTCATGACAGAATTACCATCAAAGGACTTTGCCGTAAATCTCCAACGTACACCACCACCGAAGCAGCGCCCCTACCTGAAACTCCACTTGCTCTTTCACCCGCTCCAGCAACTCTTCCTGGTAGGGCAGGATCTCCGGCGCCGCCTTCTCATCTCTCCAAGCACGTTTCAGGAGCTCTCCGTCACTTGTGCTTGCGACATCAGCTTCATCATCCTGTTCTGACGGGCCCCCAAGATCAAAGTCGTCCATAGCACACCCTCCTCATGCAATTCTTGAAGGTAAGTCCACTGTCAAAGTTTCAAAGTGAAAAGAGCTGCCGCTGCTAGCACGCCCAAGCGCTGCAGTTGCCAACCACAACTCTGACAAAGAGTATTTTTCCGAATGAATAGGTCACGTAGAGAAAGAAAAAGTGCTTCTTTCCCACGACGCTTTTGCAATGCGGCCTTTTCGTCCAAGCCAGCAGCGCCTTCTGCGCTGCCACTGCCAGTGCCAGGGCAAAGGAGCCGGACTCAGGCTAGTCCGCGCGCCATGAAAATCCGTGGCCGGAATCAACCGGAATTGCGGAAGCGAAGGGAGGCCGGAACCCAACGTCTTGGAATTTCAAATTTCCAATTGTGCAGATTGCAATGCCATTGCTGGCATCAGCTGCATTTACACCATTTTGTTGAACAGACTCCACAATCTGGAGTCTCCTCACATCTGCTGTCTTCTGCGTCTGTGCTCCCAGCTTGCCGCCGCCCGCAATCACGCCAACTGCTTGGATCGTTGTTCCATGATTCCCAGCCGTCAGTGAAAATGACATGGCGGACGTCATTGGGGGCAAGGGTTTTAGGGCCCTGTGAGAAGGCCCTCTTTCTTGAATTCTTTGAGCTCTGGTGGGACTCCAATGACGGTTTTGAGCACATATGGTACCGCGTAGCTGCAAAACCATTCCTTTTGTTGACCAAAGCGCAGAAGCACTCTGTCGTTGAGGAGGTTCTCGTACACCTTCTCGGCCCTACAGAAACCTGCCCGGAGTTGACGGCCGCAAATGAGAGTTGTATATACTCCTGCTACTCATATATGCTTGATATGGAGTTGGAGATGAAGGCGGAAGTATATGGAGAAGGCATCCTTCAAGCACTTGAAGAGCGCGGCTGTACCATCAAAAAGACTGGAGCTGGAGCTGACAAGGTGGAGGACCTCTCTAATCCTGCTCAGAAAGGTAATCTAGAGCCAGACGAGGATGATGATGATGACGCCAACTGGCCGTACATGGGTTGCGAGGAGGAGTGGAAATGGGACTCGGCAATTGAGTTTTTGGCTGACTCTATCCTTTGGGACCGAGACTGGGTCCTACCTTTTGTCCAAGCAGACCCTGAATTGATGAGGTCCGTGGACATAGACCGAAACTATTTTAGGATGCCCCGAGCCAAAACAGGTGCAATAAAGCGGGTAGAAATGTACCTTGGTTCGTTGAGCCATTGAACAATGCAAAGTAGGGCAAATCAGTCAAAGGACTATTGGGGCCGCTACTTCCTCATTCTGTAGATTTGAGGGACACCATTATGTTCATTGCACATCTTCCTCTTCGCATAACTCGACACGATGGTGTTAGTTGCATAGACCATTTGTTTGGTGCATGATGCTCGTGTCTGGTAGAACACTGCCACTCGAGCCAAAATCACGCAGTTGATGTGCTTCATGTGACCCTTCAAGGTTCCAGTTGCTATGAGCAGATGTATACTTGCTCCTTTGCGTACTTTGTTGAAGCCGACTTGATGGTTCAAAAGGTTGGATGAAAGATTGGAAACGGTTACTTTTGTTGAATGCGGATTCAGTGACAGCCATCATTACGCGGGCTTTATTTAAGGACTCTCCGTTGTGACTCAGACAGCATTTTTATGCAAGAGCATGATTGCAGAACACTGCAACACAGGTCCAGTCCAGTAACGCCGATTTTGGAGCGGCCAGCTGCCATGTGCATGTCCAAATGCACAAACTTGAAGGACGCCTTGGTATACTCATGCACGTTATAATGTGATCATAGTACTGGTATATGCAAGACCCTTAATTCTAGCTACAAGTTGCAATTATATTCTCATGGTGCCTTTGAATTAAACATATGCGCTGTAGTCGATCGCATGCACAAGAAAGCTCTATACGCACACGTACTTGAAATCCTCATGCAATTCTCATGTGCATCAGTGCTGCATGCAGCAGATTGCATGATCATGCATGCAAAATTCGATCTTCCGCGAGCTACTATGATCGGGCTTTCATGGCGCCTTTCAAGTTTGGATGGCACGTACATAAGCTGCAATGATCATGTATAAGACATGCATAGGTAAGCCGGTGCAGGTTTTGGGCAAGGCGCAGTTGCACGACCTGCCGGTTGCTACAGTGACTCACATTTCACCAGATATGGAACATAGGAGTTGTCGACACTATGCGTGCTGCATCAGTTCAAACTTTCCATGATCAACCGGCCATGTATCACTTCTTCGTCCTGGATAGCTCCTTCATCTCCTGCTTTATATCCTTTAGCTTCCTTAGCAACTCCCCTTTCCGCGGGTTCTCTGGTTGCCGCTCGACATCGCCAAGCATTCTCTTGACGAGACCCGCAAAGTAACCATCTTCTGACTGTAAAAGCGAGAGGTCTTCTTGGAAAATTGCATTTCTGCCGGAGGAGTTCTTCTCCCGGAGCAACCTATTCAGCAACCGAATCTCAGGCCGTAGCGTCTTCTCTTTTTCAGCAAGAGCCACCTTGAGAGTACTCTCGAGCTGATTCACGACTTCAGCGTTGCCCTCCTTCTTCGCCTGTCAAAGAAAATTGACTTCCGTGAAAATGCATCGACAAAAGCGAAGAGCCGACAGTTGGAATGAATGTCGTGAAGGTCAATTGGACTTCACAGCATGATGCTGTAAACTCGAAGGCAGCGGAAGAAGTGAATTCTGAAAGAGACTCAAGACCCCAAACTTTCAATACGTTCGTCCGACAGTAGTCATCAGTCGAAGCTCAGGGGGAGACTCTGTTTTGTCTTGTACGAGTGGCTCCACGAATGGGCGCAAGAGACACGATCACCGCACCAGTCAGACTCTACAGAGCCCCTCAACAATCCCCAAAAAGCGCCAAGAGTTTCAGAGTAATCAATGATTCTCGTCTTGGAAGGCGGGGGCAAGTACGACGTGATTTTGTTTGTACAGAGGATTAGGACTGCGCCTCCCCAAGGGTTCTTGGCAGGTGGACAACTGAAAGGCAAGCCTCCGACAATCGAGCAATCAGCCTTCGACAGGGCCCCAGGTCAGAATTATTCACACCGAGCCAGATCGCTAGCAACAATGGATCCGTTTCCCGGAGTCTGTCACAGCGATTGACTTGGATATCCCAACAATAATCAAAGCTTGTGTGCAATGAATCAAGCTCAAGCCGTGCATCGAGCAAGGGTTCGCCAGGCTCCAAACGGCCATACCATTCCTTAGCAGACCTGCCGACTTTCGACAACCAGCAAACGAAGCACCTTTTGCGTCTTTAGTTTCAAGACGTGAATGAAGAGCGAGCTGGTGAGGGAAATAATGAACAAGTAAAGGAGAAGAAAGCGCGAAAAAATGAGCGGTGAGAAGTTTGGAACGTGACTTCAGACGAACGAAGGAATGCGTAAGAAGGACAGAGAGAAGGAGAGGGTCCGCACCAAGTCTAGGTATGTGGACGCAATCATGAAGAACTCTTCGGAAAGAGCGTGCACGTTTTCACGCGCCGTGGCCTGAAGGTCCTTGGCCTGTAGCAGCTGCGCCAACAATTGTGTCGCTTCTAGTTGGTAGTTGCGGGCCTGCTTGATGGCCTCTGCACGAACCAGTCAAAGAGGCGAAGTGTCATCCATGAACGAGGTCAGTTTGAAACCGCGTAGGATTCTTCAGGCTGGGCGTAATCAAAGGACGGCGATCAAACGTAGGTTGCTATATGAATGCCTCCTTTCAGCTGCCAATTCTTTCATGATTCCTTTGTGAACGTTACTCTGGATGTAGAAGCTTCGTAATTAAGCACAGCTGACAGCAAACCTTTTCTTCCAAACAGGTGGTTGAAGATACGATCTATATCTCGCCCTTCTGAAACCGCTCCTAGGCCATCCGCCCCAAATTCCAGAATTCAACGATATTGCCACAGAAAAACGCAACCGTCGGTTAGACAAATATATGTCAAATTGAATGTCTAAAAGGGCGTCAATGGTTTCGAGTACCGTTCTTGCAAATGCTACAAGCTACAGCCAAATGATGGCTTTTCCAGAAAGCGTTGAGACTGTCCCTGACCTTGTTCTTTTGTTCCCCCACTCCGGTTCGACGATGGCTGTCCGAAGCCCTTGCCGCTGCCCGCTATTGGGGACGTCCGAGCCCTCCTCAACGGGGCCTGCCAAACGGGAGCCCCACGAACAAGCGAACCTGCAACAGTGATCTTATACTTTTGAACTGACAGTTTGGTGTTGGACACCAGCAAGTGGGGGCCAACGAGTGCTTGGGCGACTGGCAGAATCCATTGATTGGTTTACCCGGTTCGTTGACGACGAAATGTGGAGAAGTGTATGCTTGACTTGAATGTCAGAGAGAATTGGGAGCCGCTACGGGGTTCCAAAAGAGGATGTGAAGGACCCTGCTTGGGGCAACAGGTTTTACTCTGACAATTGAGCGACTACTGATTGGATAATGCTACGTTCCTTTTGAGAGGAGGTCTTGCAAACCCTCCCCACCCCAGCATTTGCAAGCGGCTAACCTTACGCAGCATTAAAACTTCCGCCTCTGCAAAGGATTGCAACCCTTGGAAATGCCAGTTGGTATTATGGGTTAGCCAAAAGTTTGTTCCTTAATTTGCAAAATAGGGACCGCCAAGTATGCCACCACTATGCAACCGTCAACACTGCCACTAAAATTAGGAAACTTGGAGCTCTCCAAGAGTAGAAGGCGGGATGGGGCTTACTCTGCTCATAGAAGGAGCGGCCCAAGCTTGACCTTGGAAGCTGTGCTGTGCGCAGACACCTGTCCTGACCATTTATTGACCGGTCTGCATTCAAAGAAGCGCCTGCTGAGCCCCGGAGTTTGAGATGCAGTCCGCCCTGACAACGTGCTGCGGCCTGCATTGTTGAGATTTTGATTCAGCTGTATGAAGAATTGTAGACTGCACGAAATAAGCACGAGCTGAAATGGAGAATGGAGGCGAAATTTATATGTCATTGAATGCAAGTGTACCTACGGCGCAACTCCGGAGTCCTGCAGCCAGCTTGCTGATCTCAAACTAGACATCTGTGAATGCACGAAGCTATCCATTACCATGGAAGACTGTGTGACGGCAAAGGCGACGGTTTTCGATGCTGACTTGGACACTGTACTTTAACCGTCGAGTAGCCTCTGCCGTTCAAACTTCCCCCATAATCGACGGCAACTTGGTGCCCTGCAAGACCTGATATTGGTCACAAGCAGTCCGTCACGAGCATTCAAACTGCATGCATTCGTGACGTGCAGGCACTCTCGAGCAAGCAGGGACCTCCGACGACGACTGCGCAATGTGCAACAGTGCATGCTGTGCAAATTGTGGTTCAAGAAATTACAGCTAGGCCGTTTCTCCTGTGGGATCGTGGTGTTCTTCGTTCAATCATCTCTCCTCCGTCCCTTCGGATCCTGCATGGGGTGCAGTCTTTGGGGGAAACGGGAATTGAGTTTGGAAGAAATTTTGGAGTGGCAATTGTGGTTCGCAGCTCACGCAATCAGACAGGAGCAAAAAGAAGACCGCTGCACACTGATGTCTCTTCAAAGAGCTGTTTACCTTGCAGCTCCACCTTTTGCTAGCCCTTTTGCAAGTAAGCATTAGAGCTGGTAAAATCGTAGGTGTCTGCCAAAATGGGTACTCCAGTGGAGCCGTCCACACCACCCCCGGAGCCCAGCACTTCTCCCCCGAGCAGCAGTGCCAAAATCTACCCCCCCTCGCCTCTGCTCAGGCACCGCATGGCCGAGCTCCGTCAGTCTGCCACCTGTCAGGACGCTCTCTTCTCCCTCAACCAGATCGTCAAGGAGATGCAACCCTCCGCCGTCCCCCGCTTCCTGACTCACCTTCAGAGCGAGACGAGCAGCCCCCCCAGAAAGCCGTCGTACGCGCACCATGCGATCTCGCTCTACATCAGCCTGGCGCGGGAGCACAAAGAGAAGCTCGTTCCGCAGATACCCCGGGTGATGAGGAATCTGATGCTGCATTTGAAGACTCCCGGGGTCGTAGCGGGAACGGGGGGGTCGCCTGGCGGGGGCGGGGAGAGCTCGGTGCACCAGGCGTGCGCGCAGGTGGTGCTGGAGCTGGCGAGGATTCCGGTGAACGGCGAGGCAGCTGGGACCCAGCTGCTGCAGGTGAGATGATCACAACCCTCCAGGTTTTTCCTTCTTTTCTGTATGATCCAGTGTTATGGCCAGCAAATGTCCACTGGTATGTCTGACGGGGGCTGGTAATCTGCCCAATCAAACTTTGTCGTTCTTTTTGGTATCGAGAATGATGGCCAGCAGAATTCTGCCTCTTCATTTGGCTGAGAAGTGCATGGTGTGCTCAGTTGAGTGATCAAGGATTAGCCAGCTGATGCAGGTAAAACGTTTGAGCTTTCATGTTGTGTTGGGCTTTTTCTTCTTCAATGATCGCAAAGTTGTTTCCTTTCTGTCCAGCTTAATAGATGAGGGTTGTGTATGCTAGTGCATTGCTTGATCGAGATCAACAAAGCTGATTTTCACACGTCAATAGATGGCGCGCATCCTTGTTTTTGCTTGATACAGAGTTGATGAACTTAAAGAAGTTGCTGTGATTTCAAGTGTCCAACCATTTGGACATTTTGGGACTGGGGCTCGACGCATCCTCATTACTGCATCAACACATTCAGCAAAGTACCAGAATTCCTTGAGTTAAAACGTTCAAGGCACAAGGTTCTTGACTGATCAGTTATATGCTTGCGCCAAAATACCCACCAGCATGAAACTCCATTCAGCCCTGTGCATGAGACAGGTGAAAGAGAGTTGGTTTGGTAGAAATGTCCATTATGTTTGATAGCCTTGATGTTGCACAGCCATGCTCACTCACAAGCCTAGCATGCATCAAAACAAAACGTCCCAAACCTCACCAAGTTCTGCTGGCAACACAATTCGAGCCTGGACTCTGCAGCGCATTCACTCTTAAAGTTCTCTGATCACCATGAAAAGCGCACCCATGGCATGGGCAAATCAGAAGAGTGAATGCTCAAGTATATTGACTCAAAAGGTGGTACAAGCTGTCGAATCATCAACGCCGCCGACTCGCTTCATGTTTTTCCTGTTTCCGGCCGCCGCAAGGAGATACTTCGAACGCCTCTCTTTTCCCACCTGCTGTTGCATGAATTCCGATCCCGTCAGCCATTGCTGCTGTCTAATAATCTTACCCTTGGAAAGCCTTTTTGCCCCCCACTTTCAGCGTGCCAGACAAAGCTTAGAGCCAATCGATCAAAGGCCCGCTGACGTTCTTCCATCTTGGCCCCACAGCCCCACGGATTACCCATCAGAGTGCATTCCATCCCCCCCAAATCAACGTCACTCGGTACCCACTCTTCTGCGGGAATATCCCCATAGCAGAATGACACCCACTGACTCATATCGCTCCCCTCCGCTTACAGGACATATGTAGCCCCCTGATTGGCGCTCTCTCCAAGGGCGAGAACGGCCCACTCTATGGAGCGTCCACTGAATTGTTCGGCGCAGCGTACTGTCTCAAGGCTCTGGTGGACTGTTCGGACGTGTGGCAGCGCGCGTCGGACGGTCTGGTGGACGACGTCTGTAGCGAGACGGCGGAGGTGCTGCGAACGGAGGGGGCAGCGGTGTTCTTGCAGCTCGCGTGTTCGTTGGCCAGGTACTGTTCTTTCTTCTGCTGTCAGTAGCCTTGAAATCAAACGACTCCGCATTGCGCCATGAGAAGAGTCTGGAACATTGTGCACCTGTGCTTTTCACAGAACTTGATTAAGCACGGGCTAGCTTGAGTGAAACGACTCCGGATGCTTGTTAATCTGCTGACTACTTGAATCAACAAGGGTTTTGGACCATAGTCCAACTGCTCTTGAGGCTGTGTCTGGCCCATGAGTCTGCCTTCCGTCCCTTCCTCTTGTCCTTTCGTTTTCTTCTCTTCCTTTTGTTCCTCGAAGGCCCAAACGGGACCGTTGGAGCCTCGATTACCTACCGTCAAATCCCTTGCTGTTGGCCTACCGGGTCCAACGGCTCCGCCAATGCTCAAAAGAGGCCGTGCCCTTTCTGCGTAGATTTTTACACCCCCTTACGAGATTATTCACACCCCCGCAGGTCAAACATCGCCGTCTGCCAGCACTACGCCGACGACCTGCTCCAGGCCGCCGGCCAGGCCCTCCAATGGCACGCCGCCAGCTGGCAGCAGCGCTTCGCGGCTGCTAAACTCTATACGGAGGTCCTGTCGCGAGCGGACAGCGACGTGGTGGCGCCCCTCGGACCGTCCGCGCTGAAAGTGCTGGAGAGCGTCCGGGATTCGGACCCGTCACCGTACGTCCGCGAGCAGGTGCGAGGCCATCTGACTTTCTGTTATTTTGTTGTTGCTCTTTTCGACTGCTTTTTCGGATTCTGGATAACATGAGTCGTTGAGGGAGGGGCGCCATAGTGCTCAAAAGCGTGAGGGGTTCGGAACTGTTGCCGTACGTTGACGAGCAGGTGCGGTCCAATCTGCCTCTATCTAATCTTCCTCTCCGTACTTACCTTATTGCTTTTCTGAGTTTCCTCTCTTCTCGATGACAATTGATTGGTCTGGACGTACTGGTGCTGCAAAGCGTCCGGGACGCTCGACCTGTCGCCGTGAGTGTGCGACCAGGGGGCGATGCCCTGTGTCGTTTCCTTGTTTCGTGGCCGGCCGTTCTTTCTTCTGGATAAAATGGAACAGAGAGGCAGTTCGAGCCTTGGAGGTGCTGAAGGGCGTGCGGACATCCAGACCCATTGTCATACACTCACGCGGATGTCAGAAGCCCAGTGCTTTTTGCAATTCTGCAGGTCACTTTTCGAGTGTCCTAGTTCTCAATGTCATGTTGCTTCTTCAAGTTGCGTGTGAGAAAGTGAAGGGTGACACTGGAGGACGGGAGAGTGCAAGAGCTGTCACGGCGGATTTGGAATCGAGGACGTTATTTTTCTCAAGCCGAGACATAATCAGGGTCGGAGACAATGCGACTGAAGTGTGCGCACCTTGGACCCATCATAAATATGCTCATATTTCGGGCAAACCTTTTTATCTGCATAAGACTGGAAATGTCGGCCCTTGGAAATAGGTTCTGAGGGAGGAAGCTATGACGGATGGGGCTCCATTTGACGAAGGAATGATTTTTCCCTTTATTTAGCTTCTAGTTCGCTCTCACCCTTTACTGCCTTCTCTTCCATAGGCTGTTGACGCGATTCGCGCCCTTAAGGGCCGCTCCTTCCTTCGAGACTCCCAGCCCTCTTTCCGGGGGCCCAAAACGCCTGACGCTTCACCCCCCCGGCGGACTCCCAAAGCCTCCCCCCCCCGACGAACGCCTCCCGCGTCACCCCCCCTCACCGGAGCGCTTGCACCTGCCCGTCCCACTCCGAGTGCAGAGTCGCCAAAGCTTCCTCCAAAGCGCTCAAAATTCGCTGACGTGGCAGCTGGTGACGTCAGCAGCTCGGAGCGTCCGAAGAAGCGCGCGCCGCCGGTGCTCGCGTCCGTAGAGTGGCCGTCCGGCGAGGGCGGCGGCCCGTTCGGGGGATCCCCCATCTACGAGCTTCCGGAGGAGGACGACGCTAGCCCACTGCTGACGGCACGAAGGGTGCCCCCAGCCGCGACGTCGCCGAGGGATCCCCCCCAGGGTCTCCAGACTTTGACGGAGGACGGGGCTGCAGCAGATTGGAGGAGAAACGCAAAGCTGATGCAATCGGCGGAGTGGCCGGCAGGGGGGCTGGGTTCCCCAGTTTATGAGCCCGAGGACTTTGACCTGACTCCGCTTGGGGTGGCTGACGTGACAGGGGGGGCCCCCGGGGCCTTCCGGCCGGCGGCGCAGCTCGGCAGGACGCCCCTCAAGAAGTCGCCGCTCTCGGCGCCGAGCGGCGGCCCCGAACCCGCCACTCCGGAAACGACACCTGTCTTCGTCATCGCAAGGACGCCGCCTCTCGTTGCCCGCAGCTTGGAAGGAGCAAACTCATCGGGTGTCTCAACTGCGGGGGAGGTGCCGCAGAGTAGCCCGCCCCCCGAAAGAGGGTCGTTGAGTCCTCGGACCCTGGGTCCGGAACTGGGTTTAGCAAACCTTCTGACCGACAATTTCTCAGGGGGAGAGGTTCTGCAGAGTGACCCGCCCCACGCTGGAGGGTCTCCGCTGAGTCCCCGAAGCCCGGGTCCGGAATTGGGTTTGGCAAACCTGCTGAGTGACGATACGGACGCTGGACAGGCGCTTCCGGACGTGGTGTTGTCCGTGTCCAAAATTCCGCGGCCACCATCGACCAGACGAGACTCTGGCGATTCAAGCGACGGCCCTGAGAGCAGCCCCCCGCATGCAGAAGCGGAGGCGCCGGCCCCGCTGACTGTCAACGTGCAAGGTAAGCTCTTACGTGACTCTACTAGGGATGCATCCCGTTTCTGAGCAGAACTCCCACGCGGGCGCTCGCTGCAATCTCTCCGCATTCTGGGCTGTGGCTTGGGATCCGCCACCATTGATTAAGGTTTGATTAAGGTCCTTTCACGATCAGAGAAAGTACGAGATCCTCAGCCTTTTACAGTCTCAAGTTAAGCGTCTCTCAGGTCGCAACTTTCCCTGGATAGAAATTCCCCTTGAGAAACCCGACTGAGACCAGGCAAAGTAGCCTCAACAACCTTGGACCCTGAGGCCCGATGTTTTGCAGAAATCTTTCACCTTTAGTTTCGTGCTTGCAACAGAATCAAGTTTTTTTTCTTTCTCCATCAGGGGAACCACCAAGCCCCAGTTCTCCCGCCCACCAACCCCGCCCCGAAAACAGTCCCTCGCGCATTCCCACCCCGAGTACCATTCCGCGCCCCAAAGCCTCCGTAATCGCGGGGAGCCACATTCCACCCGCGCCCGCACAGGGCCTCTCCCCACGGCCCGAGAAGCAGCTCCAAGGGGAGGCCCTGTCAAAGCCGACGTCGCCAGGCGGTTTACAGGGCCTCTCGTCCCGGCCCGAGAAGCAGCTGCAACGGGAGGCCTTGTCACGGCCGCGGTCGCCCAGCGCAGAACTAGAGCGGGGGGCGAAGAAGAGGGCGCCGGGGGTGCTGCTGAAGAGAGAGAGCTTCGAGGAGCGGTTGCGACAGGTGGCGGATCGGAGGGAGTCGGGGGGTTTGGGGGCTTTGGAACGACCGCGGCGAGCGAGCGCGGCCGGCCTGGAAGAAATTGGTGCGGGGCGCGGGAAGGAGAAGGGTAACGGCAATACTCGGGTGAGTTTTCCGCGCCTTGCTAGTTGCTCGAGCTCTGGTTTTGGTTGGAAAACTGCGTGGGAAGCAGAACGATAGCGGCAGAACGATGAGCCTTTCGTCCATTACTAGTGGCCTGCAAAAGCCTCCGCCTCGGGACACGTCAGCAAGAACCGCTGCATATCTACAAGGGAAGCAGTTAACTTTAACAATGTTGTGAAACACGTCAGCAATACCAGCTCCCATCCTCGACTTTGCTCTAGCTGCCTCGTCTTAATCCTCAAACCTCGTTTGCAGTAGTGCTTCGATTCTAATTCGTTATGAGCGAAAAGTGCTTCGAAAGATCGAAGCGGCTGATTGAACAGTCCTTTACCTTGCAGCGGAAGTCGTCGATAGGCCCTGCCGACTTCCTCGCCACGAGCCCCCGCCAAATGATCCGCCGCCTTACCTCCGAGTCCCCCGCCTCCGCTAAAACCTCCCCGAGCACAACGCCCAAGAGCGTTTTGACATTCAACACGCCCGGAGCACGTTTACCGGGCTCGACTTTAGCCCCCGAAAGCTCGGCTTATACACCACCAGAAACACCCGGGGCAGAAGCGGGAACTGAGAACCGGCTGGACGGCGAAACGGGCCAAAGTGAGAGCGGTGGGAATGAGCCTAGTGTGGATGGGGACGCTGGAGCTAAAGATGGTGTGAATGGGGACGGTGGAAATGCACTCGAAATGGACAAGGAGATCGACGAAGATCTGGTGTCGATGGAGAGCCCGGGGACTGGTTCCGACACGTGGGCTAAAGAAGGTGGGGTCTCTGGGGCTGGTGACGTCCTGGTGACGTCATCGAGGCGGGAGAGCGCGAATGGGGGTGGGGCGGCGGGGAGGTACAGTTTCGGGGAGGACAGCGGTAGCGATACGGAGGCGCCAAAAGGGACGAGAGAAGATACTGAGGGGAGGGGACACGTGGAGGATGCTCAGCCGTTGATTGCTTTCGGGAGCGGGGTGCTGGAAGAGGGGTCTGGGGAGACCAGCCTGGGAGAAGGACACGTGGAGCGTTCTGGGCCACAGGTCGTGGGCGCACGTTTTGCGAAGCTTCTAGATCAGGCGAACACAGAAGCAGCGAACGAGACCGGAAAGAAGGTTCAAGAAGGCATTAAAGCAGAAGCCTTCGAGTCAGAGCGCTCGAAAGCAGAGCCTCCAACCATCCCCTCAGGTGCGAGCCCCTCGAAAGCCTCCAGAGATGAGGATCTGCACAGGAAAGAGGATGAGCAGTCTCCAGCAGCGCATTCCGGTGGAAGTCCGGACCGGAACGAAGAGTGGCGCGTGCACGAGAACCCGATCGCGGCGCCGGACGCCGGACGCGCGAGCCTGTCCCCGGGCTGGGAAGCGTCCGAAACGACGTTTGACAAAGAGACGCTGCGCCGGATGAGTGCCGGAGAGGTGTCGAGCCCGGCGCCGCCCGAGGGTTTGGGGGTTTGGGTTAGGGGGGACCGCGAGGAGGGTTTGGGTTTGGAAGCGAGGTTAAGCGAGGGTTCTGAAGAGCGAGAGGCAACGGTTCCAGAAGGGAGAATTGGCGAGGTCTCTGACGAGGGTGTGGGGGTGTGGGGGGACGCGCGGGGGAGTGGCAAGGAGGTATTGTGTTTGGAGGCGAGGTTAAGGGAGGGTTCTGAGGAGCGCGAGGCATCGGTTCCAGGAGGAAGAAGTGGCGAGGTTTCTGAAGAGGGTTTGGAGATTTGTGCGAACGTGGGGGCAAACCGGGAAGAGGGTTTCGAGAATTTCGAGGGTTTGGAGGCGAGCTTAAGCGAGGGTTCTAAGCAGCACGAGACATCAGCCTCAGAAGAGACGAGAGACGAGGTTTCTGAAGAGCAGGAAGGGCTTGAGTCGGAGGAGAAAGGAGGGAGTGGACGCGGAGAGGAGAAAGCGTCTGGGGTTCGAGTGGTGGAAGCCAAAGAGGGTTTGGAGAACGAGGCGGGTTTGGAAGAACCGAAGGGAGCGCAGTCCTGGTCCGGACCGGCTGCTGAGGTGTCCGATTCGGAAAGTCCTGAGCGTAGCGGAGTTCCGAACGATGCTGATCGGGACGGAAGTCCGGAAGCTGCTGAAGGGAGCGGAGCTCGAGACATACGGAACGAGGAGTCGAAGGAACGGACAGCGGAAGGTGAGGAGAAGCGCAATACGGAAATGGAGGGCGGAATTGAAGAGGAATCTGAAGCTGGGGCGCCCCAGGCCGATGAGGAGAATCGGGGCGCGAAAGAGGAGGCAGTTGGAGAGGTTCCTGCGAAACTAGTGCGGGGGGAGTTTTACCAGGTTCAGGACGGCAGCGCAGTAGGAAGGGGGCCCGAGGACAAACCAGCTCTGGAGGGTGGGCGAGAGAGGGAAGAGGAAGCAGATTCGAAGAATCAAACGTCGCGAAGTGGAACAGAAGTGGTCGGGGAGACGAGTGACGTTACCACAGAAGGCGAGAGTCCGAACGGTCAGCCTTCAACGGTTTCTTCGGACGTCCGAACGGCTGATTGTGTCAACAAATCAGCGGAGGAAAAGTCAAAGGATGCGCCACGTGTCGAGTCTCGGGAAGAAGAGAAGAGCACGTCTGCGAGCAGTGAAATGATGGGTGCGTCCCCGCCCAAGGTTAAGAAGCGGGTCACGTTCTCAGAGCATAACCAGTACCAGATGATTGAGCCGAACCCACCGCCGGAAGAACGAGCGCTTATGCGGAGCGACGCTCCTGAGAGATTACGTTTGAGGGATTGGGTTAGATTTGCAGGTAGGGCGGCCGAGAAAGGGGTTAGGAACACGGTTATCGCGATTGCGGCAGCTGAGGTAGGAACGGTTATGTGGGTGGTTACGAGGGGTTTGTGGGAAGCGTACTGTGCGCCGACGATCAACGTCCCTCTACCATCTTGATGGAGGTGCACCGTCGTGACGCGCTTTGTCCTACAAGGGCGGACTTTGTTGTTTGTACACTAGAGGTCTCGTTATCAACAAAGGTTCAATCTGGGAGGTGGTTCTGAACTTCTTTCCATCTCTGCTGGAGGCACTGCGGGGTCGACATTTCTCGCAATGAGTGATGACTTGCAATGTTTATTCAAGTGCGTGTAGTATCCGTGTGCCGTGGGTATGCTGGTTCGACTATACAGGCAATGCAGAGGTGCTCAGGCTGGGCCAATGCTATATGAACTTGTCGCCTCTCAGTGTCATACAATGACTGGCCGGAGAGACGTACCTTCTGCTTCGATTAAGAAATGCTGGCACGGGGCTTATCATTCAATTGTTAATCTGGCTTATGCAATTTAAGTTTAGCACGAGATCCTTCAATTAGTGGAATCACTATATTATTACAACTGCATATTCGTAACACTCGCGGCTGTCCAGCGCGCACACCTTGGCGTGTGATTACAATCTGCTTCGACTGCTCAGTCGAACTGCAAGTGATTCATCAAATTCAAATATATATATGTTTACACTCGAATCTGATTTGAACCTTTGGGCTGTATACCTGAACTACCGTCACACCTATATATTAGCTCTGATTGCCGTGCGCCCGCACATGCTAGTCGTCGAATATGTTTGCCCTAGCTTGAGCTAGGCAGGTACGATTTGACATGTCTCAGGGCATGCAGCTAGTCACTGAGTCTTCGCATATGCAATCTCATTTCATTCTATGGAAGAGGTCTGCAGATCCGGCCCCACCGGCAGGCGGATGCATCTTGAGCGATCGTTCCTGCTCGGTCTTGTCAACAACGATTAATTGCACCAACTTTTTCTCAAAATTGAACAACTACCTCATATCCTAGTTCTGCTAATCTACCGTACGCTCCTATATTGGCTTGCCTCTTTTACGCAGTAAAATATGCGGACTATTGCTTTCGTGTCAACCGCGTTTTTGCGACGCTGTACGACGCCGCTCTGCGGAAGATAGGGGAGCCGAGTCTGCCCTGTTTTCAGTCACCCGCACTTCGATACGAAAACGTACGCAAAAACCCGAAAAAGGTCCACACCTCAAAAGCCACCGAGCCCAGACTGCCCCGCGCGCCTTCGTGGAATGTTGCTACGAATCGAACGCGGACGCGAGTGTCCCGACGCGCAAAAACGTAACATTGTAACGCTTGACCTCGATTTCTCCGAACAGATTGAATACAGGCCTGCCACGTTGCATGCCGAAGGCTGTGAAGCTGCCACGTAGTGGTTTGTACCTCAATTATGCACCTGACACTGTGGCGTATCCCGGTCGTCAACCCAATAAATTAGAATTCAAATCACCCTTATATGCGATGGACTCATTTAGTATTGCTGCTTTCGAATTGCAACGATGGGTCAAAGTGTCCGGAGGGAAGAGCGACTGAGATCCCGGTACGTACTGCAGTTGTTCAGACCACAGGACGGTGTACGGACTTCCGTGTACCGCGTGTGCACGCTCGCGCACAGACTTCAGCACTTGCTTTAGTATGGCGGAAATTCACAGGAGGTAATCAGAGCAACGCCACACGATGCCACAATGTGCACTTTAATATTTCTGCCCGAAATCGCCCAATAAAAGAGGCAAGCCCCCGCCGCCCTTCTGGGCGGTCTACCATGTGATTATGTATGTCTTGATATACATCCTGTACATCTACAACAAGTGGAGGCAACCTCGATCAATTGATCCTCCAGGCCGGCGGCAAAGCGGCTACACATGGCGGCGCATCCCTTCAAGGTCTTGGCATCCGGCCTCAGGATGACGATCCAACCGTCTGATGAGTAGCTTGCTTGTTTTACGAGCTCAGTAGGAGCTTCAGGATCATAGCCTAGGTTTGAAGGACTCGGGCAAGATGATCCCGTCACGCCGTGCTCTAAGGACAATTGTTCAGCCATAATATGCACTGTAGTGTCAACTACTGGTTGCTTAACAGCCATGTTTGCTAGATAGAGGGATATCGTAGGTGTTCCGAAGTTCGAACTTGGTCGAATCTTGTGTTGACACCGTTCGGGCCCATGGCGCAAGCTACGGTCCTTATAATAGAAGTATGAATGAATGAATGCATCGATCGTGTTAATATTAATCAACACGGTCCGATCGATGTGCCAACCATGTGCAATGGGGCTTTGAGTGTTACGGACTACAAACAATCAAGTAGTCCTTGAAGGCCGCACATTTCGGTTGCATCACTCAGGCTGGTCAAAAGACCAATTGGGCGGGCGCAGCGCGCGGGCGGCCGGCCCAACCTAGCTCAATCGACGCTTGCAGAACCTACCTGAACCTGCAGTGATCTCTCGTTTGGAGGGGCTGAGAGCCTAGCTGCCGCTGCCGAGCAACAATACAGTGTCAACATCAGCCTACTCTCGCAAAGTCTAGAGATCAATAACGTCACTCTCGCAAAGCGGCAAACTTGCTTTACCTGCATCGACGTTGAGGTATTTACGACGGAGCAATGGACACTCGCTCTAAAGCTACCGTGTACTCAAGCGTCGACCCCCCTGGAACGACGACCCCGTTTTGCAATTCCACGTCACCCTCGCCGAATCCCAATTCAGGGGGGACGACTATCCTCCTCTTTCCCCCAGACTTCGCACTCGACAGAGCCTCCTCGACCCCCCTACAAAGACCACCCGCAAACGGGCGGCCTCCAAACACAAACGCTATGGCTTTCTGGCCCTTTGCAAAAGTATTAGCCAGCTGGATGTTGGCGCCGTCTTTCGTCGTGGCGACGGCGCTGAAGTTGATTAGAACGAGGTCACCCCGGAGAGGGCTCTGGCCACCGCCGATGACCAGGTCGGTGTACCGCACGCCATCTGGCAAGGTGACCTCTTTTGCGGCCTTCACGTCCCTGCAGTGGCAAAGAGAAACGCTTGTCTACAGTAGTTGCAGGTGTCTTTCATCAATCGTCAGGAATCGACTCCATCATATCAGCAGCCTGAGGGGCAAGAACAGGCACTAGTCTAGTTGCGGGGGTCATCCATCAACGGTGCGCTTTGCCTGACGCTTGTTGGACGTCAACTGAATCGTTCAAGCAGCCTGAGGGACAAGAAAAGGCGCTTGTCAAGTCGCTGAATCATCATGTTGGGATCTCCAATGGTTGGCGAAAGTCTACTCGATTGAGTAGCCTTGACGCCAGCCGTCATACAGCGGAGACCTGTTGGTGTTTCCAGACCGCAAAACGTCCTCCTGTCGTCGTTTATGATTGCCCTTCCATTGGAAGCTAAGAGTGACCAACCATAAAAATTCGTCCCACACTTCGATGAACTTTCAAGGTTCAGCCTGACCGGCTGGCTCTGAAGGCATACTCTATACGCAAACACTTCAGCAAAGGACTCAAGGTTTGCCTTTTGGATACTGGTACGTTTCAGGAAAGGTCTAAGTGCATAGCGGAATGTCATCAGGGAAGGCAGGATGATAGATGGATGAGAACATTGAGCCTGAACAGAGTACACCAACATGCTCTTTCTTTCTCCTGGTTTAGACTTGGTTACAGGACTTTCAAACGTCTTTCTTTCAGTGCTGTGCAGGCTGCCAACACAGCGACCTTCCAGCTGTCTACCTAGAAAACCCCTGAACAGGCAACTCACCACTCCCCATACTCAGGCATGGTTCAGAACGAACCGCCTGTCAAGGAAGACTTTCATCATAACCCAACAGAGTAACAGGAGTCACGGGGAAAGTCTCTCTTTGACTGCATCGACAGACTGCTCACTTGGTATTCTGTTCCGCTTCATAGACCTCTCTCCGCGTCTTGACCTGCTCGGAGATGACCCCAAACGACAAGATGCCCAGCCACGCCAGCCCCCCCGCCAGCCCAAACCGCCGGGTCAGCGCAGAGGAGATGAAGTCTGTTGAGTCCGCTTGCCGCTTCTTCTTTGGTGCCCCACTCTGCATTGATTTGCAGGAGTAGTTGTTTGACCGGTCCTTTTCAGAACTCGAGTGAGGGCCCAAAAATGTGTGACATTTGCAAGAAGAGCGGCCTGCAACCGGTGAGCTTGAAGTGCTCGCAGGGAGGCATTTGTGACGGGGCGCTGATCAGTCTAACGCAGCTTACACTACCGTAGACCTCCCAGCGACAAATTGCCGAGCGTGTTCTCACCCGGGGTGGTCAGCAGCTCGCGGTACAACCCAAGAAACAGAGTGACTGCATTCTTGAGTCATGACATTCAGGGGGCCAAGGTTTTCAGAGCAGAATCCTCACATGGTCAAGACCAATCTGGATAGAGTTCTGCCCCCCTTGCGCAGCCAGCTTCCTTGCAAGCTAGGATGAGAGCAGCTTCGACAGATGTATTTATGCGCATTCTGCAGATACATTGTCTTGAGATTGTAAAACCAGCGCCATTGATTCACCATGTTGCTTTCTCCTTCTCAAGAGGTCCAGAGTATCTGTGTCAAAATCTGTGTACCGAAACAGAAAACGTGGACCTAAGTGTCTTTCAAATGTGAGTGCAGAGTCTCACCTGCTGAGTAAACTGTGCCGCCTGTTCTCTCTCCTCTGTCTTCACGCTCAAGGGCGCTTGAGGTCCCTCGCTAGAGCTCCCGTCCTTCGCTGTCTCTCCGTCACTCTCAAGAGAGGCCCTGACATGCCCCGCTTTCTTCACTCTAGAACTCAAATGAGCGCCGCATCGCCTCCTCAAAAGCACAGACGACGCAGTTTTCGCATGAAGCTCGAGTGCTGGGTTCAACACAGGTGGCCCTGAGCAACGCCTCAATGGAGCCTTCGTTGCTAAGCCGAAAGCGCATTGACAAGCAGCTGAAGTCATGGTCTCTCAGCACACCTATCACCTTCTTACGCCACCTCCTTCCAATGCGCCTTCAACTTTCACCTAAAGGCTAAATTGCAGCAGCTCGTATGCCCACGGACGAAGATTGGGTAGGTCTTGGGTTGACCAGGCTTCAGTACAGACGTCAAGACGGCCACCGTTAAACTTAACCCTGTCGTTGACACACTCTGAGCGGCGTGCGCAATGTCCTTCGGCACGACTGAGTGGTCGCTGGGCACGGCGCAGCGACCCAATCGGTTGGTTTTTGAGCCCCTGGCTGACCGGGAAGATAACCCAGCTAAACCACCCACGAGCGCTGCAAGGGATCCCTCTTTTGCTGTTGGATGGCCTCAGCCTGGCCCTGGGCCTCAGCCAGCAATTCAAATCCAATTCAGCAGTTCTGCGAGTAAGAAGACGGCGCCACTCCGCTGAAGGGGATGCCTGGGCTATCTTTCAGATGATGGAGGGAGCGGAAGTTGCGGAGCAAAAGCGCATCTGGGAAGAGTAAGGTCTTTTACTCATAGATAATCAGCTCCAATATTGCCTCCAGAAGCTCATCATCTGCTGTCAGCATTTTGCAAAAGATCTCCCTTTTGACCTCAGAAATGTTGTCTCCTTCCTTTTATCTTCATGACACTGCCAGTTTCTTGTGATGGTGGCAGCTCTGGTGATGCGAGCGTGCTATCTTTGTAAAGCGCACTGCAATCTGCAATTCCATAATTATGAAGCTTTTTTGGCAACCACAGGTCTCAGGTTGGCATGGCATAGACGGCATATGAGGTCAAGCTCTGCAGCTACCCACCAGTTGTAGTATTCTCATTGAGGGCAATGCTGTGAGGTCACTCTGCGCTGTGCTTGTCCAGATACCCAAATCTGCATGAAAGCCAACAGAACTAGCGAGCGCTAGCTAATATCCTCCCTGCAGGGATCACCCTTGTGAGAAGGAATATATGCGCCAATTTAAAGATTACAAGACTGATTAGGTATATAAGTGGTCTGCTGTGTCAAGCTTGCCTCAACCTTTTCATTTCCGTCACACATCTTGCAGGAAGCAGGCAACCCTCCGCAGCCAGCTCATAACCCATGACGTCCACACTTGGACCGTTCCAGGGGGCCCCGTTTGCCCCCTTCAGGGCCCCCCCGGCAACGAGCTCCGCTTTGTGGGGGGCGTAGACGTCAGCTTCAGCCAAACAGACCCGGACCTCGCTTGCGCCGCTCTAGTTGTCATCGACCTCACAAAGCTCCAAGAGCCGGTTCCGGGGTCCGCAAAGTTTTCAGACACCGGCGGAGACGCTGTGGTGTACGAGCGGTGTGAGTTGGTCCGCTTGGACGTGCCTTACCTGCCGGGGTTTTTGGGGTTCAGGGAGGTCCCTGTGCTCAGGCCGCTGCTGGAGGAAGTGGCGCAGGAGAGGCCTGACATTGCTCCGCAAGTAAGTTCGGAGCTCTTGCTTCTCTAGTGGGTGCTGTTCAAGCTTGAGCAGTCTTATCTGTTGAGGAACCTGGGACTTCGATGGGTATCCAGGCACTCGTTGAAATGATGAAAGCAAGGTGGAAATGAAACATGAATGTGCTTCCCAGGGGAATGGAATGGAAAGTGGCTGGAAGATATCCTGAGGGAACAAGTTGTTCTTCTTACAAGAGGCATAGAGTGATAGAGGTCCCTTCGATACGAAGTCTTCATAAGCTACTTCATCTAATGACCTTAGACGAAAGAAGGTTTTCAAAGAATGCGCTTGCAAGTTCTGCGGTTTCCTTTTGTTTGCTCTTCTTCTTCCAACCTCCCATGGTAAGGAGGGGAGCGTCAATGCTCGCGAATAGTTGGGGTTGCAACGCAATGATGGACGTACAGGGACTGGCAGCACAAAGGGAGACAAGCAGATTCTGACCCGCCTTCAGCCAACCTCTTCAGTTTAGGCAAGAGAGTCATAGTCCAAGGCGAGAGGGTCATTTGAAACGAGTTTGAGGACTATGTAGGGCCCAACAAGCGGCAAACTAGAGGCGGCCACTTTGTGCAGGTCATTCTGGTTGACGGCAATGGCATCCTCCACCCACGCGGCTTTGGCTCGGCTTGCCACCTTGGCGTGGCCTGCCACATGGCAACCATCGGGGTGGGCAAGAACTTCTTCCACCTAGACGGCCTGACTAGCGACGGCGTGCGCGCGCGCGCAGAGGCGCGCGGTCTGCAGCCGGGCGAAGCGATGGACATTGTGGGGGAGAGCGGAAGGGTGTGGGGTGCGGTGAGTTGCTAGTGATTGGAGGCGTCTAAGAACTTGGGACGGAGTCAGTTCTATCCTTCTATCGTCCTCCTGTCAACTTACTGCCAAACTTTCATCCTTGTCTGTACCTTACGTTGCAGAGAGTCGGCTCTAAGATCGCACGCTATGTCTCTTTTTGAGGCGGTACACGGACCATACGCAATACGGTATTTTCGCAAGTCAGACCTCTCTGAGGACTTTACATCTGTTCCAACCGTTTGTGCATTCATCCCGCAGGCTTATCGAACCCACGCCGGCAGCACCAAGCCCATCTTCGTGTCCGTCGGACACCTACTCTCACTGGATACCGCAGTCAAGATCGTCCGAGCCTGCTGTCGATTCCGGGTTCCTGAGCCGGTTAGGCAGGTGACTTACCGAGCGCGCTCCTACAAACCATTCAATGTTTCAGCCTGCTTTTGGTGGCGATTCCGTTTGCTTCACTCGCCTTCCAAACGATTCGTAGAAAGCTGGCTTGACTGCAAACGTCGTCTCGAGAACGGGTTCCTGAGCCGGTCCGGCAGGTGACTTACCAAAATGCGCGCTCCTACAAATCATTCAGTGTTTCAGCGTGCGGTGGGAATACTCTTGCTTCGTTCATGTTCTAAAGCTTTCGAAGAGAGCTGGCTTGACCGCAAATTTCGTCTCGAGGATCCTTTGTTCCTGGCTCCAACGCCAAAGCAGAAGTCCTTGATCTCTCGTGGAGCTAATTGCCAGTACGATGACTCCAAGCCATGTCGAAGCGCTTAATTCAATCTGCTTGAAAGAAATATCCAGGGGGGCTTTCCCCGCCTGCAATCGCCGCCACCCGGCTTGTACCTATAGTAGCATGTTCGTCCAGCGTCCAACGGCTGAGTTCGCCACGTGTCAGTGTCACAACGTCAAACCTTCTTGACTTTGCGCAGGCTGACATGCGGTCCAGAGAGCGCCTGCGTCAGCATGACGTCAGGGCCGCAGCGACGAGTGGCTAGCTGCTGACAACAGCCTAGGAAAGCGGACGATAATACTCGAACTCCACGGAGATGCCCCTTCTACCGAGCGGATCAGGCGCGCCCAATCTCTCCTTAGCCGGACAAGGGCAGGGACGCCGTACCGGTCAACATAATGACCGCTTCACAAAGCAAAGGCCGGGCCAGAAATTGCATCATCAAGGGCTGCGTCTGGAAAGAAGGGGCTGCTGCCCGAGCGCTTATCGCCAAGGCTGGGGTTCACTTGCAAGGCATGAGGTTTTTGATTGTCCTTAGAGATGGGGCCAGCAGATCCTTGTGACGTTTGCAGTCAGTCGGATTGCAAAACTAGATTGCGAAAACTGATCCGGCAGTTGGTGGAAGATGTAGAGAGCGTTGTGTCGTCACTTCCAAGATTCCCTCTGCATCAAGAGGACTCACTTGAACACGTGTTGCAAGCAACTCGATGATTTAGCGACATGAAGGCCGGGTCAATCCGCTAGAGTTTCCTGCCAGCCATGCATGCGGCCGTGGTTGCCGCCGCGCTTGTGGCAGGTGTGCATACGTGTGCACACCTGCCACATGTACGTTCCCAAAAGTTAGTTAGCTGGCGTCGCGACCAACTGACTGAGTAATGGTTCAACTGCGGGAGGTTCAATCGAGGATTGTCTGAACGGTCCATTGAAGGCTGACGAGTAATGTATCAAAAATTGCCCGGTCCGCCAACGTAGCATCGTGTGATGATCACAAACTTTCGACTTTCGTATACAGTGTCACATATTGTGATCAACACCGACATCTGCAACGATCTGATCAAATTGCTCCGATCGATTTAATAGATCCGGTGACACCTGCATGCGGCAAACTCGTAGGGGACGGTGGGGAATAGTAAGCTAGAAAGTGTCTAGCGTCGGAGTGAGTCTATAGCTGACATGTTCAATGATTAAATCAAAAGTTCAAACATTGTTTGCGTAAGAGGCGTATGCCTATACTGGCTACGCTTTGATTTGAAGACACGTACCGTCGTCAAACGCACATGTTGCATTCTTGGTACGGCCACGGTCAAAGGATTCACTGAGCCACATGCAAAACCACCCGTAAGCGGGTGATCCAGAGCACATGCATGCAATGATAATTATCTAGGTAGCTTTTGTGCAGGAGCACCGATCAATGAATGATGGGCCTTGACCTTGCAATGTGAACCGTTCACGGTTGTTGAAGCCAAAAAGGTCCTGGCTTTGTGCATCCGGCCTGGATCGATCATGAGTGAATGCAATCATGATCATCCATGTGTGTTAGTGACAGCGATCGACCATCAGAGTAGCTCACTAAGTCAGCTAATTAGTGATTAAAGTACGCCAGATTGTATACATGCAATCAACCTGTATTGGACCGTCAATTAGCCTCTATAAGTGGTACGTCATCATCGGACGACGGATACACCATGTGCACACCTGACTCGATAATATTTCGACTACATGGCATATACCAGCATTATCAACGTGTGTCAGACTCAAAGACGATCGGACAGGCTCTGACCTGAGTTTTTTGGGATTGATATTGAAGTGTTGTTCAAATCATGCAGTTTGACTGCACAGCATGATTCGATCAGAGCAGATGGTTCATTCCATTCAATACACTGGCACAGGATCGCGAATGTATGGGCGCAGGCTTACTAAACCTTCAATACTTTCAGGCTCGCTCTAGCGGCACATGTTCAGCCAGGGCCAATTCAAAACGGTCAATCTCAGGACATGATGCTTGTAACCTGGTTCCCGTCTGCAGAGAACAGGATACGTCCCCCTGACCACTGTACGTCATGTGCAAGCAGCATGATTAAAGTCCAATCCTTGTTAATGATTGCTATGTTACAATTAAGGGTACAGTAGCTTGTTCGTACCAGCGGTCTGGTCGCTACGTGACCGAGGAACGTTTGCTGTGGTATCATGTACAGAACATCAGCTAGAGTATGAGTCCTAGCTACCTACCTCAGTTAAACTCTGGTTTTCTGCAATTGACAGGTTGCTCAACGCACCGCAACAACTTCCCGCACCAAGCAAGACTTTCCTCGAGACGACGAGGGTGCCCTTTCTGATTTCCTCGTTCTCTATCTCGGCAAGATAAGCCTCCGCTTTCCTGTGCTTCTGGGCAGCAGCCCGACGGAGCCACTTAAGGCCCTTGTCGAGGTCTTTCTCGACTTCCACGTACTTCACACCCAGTTCAAACTGCGCGTCCGAGAGGCCCTTTTCTGCAGCTAACTTGAAGTATGCTTCCGCATCGCTGCCGTGGAGAAAGTCTTTTGCGAGGGCAAGCTGTGCACTGGCATAGCCGCCCTCCGCAGCCTTAAAAGTCCACTCAAAGGCTTCTCGAACTTGGCCCGCGCCTCGCAAACGATTTCCGAGGACGTTGCAAGCCGACAGGTAACCTCGAATAGCAGCTTTTCTAATCCAGTGAAGCCCAACGCTCCTGTCCGTCCCGCCGTGCCCGTTCAAGCAGCAGAGACCCAAGAGTTGCTGCGTGAAAGGGTCGTTGAAAGCGGACGATTGCTGCAGCCCTTCCGTAGCTGCTTTCAACCACTTGTTTGACTCCTCCAGGTCCCTCTCAACCCCGCCCGAGCCTTCCGCATAGGCCACCCCCAGAATGAACATGGCGACGGGGTCCCAAGGCACTCTCCGGGCACACATGACACCCCCCTCCCGGTCTTCAGCCACTCCGACCGCGTAGAAATAGCACCATGCGAGCAAGGCCCAAGCCTGGGGCGACCCCTCGTTCAGCCCAACTGAGGCAGCTGCTATGTTGAACCACATGAACGCCTTCTTCTCGTCATAAGGGGCGCCCCGCATCGGGATCAAGTAGTACATGCCCAGCTCGAAGTGATCCTGGGGTGCGCCTTGTTCAGCCTCGACAACTTGCATGAGCTCAGGAAAGGTGCTCTTGGTCCGGATATAGGGCTGTAGACGCTCGGCAGGTGGAGGCTCGGGAATTGGTAACCAGTCAGATTGCCCCTCAAAGTCCTCTTCAAGAGAGGTGCTGTCGGTTTCGAGACCTGGGGGCAAGCTGGGGTCGACGACTGGGCCCAACGTCACTGGCGATGTCATCAGGGATGAGGCAAAGGCGGGCGACGCACCCTCTTGGTCAAGACTCCCGTTAGGCGCCGTCGTTCGCGTTTCCGGCTCAACCCTCTTGCGTTTTGCAACCACGTCCTCCCGGTGAACATCCTCCGCAAAGCCTGAAGCCGCCGCACCCGCCCCGGGCTCCCCAACTTCTTGCGATAAACCCGCAAGTCGACTGTTCTGTGCCGACGTAGGAGGGGGTGACCTCACCAAGGGGCTTCCTCCCCCGTCAGGCTGCCCCACTGGTACGCCCGTGAGGGAGATGAGGTAATTCGTCAGAATGCGTTGGAGGAAGAGGCGCAAGTGGCACTTTGGTTCCTTGAAGTACTCGGTGATGCCGTACTGGAGGGCTTTGAGGGCCTCACGCCCCTGGGGTTCGTTGCGGTAAGAGGTCAAGGCTGCTTCAAGCACGAGGAGCAGCTCGTGCTTTTTGAGCTTCTGCGCTCGGTGGACATACTTCTCCGTCCGATTGTCGATGTTGGGGAACCAGGCGGGGACCTATAGGGAGGGAATACAGACGCGTCTGAGACCTGCAATCGGTGTCGAACTCTCAGTCTCCATACTTAGCGAACGTCCTACTAGAAAGGGGGATGCTTGGAAGCTGAGCACCCATTTAACGGCATCTGATCAACTTGAGAACCCGGTGATGTAAAACGCGAAACAACAGCTCGTGGGAAGCTAGTTGTACGTCCAAGCTAGTCTAACATTCCACAGGATGGACGACCTGCATCAGCAGGACCAGATGTCAGAACAGAATCATCGAGCCTTGCTTCTTTAATCGCTTAGCTAGTTTTTCATTCTGGAATAAGTAGGTTACACTCTGCAAATGGTTCACGAAGAGGAACTGATCATTTCCCTTCTTATGGAAAAATAGGCAAAAGGCGGAAGTCCTCATTCGGAACCTTTAGTCACTAATGCATAATTGCCACATAGAGAGAACAAGAGGAATCTTACCAGGCCAGTTGTCCTAACCCCACCTCCCTCTGCTTTTTTGAGGAAGAAAATCCTGGCAACGAATGCATCTAACTCCTTGCAAGTGGCGACCTTCAGAAGTTTACTCAATGGGGGTAGTCCTTGGTCTCGTCCATTGATGACGTCTGCTTGTCTGCAGAGCAATCAGTTTTTGAACAGCTTGTTTGAGGGTTCAATCACAGGCAGCACACTGGCACGACAAACCTGCATCGTTTTCTGTGGCTTTTCTGCTTCAGAAAGCCCAAGACGCAGGACTCCGACTCGGGTTAAGCAGTTTTGTATTTGTGCATGCATTGGGATCAAGCCAAAGTCTCTTGCTGATGCATTGAGGATAGAAGGAGGGGGATCCCGGAACTCATGAAAGCTTACTGCCCCAGGGACCATCCTGAAGTTCAGCAGGCAGTATGGGAGGGCACAGCTGTTGAAGAACTTGATGCAAGAAAGCTGGCTGTGTCACACAGGTGCAAATTGCAAATCGGTGATGCATGGGAGATTCGTCCTTTGCCCGGACAGTTTCCATCCAGACTTCTCTTTGCATCATCATTTGCGTGGGTATTATCAGACACCGACACCGAGTATCTGAGCGGTTTCTAACAAAGATGTGAATCTGGTGAGATCTGATGGAACCATGTTGAATCCTGATGTAATTTGATGAAAGCTTTCAGTGCACAAATATTGGCCCAAAAATTTGTACCCCTGCAGCCCCTCCAGGAGATTGCTTGGAAGGAGAGAACGGTGCTTTCAAACTTTGAAACAATGACTGGAGAAATAAACCTTCATCATACAGGCCAACACCTAGGACAACGGGCTACTTTCCTCCAGGGCTGCTGAAAAGAGTTCTTTGGCATAAGGTTACGAGAATTCTAATTTCGTTAGCCTTCACTTACTCATCCATGGCTGCAGCTTCGCCAAATGCCATCTGGGAAACCGGCACCGGCGTAGAGGACTCCATGTCCTTTGAATCGCCCCAGTTTTTGCTCACATAGACGTCATATTCAGCATTGTAGCGGTCAAAGCCAGAATCCCTCCAGAGCAAGATTTGATTGGTAAGCTCTACTGCTATCCTGGATTCATGCGCATGCCTTGTTGCTTTTGCACAGACTTTGCCCCTCCTCTCATCAGGCAGTTGCCAAGGATGTGCTTCCTTCAAAGCCTAGACCTTCAGCTGATCTCCTATCTGAAGCATTCAATATTGATTTACTATGTCGTTGATTTAAAGACAAGCGTGTGGAGGAATCTCACCAACTCACCAACTCACTGCAGATCAGGGTACCTCGTGCAGCTGCAATAGCGCACAAAGAGAAGTCACCAGCTCCTATTAAGTCTGTTGAAAACGCTTGACAAATCTGTTGACAGGACGGTACCCATGAGAAGCACCACTGCCAGCCTGAGCGGATCAAAAACTCAGTCGAATTATGTGGAAGGACGTGCAAATGCATGACAAATATCATGATCGAGTTGCTCAAAATGGGCCTTTGCTGCATTCTCGGTTAACCTATTAGGTACTCCGAGCTTCACGTACCGACGCTGTAGAACTCTATAGGTTTGGGAGGCTTCCCAAAATGCACACGTGTGACCGGGTTTCGAAATTGGCCGGTGTATCTCGGGGATCCCTCAGAACAAAGCAGTGGTTTTTCGCGCGCGGGTGTGGGGTGCGTACCACATGAGCGTGACGCCGCGATCAGGCGTGGCCCAGGGTCATCATTGCATGCTACCAGCGAGATGCTCGCATGCCCAGGCCATGACTCAACTCACAGAAACTCAGCTCCTATCATCTCAAATGCAGCCTATAAAATGCAGAAAGTTTCGCGCGCGCAGCGACAGTAACTTGAGCCACCACTGGCACATCCCCTGGAATGCAATCGTCAGGTTGGACGTTCAAGTATTCAACATAGCGAAATGCATTTGGAAGGCATGAGATGGATAATCATTTCGAACGAATTTTGAGAACCGTTCAGTCTAGATGTCATAGATGATTAACCCGGCTGGTCGAGGCCATGTGATCATTCCATATCATGATCAGCACAGGCCACAGCTTCAAGCTGCTGGTCACCCGATTGTGTAAAAAGCAACTCCGGGACTTCGGATTGCGTATCTCAAAATGCTCTCAGGCTGTTCGTTCCTCGTTCTCTGCCGTGCCAAAAAACGCGAGAAAAGCAGTTGAAAAGCGATATAGTAGCAGCCATGTACGTTGAGTACCACATCAATCTATGGGTTGCTGGGAGTCGAGCGCAACGCCCTCCGGACTGAGCGATTAACGGCCGTTACAAGGAACAGACGCTCAAAGAAGCGGTGAATGTTGGAAGCAAGTGGCGCTTCCACGTTGCTGGATGAACTTGCCAGCTTGCTTGTATGGGTCACTGAGTACCGGGTTTCTTTTTGTTGCTTCAGGATCGATGCAGCGCGTTGCCGTTCCCAAAGCCGAGTATCGTTTGCAGCCTTCTCACCTTCAGATCACATGAGATTACGGCAAAGCTTTCACATTCGCGGCCCTAACCTAGAGCTCAATTTTTCATGCTGAAGGTGGCAGAGGAGAACGTGATACGTCGACACGCACTGTTGATCGCTTATGTTCGTCCGTGGTTTTTGGATCTCAGCGCGTGGTCAAGCTGTAGGATTGCCTTGTATACGAGAGCCTACATGGTGGACAAGGAGATGGAGTTGGAGTTGAACTATACCGATAGCGACCGCAAGAAGCTGACCCAGTTGGAACACGTCAGCGAGCGGCCTCATGCTTCATCGTTCCGAAGTGAAGGTTTCAATATCTTAAGGACCCACTGGAAAAGAAGTTCAGTATCTTCCGTAAAACAAAGTTCGTTTGCAGCCCTCCGAAAAGGCCTTTCAGTCCGAACCCTTTAAATTCGCTCAAAACCTCACGAAACTCTCTCTTGATCACCCCCACACCGCGTTGCTCTCGTAAACCGCCACTAAACCCCGTACCGCGTCCACCTCCGTTTCTTCACGGTCGATCTCCGCGCCGATCTTGTGCGCCTCGCCCAGCACCGCGCGCAGATAGCGCTGCTTTTGCTCCCACTTCTCGCGCTCAATCTCGTCCATGGTGTGCTGAGACGCGGCCACGTCGCGCTCGAAGGACGCGGCCGCGGCTTCGACCTCGCCCAACGTCGCCGTCATCTCCTCCAGCAAGACCTGCGCGAGGTTTTGGACGTTTATGGTTGGGCCTAGGGAGAGCAACGAGAGCGGGGGCAACCGAATTAAGGGCAATGAAGCAACTTTGCTACAGTCAGCATGTCACGCTCAGTTGGTGAAGCGTTGCCACGTTCCGAATCAGATTGCCAGATCGCTTTGAGAAGCGTGATCTTAGGTACACATGGAAGTAGTCCTTGGTTGCGAGATCTGATCGAGGGATGCGAGATGACGGCCCTAAAAATGTTTCAAGAGGAAATGGACTTGAACGGTGCCAAAACACATAGACGATAGTGCGGCCCCAATTCAGTACACAAATGATGGGATCGCCGCCTCTCCAGTCCCCTCTTTTCTACCCTGAGAATACCGTAGGACTGCCAGTTTACCTTCCAAGGTACATTGGCCCTTTTCCGCAAAAATGACAGACTCAGCCCCTACTTTCAACAATCTCAAGGTTCATAAATTGGGCGCCCGGCTCACCCTGAAGATTCTCTGATCTTTTGTCTCATTCTCGGGAGGCGGTGGCACCGTCGGCTTAGGCACCGCTCGATCCCGTTCCGGTCCGCCACCTTCCGCCGAAAAATTTCCGTACGAGCTTTCTCTGGCGGGGCTCAGCGCGCGCGCGCTCGCGCTCGCCGGCCGCGGCGCCGCTTCTAGGAATATAGTGGCACCAGGCGCTCTCGGAGAGAGAGCCTTTTGGTGATTGCTAACGCTCAAAACAGTGTGAATTGGCGCCTTTGGAGAGTCTGGGCTGGCAGGTCTTGGGGAGATGTGTTGTACGGGTGATCGCCATAAGAGCCGCCGGCGGACAAGATAGCCGCGCACGTGAGCCTGCGCAAAAATAGAGGGTGTGAGTTTCGGTATCCCATAAACCTTTCGGGCGATTCGATGTTCTCGGAATTCCTGGGTACAAGATTGTCCCGCAACCGTCGAGATACGAAGCAGCTTCTGAGCTCTTCCAATCAACCCAGGTGTTTCCATGCTTGACAATCAAGCTGCCCTTTATCTTGCCTTTTTTGAAAAGAAAACTTTGAAGCCATGTCCTGCGCTCGTCTTTCTTCTTCTTCCAATGATTCGCACCTGCCTAGCTTTCAGGAGCGAGCGACCCTGTCTTATGGCACATTGCTTTCCATCCTAGAAATCTGAACGGAGATAGGCGTGCTCAGGACGGGACACAAGCGTTGGCGCCACGCGCCTGTCGGTTCTCACCTGGATCCTTGCCCCAGCAAGGTTGCGAGCATGCTCCGCCGCCGCTGCCACGTCATCCGCCATGTCATCCCGTATTTCGGCCCCACCCCGGACCGTTTTCTTCCGCTCCTGCTTCACCGGAATCTCTGCTTCGAAGCCCCGGGCGGAACCTGGTCGCGCTGCATTTCCTTCACATCCATTTCCTAACAGCTCCTCATTCGCGTCGAACTCTGGGTCGCCCAGTTTCGCCATCAGTTTGCGCATCATCTTGGCGACGCGCCCTTTCTCGAAGCCGCGCGCGGTCGCCCTCGAAACCCCCAAGCCCCGCCCGCTCGCGACCGTGTCCAGCGCGCGCAGATCGTCGCCGCCGAACACGCGGCCCGCGCCCGCGAAGCGCGCGATGACGTCACACAGCTCCTCGTACGCCTGGCGGCTGCTCGCGGCTTGCATCAGGATGGCGTCACGCAGCGCGCGTGCGTCCGCGTTCATTCCGCCGGAGTCGTTATCGTCATCGAAAGACGAAGCGCGCTGATTGGTGCTCGCAAAATTGGCCGTGCGATGTGCGCCACGTGTCATCGTCCGGCGCAGCAGCCGCACGCCCCCAAGCTCTTCCAATTCGATCCGCCGTCTTTCGGCTGTCGAAGTGGCTTCCTCAGGAAACTCCTCCTGCCTTTTTTCGACAAAGGCGTCCATTTGTTCCGCCGGAAGAGCACCCGTTCCGGTCTGGCGCCGGACGGTTTTCCTTGTCCGGCGACCCTCCATTGTCACCAAACCCTGCACCCACGCCTCTGCCCCGGACGTCGCAGCCGCGGCCGCGGAGTAGGCCCTCTCAGCGGTGTCTTCCAGTTTTTCGAAGCGGGACTCGAAACCGTCATTTTCCGCCCATGCCGATTTTCCGGTCGCTTTGCGGACGCTCTGGGACCGGAACGCAGCGTCGGTCATGAGCGGCTCCGTTCTGTCCGCCGGAACAAGCTCAGAACCGGAAAAGGAGTCCCCGGAGGGACATTCTTGCGTGGATTGTCTTCTACTTTCTGACGCACTTAACCGTTCGCTTTTCTGCCTGGCAGTCCGCTTTCGTTCTGTTCCGCTTCGACTTCTCAACGAGGCGCTTCGCGAGACAGGCCGGAACTCGGGCTCCTGCATCGCACTTGTGTGCTCCCAGAGTTCCGGCTCTTCGTCTCCGCCCCACCCGTTCCGTTCTGCTGACCGACCGGAACGGACGCGGAACAACTCTCGCTGCACGGGTGCGCCCCGCGGTTCTCCTTCAAAACCCATTCGGCGGGTTTGCGTCCGCATAAGCTTTCCCGACGGGACCGTTCCAGAACCAAACGCCTCCGGACGTCCGTCATCGTCCGAAGCCCAGCTCACGCGATTCTTGGCGTCACTCTGCAGGTGGCTGACGTCAGCGAAGCCCCCGCTCTTCACGGTCTCGGCTAGGGCAACGAACGAAGTGCTCCCGAGCGAAGCCGCGGTCCGGACGTCCGATCGCAGGCTCTCGAATAGCCCCGTCCGTCCCGAAACCCTTCCCATGGTTTGGGCGCGCGTCAATGTTGAAGAGCGGCTTGTCGCGAGCGCGCCCGCGCCCGCGGGCGCGGTTTGTGTCCGCAAGAACCGTCGGCCGCTCGCGCTGACGTCAGCCGCCGTCAGCAGTCGAAGGCCGGTCCCCAAACCCCCAACAGTCTGATCTACGACGCGGCGGGTTTGCCTAAACCCTAGCGGGTGGCCGGTGACCCCCAGCAGCGCTTCCTGTTCCGGTTCCGGCGGCGGTTCCGGTGTGAACAGGTCCCGCGGTCGGAAGCCGCTCTCGAGGGCGACCGTCCTCCGCGCGCACTGTAGCGCTTGTGTCGCCCTGTTCACCCCTATTCCGCTCGCCGCCTCGCCGGAACGAAGAAGCGTTCCGCTGGAAGCGAGGGGTCTGCCGGTGTTTCGCAGGACACCGGTCAGGCGACCTGAGAGCCCGAAAGCTTGGGAGGCGGTCGCCGAGAAGCCGCCGCGGGAGGAGCCAAACAGGTAGACGTTCTCTTGGATGCCCGCCTTGGCTAGGATTGTCGCCGCGGCTTCGAGGTGCTCCAGCTCTTTCTGCTCGCGCACAGTCTGCATTCGAGGATGGTCATAAATTGTTTGGGCCGTCAAACTTGGATGTCTGGATTGAGCGTTCTACCTGATACGGGTCGCCTCTTCTACCAGACGTCTGCCAAACGCGATACGAGGCAATGGTTCCAAGAAATATCGATTGAAGGCAGGTGATTTATTTCGAACGGAAGGCTGTTACATAAATCCAAGGGGATTCGTTTCAATTTCTATGTGGAAGCATATTGGTCATGGAAGGCTGATGCCTGCGACTAAGGAAGCATCGTCTACAGGTGATGCCTAATCCAGAAGTTGTTTCCTTCCCATCTTAATCTATGCAAACGGCTGCATTGCTTTCGAGATAAGATGCTCATTTGAAGGTAAAAGGTCGTTCTTTGCATTATTATTTTTGTGGACCCTGTCAGTTACCCTAGCTCTTATACTTAGACTCAAAAGTGGAATTATACGCAAGAGTCAGTGGTGAACAGGAGAAAGGGACTGTGGATCAGCTACGAGAACATCTTTCCAGGATTGGTTGAGCAGGGAGAATGCCTGTTTTCCTGTCGTAACCTGTCGTATGTGTATCATGTTCTCCTGCGTAACGAGCATGAGAGTTCCCCGTCAGAAGCTGTTCTGACTACACGATCTAGTCAATCTTACATGTCAATGTCAGAGGAAAAGAAATTAAACGCAACTTGTGACCTACCTGGACATAAAGTGCATCCTCCCTGTTCTCATCTCCCCTCCTCTCTTCCACCTTCGCCGTTTCCTCCTCGACTTCTCTCTTCTTCTCCTCCACCACTCGTTCCACCGCCGTCTTCCCAAGCACCCCCTCTTCCTCCGTCTGCGTCGTCGCCGCGCGCGCGCCGCGCGCGGCCGCGTGGTGCGCGCGCCGAACGCTTTTCCGAGGCGCCGGACGGTCCTTTTGGACGTATTCAGGGACGATCGTCGCGGCCGCGCCCGCGCTCTCGTCGCCGCTGCTGTACATCTCCCCGGAGGAGCGCTCCAGCTCCCCGTCCTCCGCGGCCGCGCACGCGCGCGCGCTGGCGGCCCTCAGCGCGCGCGAAACCTCCAGGTTCGGAGAGGTCTGGAGGTTCTGGTCGACCTGCGGCGGGAATTCCGCCTGGATCGCCACGGTTTTCCCGCGTTCCGTTTTGGATCTTGTGGCTTTCGGAGCGCTCCTTGAAGATGCACTTCTCTCTTTCTTGGGGGCTCTTGCCCTGCTTTTGGAAGGCGACAACTTGCCCCCCGGCACGACCAAACTCCTAATCTTCTCGAGGATGGCCTTCTCATTGCTGGCCCCTTCTTCCTCTGTCTCCGAACCGCTCCCGGCTGGACTCTCTATGCTCAACGCCGCCTTTTCGCGACCGGTTGAAGCCGACCGGTTCTTCTTGGAACCTCGCACGGACCTGCCCACGTCACTTGACACGTGGCGGCCCGTCGAAGCGCCCGCCACGCTCGCGCACGACTCCGCCTGGCTAACGGAGCCGCGCGCTTCGGCGCCCGCGGCAACCTCCAAACCCCGGCTAAAACCTCGCGACCCGCGCCGGCTTGCGGGCGACAGGACGGAGAGCGGCGTAGAGCTCGCGCTTGCGCTCTCGCGCTTACCGTTGGGAACCTCCAGGGCGACAAGAGATTCTTCTGAGGAGTCTGAGCTGTCGCCGTCGTCCGCTTCGGTACCGATGGAACGCACCGGTTGAGGCCCGGGTGACGCTTTGCTGACGTCAGCTATCTGTGCGCCTTCGATCTGTGACTTCGTCTCATGTGTTACCCGTTCTTGTGATTGAGGAACTGAATCTGTGGTGGCGTTAGCTGGCTCTCCTTGGCCGTACTCCCACAGGAGTCGTTCAAGTTCGGACAGGAAGGCCGTACGGACTGGGTCGACGTCGGTATCCAAAGGCTGCACGAAATGTCCGGGAATGATCATTCATCCAATATTTGTCAGATTTCTGGTATTGCATCATTAGGTTGCTTCTCTTCTGTTCTGTAACATTGCCCGAGGAATAACAGAAGGAAACAGAAAGCAAACCGACGCGTGTGAAAATCTACGGACGCCCCGCTTGAGAACTTTTTGCACATCATAATAATATTCTTTGCTTTATCTTTTGCTTTATCCACTAGAGATCTGAAGTATAATACTCAGAGGGGAAGTACTCATCGGCACGTCCAATAGCTGGGCTGCCTACCCAGTATGCTGTACCAAGACCGGCATTCGTTTCGCTCACTAGGAATAAAGCCGGGAAATCTTACCAGTTCAAATCCGTTCATTCCGCTTCCGCCGTTCCGGCCGACTGTGAGCGTGGTGTAAGAGACCCGCCGCATGCCCTCCAGAGTGGCGGTGGTTGACAGGGAGGACCGGCCCTTGGGAATACGCCGCTCCTGTTTGCAGAAAACGTCGAACAGGTTGGTTGACGGTGAATATTTAGCGCCAACAAAGAACGGTAATTATGTGAAATATAGAGGAAAAAGCACTCTCCCTTAAATTTGAGAGAAGAACCACTCTTCTTAAGACGTATATGTACTTTGGTCCTAGTGATTGGTATTGTAAGCTCGTAGAACTTGGGCGTCTTACTTTTGAGGGGATTTGCTTGTTCATGTGCTGACGTCGCTTGACGTCGCTTGATGCGAGCGAATGTGAAGCAGGCAAGCCCTGATGACAACTGTCTTAAAGCTCGAAAGGGTGACAACGTCACTTTGATGTGAAAAGAAGAGTTCAGATCGAAATTGCATACAACACTTATTCGGATTCAGAAGACCTCAATTATGAGGGTGAATCATTGTTGAACAAGTCCGAGATGGCAAGCTTGGAAAACAAATGAAGAGCAGAAAGTTGCAAGGGGCTTCGGAAGAGAAGTATATTTACTTTTGGTGTCCATTTTGCAGACGATCAAAACTCCTCCAACTGGCGCGTGCAGTTCATCGGTCAGTGTGAATTTTGGAAGAAATGAGGGCTTCCACATTTACCTCAACGCCACATAAAGCGACCAGAAACTTCCAAATACTGGGATTTGCATTAAGACTTGAACCGGTAAGTCGATAACGCGTAGTCGCCGGACGGCTTTTTTAGCGGCGGGACTTGTCAGAGAAAATCGACTTGAGATCACTATCGTCAACTGTCGAGTTTTGAGCCAGGATGCAGTTGCTATGAAAGAGTTGCCGCTCAGTGAGGTAAGGATGACGTAGGTTGAACGACCCGTTTCAAGTCCACGGAGGCACAGCCGGTCGGTTGCGCTCACCAGGAACTCGACAACGCGCGGCTCTTTCGTCTTTAGGCTCGCGCACACCGCCACCACCGTCGCTTGGAGCTCGCGCGCGGGGTGGTACCTGCGCGCGCAGAAAGTGTCGTTTACTTTGAGAACTGTTCTCACTGGTTTGAGTACACTTCTGGTAGATATTCGTTCTTCCGATCACCGTTTCTGTTACTTGCAAGTGGTACGACGTCCGTAAGACTGCAAGACCGTGGGAAGAGCTGCGACCTGCACCGTTCCGCACATGCCAAACGTTTCCAAAACTTGATTCAGATCGAGGAGATCAGACTTTTGTTTTCCCGTTCCTAAAAGTGAGTGGCTCGGCTAACCGTTATCAATCCTAGACGCAGGATTGTCGTTGAACTATTTAACAAACATCGCTTTCAGTATAGATCGGCAGACAATTTCCACGTTTTCACTGTTAACAACCCGTCAGGGCCACCTTCTTTAGAGAATAACATGGTGTCGATCCATGTCGATTTATTATGAACATTGATGTGACGGACGCCTTATTCTTACCTGTCACCAACCAGCAGTCTGCAGGCCCAGCCCGCTATGTCCCGCTCTAGTTCGTCCGGCGTCCCGGGCGCCGTCGCGAGAGTGTGAATAATCTCCCTGTGCTTTGTACACATCGCAGGCAGCGTTGCGCGGCAGTGCAGGTACCATGCCACGTGGCGCAGCCGGTCAAGGGCGGTGTGAATGCTCTCTCGGAGAGTCTCGTCTTCCAAGGCCAAGGGTGGTGGAATATTGAGCTGGCCGCCGTGCAGATCCTGTGACAAGAAGAAAGGCGCTAAAAAGGAATGCAATTTTCGCCAAGGACTTCTGGTTTAGCATCTGAGATGATCACTCTACCTGAAGTCTCGACAAGTGTCCTGAGGTCTGCTCGTCTCAGGGGTCTCGCACACCTGGCAGAATCTCAATGGTTTTCAACGCTTTGATGTGTCCTCAAGGGTTCTCATGCCAGTACCTCTTCAGTTTCTCCTTACAAACGTTCAGTAGCACGTGCACGTGCGACTAGACCAGAGGCTGAGACTCCAGGATACAGGATGCACTTCCCATTTCTCGCAAGAGAAAGGCCGTAAGGAAACGAGAAAATTATCAGCATCCTTTTGAGCAAATCCTCATTTGTTCTTGGGTCAAGATCTTACCAGAGACTGGCAAAGGAACGGCCGCAAAGTCCTTAGCAGAACCGCCAGGGTTTTGCGCAGGGCGGCCGCGGTTTTGGCTTCGGACGCGGGCTCTCCTTGGTCCCCATCCAAGGCCCGCCTGTTTGGACGTCCGGTGTTCAGAACGGGCAGGGCACGTGCGCGCCGGAGGATCCGCTCGTCCAAATTTTCAAGGGCCTGCAATGAATAGAGAGGCTTGCGTACTAGTGAAGATAATCCAGAGGCACGCATACGTTTATCTTAGATACTTGGTATTTTAGCTCATACCCAAATGATCCCCCGGCCAAATGGATAGGTGTGGATATGTTGCGTGAAAGCTGCTTTCTTCTAGTTCGTCTGGTGAAATCTGCTGTCTTCTAGGCAGGACGTCACTTCTGGTGTCTCCCGTCCGTCTTCGGACATACGACTTGAATTTACAACTCAGCGTTTACCATGTTCGGACGTTCAACCTCCGGAAAAAGTTTTGTCCCCTATTTGTTTATGGTTCAGTAGAAGCCCTGAAGCAAGATTGAGCCAAAATATCCTTAATAGGACGCTGATCCTGGTGGTGCTGTTGGTCAGGCCACCTGTACTGATCATCGAGCAATAAAATGAGAACGCTCACCTTTCGGACGAGCTCTTTCCCGTCCGCGCCCGCCCCGAGCAGCCTCTCCGCGAGCTCCAGCACGTCCGCAAGCTCGTCAACGTCGGCCCGCCTCGCGGCCGCGTCCAGGGCCGCCGAGACAATCGCGACCGCGGCCGCGGCGAAAGCGGCCCCGTCGCGCCCGGGCCCTTGGAGCTCGCGCGCAATCCTGGATAGATTAATGAAGACGACATCAGAGAGGGTTTGTCCACCTTATGCGTCATCGTGCGTGGCCGTTTCTATGATTGACACGGGATGATAGCGCGCTGGACGCGAGGGGCGTTACGCTCGCACTTTCGCTTCGTCCTTGCAAGGGGTCTAAGCGCTTGAGAATTGGTCATACTTACACCTTCCATTCAATATCCAGAATATGCTCCTCGAATCATAGATAAATTGCTTCTCTGCCCATTCCTTCCTTCCTGCCAGTAGGATCAGGAAGCATTTAGCGTCTTTGATTGTTAAGTTGCAAGCCGAGGTGACACGTTCCCACCACCCTAACACTCTATCAGCTCTACCATTCGTTTAGTCAAATGACTTGGTACAGGCGAAAAAAGTCTTTTACAACGTATTACTCTGCACGAGTGTTTGGTGAGGCCAAGGCCCGTTCTTGGGGTTATGAGTCGTTGCTCGGAGTGGAAAAGCTCATAACCATATGTAAACTTTGAGACAAGACAGCACAATGGACGACGCTTTGCTTACTCCATTGCCGTTTCTGCCGCCTGTCGCCAGTCGCCCGCCCCACGGAGCAGCCCCGCGGCCGCCTCGCGCTCCCCGCCCTTCACCAGCCAGTCCACCGCGGCCGCAATCGCCCAGAAGCGCCGCCGCTCAAGTTTCCTCGCACTCAGCTCCTCGGGAGATCGTTCCCCGAGCTGGTACCCGGCTTTTTCCTGAGCTTGACTGCCCTCGGTTGATAGCGCCGGGTCGATTCGGCCGTTTCCGTGTCTCTGGAAGACGATGCGCGCCGCCAGATCGAAAGCGGGATCGGCTATGCCCTGCGGGCCATCGCTTATCGGGTTGCTTTCGGCGAAGGACGGCCGTCGCGAGGTTACGGCGGGATTTGAGAACGGCGTCGCATTCTCTTTTTGGTTTTCGCTTAGACTCGATGGTTTCTTGCTAACCGGATGGCTCTCTCCCCCGGGGGCTTCTGCGGATGGTCTTGCAGGGACACTATCTGCCAGAGCCTCACCCGCTTTGTCTTGTCTCGGGTTAGAGTTAACCTCCGGCGCACTCGCCCCCAACTCAAAATGCGCGACTCCCTGCGCGAAGCTCTGAGGATCGACGCGCACTCTCCGCCCGTCGAACCCGAGGCCCCGCCAGGAAAGCGGCGAGGGAAACGCAAGCTTTGCATCATATTGGGCTTCCGCGACCTTTTCTGAAACAGGGCCTCCAGCGGAGATGATATGACTCCAGGCCGCCATGAGTAGCCCGAACTCTCTGCACATCGAAGCGAACACGGCTGCCACCACCCGTGGATGCTTTCGACACTGCGCCCTTAAAACCGTTCGATACGCGTCCGCCGCTTCTCCGCCGTCCGATGAATCCCGCTTGCCTTTCGCACCGTCCGATTCGCGCCCCGCCTTTTCACACAGGTCCTCCGCCAGGTGCATCACGCCCACGGCCGCGCTGACGTCACACCGGTGCACGTGTACGGCCAGGACACGTGGCAAGCCCAGGACGCCCGCGCGCGCGTACGCGGCCGCGGCTGCGTCCTCCTGTCCGAGAAGGAAGTGCTCGTCGCCGTCCGAAACCGCCGCTTGCGCTTCGGACGCGAGCGAATCCACCTCGCCTTCCAGCTTAGGATCGGTACCATGTCCGAGCTTCTTTTCTCCTGACGCCGTTTCGACACCTGCCCGGCGCAGGGCCTCGGTCACGATGACGTCAGCCAGCTCCCCCGGTTCTATCTTCTCGAGTTCTGAGTGCCCGTCGTCGAGAATCGGTCCCCCGGCGGCCCAGAAGGCCAGCATCCTTTGACCCGATTCTGAGAGGACAATCTCTTCTTTCCTGTCCCCCCCTTTGACTCGCCCCTTCTGCCGCGCGAGATGCGCGATCAGCTTCCACACACCGCGCGTCCGTTCGTGGCGACACTCCGCCGGTGCCTCAGTCCCGCTGAGTCGCCGTTCTTTGGAATCTCCCGGGGACAGTGCCGTTCCGTCGAGGACCGGAAGGACGGCGCAGCAGAGGTGCAGCGCACAACGCAGGTGACCCGCTGTGAGACGAAAACACAAGCTTTACAGTTGAGGATTTCAAGGCAAAGGAAAATTCAGATGACGCAAGATGAAGCTGTGACCGCTGTTTTTCAAACACAAGCTTCGCTTCGACTCATTTCGCAAGACCGTCCCGCTTCTTTTCTCTTGGATCGTCAGTCATATTGCACAACAATCGTCGTCAAAAGTCCAAGGGAGGGAGCGACAGAGATTCTATCTGTTTTCACCTACAGAATGGCACGACCAAAGTACCGATTCTAACTCACCTTCAAAGAGGCTCTCCACCAGCTCCTGCAACGTCAGCCATAGCGCGGGGCGGCTGGTCCGGTAGCGCGTGTCCAGGCGCGCCGCGGCCGCCATCGCGTCCGCCGCCACGCGCACGTGCCTCTGACACGTGTGGCCATCGGGCGGCGCCAAGGAAGCGAGTGCAGCGCACAGCTGTCGCAAGTGAGAGGATGGTGAGCTCTTATCGGAAGTGGATCAAACAGAAGGGTGCCAAAGATAAATCTCTTCCTTCGTCTTTCTGACACAGCTTGGAGTTCGGATGTCGAGAAGGTAGGCGCTTGTGGGAAATGGTGGCAAATTGGCGCGCTGGGAGCCCGAGGTTGTAAAAATTTCGTCTGGAATGTTCCCTACCCGCCCTTCTAGCAGTCCACAGAAGTAGCCTCACTCAGGGGGCAAGCCTAGGCTGGAAAACCATTCCGCACCGGATTCTGACCCGCCACAGCGATCGTGAAGACTCGTGCGATGGACGGAGGGGCTCAAGTGACTTCTGCTTCAACTCGTTTCGTATTTCTGGATAGCTTTCCAGCGGTCGATGCAACCGCTAGCTGGGATCACCTCGGATCGGACGGCCAGGAGCGCGCCCTGGTAGTAGCCCTTGCCATCGCAGCGGTCGCCAAGTGGCAGCACGGCAGCCGTTCGCCACGTCAGCCCTGCCCTCACGGCGGGGCTTTTGTCCACGTGGAGAGGTAACACGTTCTCTGCACAACCGCTTTGAAATATGAAGGGTCCAGCCAAGATACAGAACCAGAGTTTCAAGGCTTTTAACTGCATATATTGGATCTTGGCAAAGGCTCGTGAGTCGTATACGTCCCCCACGATTCTGGCGGTTGCATCGTTCGAAGGTGAAACACTGCGTAGTGACCAGAGGTGGATGAAAGTTTGTCGGCGATTGCCTGGGAGTGAGATTCCAAAGGGCCTCCGCAGAATCCGCAAAGGCCTCATGCGCACTTCAAAAAAAGACTTCCGTATTGCCCACTCATTCGTCAGTAGGTACACAACTTTCAGTCCCCTTCACGACTTTGGCTATTCAGCTTCTACGAGCGAGGTGTCCCTACATCAAAAAGATGAAGCCTCTGACGCCGCGTTTGGGAATCTCCCTGGAGCACATTATGATATAATTGTAACTTATCATACATGGGGGTGGGGCTATGATCTGGGAGCATAAGGAACTTTGGTGCCCGCTAATGATCCCTACCCAACCTCCGTGTTTATCATTGCCTTCGTCGCTGCTCCACCTATGAGATATGGCAGGCGTAGTTTCGATCTACAGCTAGCCTCTGCGTGCGCTTCAGATCTTCTAGTTGAGCACTTGACCTTTGTCCCACTAATCACCCGCTCGCTTTGTGGTGGCCGAACACCTTAGAAGTTTGAAAACCAAGAAAGTTAATGAGAGGCCCATCCTATAAATTCTAGGTCCGCTCGACATCGCCAACGAAAACCTTGCTGATACTTTGAAGAGTCCCACAATTGTTCCTGTAAGATCAAAGCGCAGAGTATCTCACCGACCGCCTCTCCTGTCGCAGTCGCCATCAGCATGGACGCACTGTACTCGGTTCCGATCCCAGGCACCGTCCACACCGCCACGTGTTTCCCCCTAGATATCGTCACGTGTACGCTTGCGCCGCCCCCTCCCAAGCTCGTGCTCGGGTATATACACAGGGAGTACGGCTCCGCTGCCCTCTCTGCTTTCGCTGTGATCGAGCCCGCCTCCTGACCGGAACGGCCGGAACCGGAGCTCCGGCCGAGGCTGAAGAACGTCCGGAACGGGCTCGTACTGCGCGCAGCGCGTTTTGGACCGTTGGTTTCGCCGCCTACCGTGTCTGTCCGACCTCTTCCGCCGGATTCCGCCAGCGTTCCGCTCGAGCTCCGCCGGAGCTTGCCGGTGGTCCCGGCCTTGACCTTGTCCGGGTCCCACAAACCCTGCGTCCAAACCTCTTTCCTCAAGTACTTCTGCGGGCCCGTATCGGACGGTCCGGTATTCCGATTCGGCGCTTTCGTACGTCCGAAAAACGAACGCAGGGAGGGCTTCGTGCTGCTGACAGCGGACCCTGAAAGTGCGCCCTCGATCACCGTCATAACCCTTCCCAGCCTGTCAAACAGTGCCACGTGTCCTGCCGTGTCAACCGCAGCCAGGATCGCGCCACGTGGCGGCGCCCAAGCGACACCGCAGATCTCTGGGAAAGCGGTGGTGCGCTGCGAGGACGACGCGGAGGGCGCACCACGTGTCGCGGTCCTGTTCGCCGGAGGGGAGAAGAGGCCGCCCGAGGCTGTCGCCTGCGGCTCGTGGGTTGGGGACAGAACGCCCCGGAAAAGCACCCCCGCTGCAGTGCCGTCGTCTGCGCTTTGGAAAGTTGGCGACAAAATTCCCCCCGACTGATTCGCACCATTACTCTGCATAGACAGAAGTGCGCCGCCGCTGCCCGTCCGTTGCAGAGACCCTTTCTCCGTCCCTTGACTCTTTTCCGGGCTCTTTCTCCCGAGACCCAAAACCTCCTTTTCCCAGTCAACTTCCCCAACCGTCTCGAGCTCGTGGTTTAGAATCAGTAGCCGGCCGGCCCTTCCTCCTCTGTTACTCTCCCCCCGCACCGCCACTGCCAAGAGCGCCCCGCTAGGGTCCCATTCTAAAGCGAGCGTTTCGCTCGCACGGCGGCGCCACTCCTCGCATTCGGGGGTGCCGAGACAGCCCGGAAAGGACCCCATGGGAACGTCGTTTTCGCCTGACTCCGCAAAAGGACCGCTCGATTCTAAAGCCGTTTCTATAGTCCCAAAAGTCGTGCAGGAAAAGACTTTCTGCTGGCGGGGTCCGATACGTTTGACCGTCCAAACGTGGTATTCGTCCCGCTGTATTCGAACCAAAGGTCCGGACAAATCCGCACCAGAGACTGGGTCTGCTTCCTGTGCGGAAGTGTCCGTAAAAAGTCCTGCCGTCTCTGGCCCTATTGATCTTTCCAACTTTGTCGTCACCTCGTCATCTGGCTCGCCGGAAACTCTAGTTAACCCCTCTCCTGACCCGTCCCCGTCCTGTAACCCCTCCACTACTCCTTCTGCATCTCCTTTCTCCACCCCTGCTTTGCGTTGGGTGCTTTCCTCGTCTCCCTCTCGTTTTGACAGATCGTCACTGCCCTTTCCGTCTCCCAATGTGGAAGCGCTTCCAGTGTCTGACGTCATCAAGTCGGACCCCTGTCGACAGTCAGCAGGCGATAGCGGTTTGATGTGACATGCCGCCACGGTGACGTCCAACACTCCCCCGCAGCAGCCGCAGTGCACCCCCGCCGATGCGCCCAATCCTTCACCCTCTTGCATGTGCTCGCTGATGCTGGCAAAGGCCAGTGATATCGAACGGCCGACAATCACATCCGTGTGGAATCGGACGGTCGGAAACCTAGTTTCGAGACCCTTATCAAGCCCTTTGGAGAGCAGCGCCGAATGCGCACTCTCAAGGGAAGCTTGATCCGCGGAGACGTCGGCAGTCTCTTCCAATGTCTGAGAAGCACAGGGCTGAGGAGTGGTTTCTCCATCAGGCCCAATGTCCCGCCACAGCCCGTTTAGAAACGGTAGCTTCAGCTCGCTCTCCCCCACTCTGCGCGCCCCTTGCACTGACGAGCTAGTTCTAAACGAGCATCTCTGACAGTGCACACCTCCGCAGGCGTGCAACTCGTCCGCTTCCCATGCGGACAGCTGGCGATCCGTCCGAAGCCCCACGACGGACCTGCCGTCGTCCGAAACGGCCAGCCACAGCCAGTCCTCCCCAGGAACCCCTTCAGGCTTCCCCTCGCTTTCACTTCTGGCATTCCGCTGCGTTCCTGTCGAAAGTGTCTCCTCAACAGGCCGATCGTAGACCGCTGATTCTGCACTCGTACCCCTTTCAGAATTGTCGGTCCCATTGAGAGCTGCATTGCCAACAGATGGGCCAGACTCTGGTGCAGCACTTTTACCAATTGGTAAATGCCACTCAATCACGTGCGCTTTGCTTTTGCCTCGTTCCGGGCTCCGGTCCCAGATTGCAAGCCACCTCCGCCAGGGGGATGCGCCAGGCAGCGGTGGGAGGGGGGTGACTGCGAACCGGCCATTCTCGGATGTCCACACTCTCCCAGTCTGTTTCAGGGCAAAGGAGAGGGTGGTGTGAATTAGAAGGGCCGACAATCTGGGTGGTTTGAAATCGGTTCAATAAAACCTGAGAATTCCAGCACACAGATAGCCATGATGGTATGGTTTAAAAGCCTGGAAAAGAGAGTACTGTCAAGAAAGGACGAGAATGTTGACTTGATCCATTGAATCAAGTGCCCCGGCGTCAAGGAGGCGCTGAAATGCAAAGAGGTACAGATTATGCGTACCACCAAAGTGGTATTGGTGATTCAAAGTTTCTGCTAGGTGGTAGACGAAATTCCTTCGAGCAACAGAGGTGAGACTTTTACTTTCTGCTAGGTGGTATTTTCTTCGAGCAACAGAGGTGAGGTTTAAAACTTTTTGCTAGGTGGTAGAAAACGTTTCTTTGAGCAACAGAAGCTTCCGACATACATATTTCTCAGAAGTACGTCACCTGAATGTTGGAGAGCTCTTTTGGCTTTCCAATCGCCTCCCCATGCACCGACACGAGCCCCTTCCTTCTTCCATCCTCCACAATTGCTGGGGCTTGGACCGTCCCCAAGACACTCCCGTCCTCAGCCAGCTGAACCAACCGAAGCCCTGAGCTTCTTTCATTCCTCCCTAGCTTCTTGCATCCTCCCAGCACCTGGGGAGCTCTACCGACCACTCTCTTTCCCCAGTCATGCCCCTGCACTCCTTGAGATTCCGGCACCTTCCCGCTGACTTTGAGAAAGCAAGCGGGCCGCAGAGAGAGCAACATCGTGCCAAGCTGCCTGTGGATCACAGGGCAGCTGGCAGGGAGCTGGCTATTCAGGTGACAGAGACACAGCTGCAGGTTCCATCATGCAGAGCTCAGCGTTAGGAGACAATCTGCTGGCCAGGTAGCTTCAAATTCAAGTTGGTCCCTACGTAACTCGCCCCTTTTGGCGCCAACTTCCTCCAACCAGCATCACTACCCATTGGCTTCACTTCCTGCATTCAAGTTCAACAGTGCGCAATCAGGTACCGGTACTCATCAACTGCTGATGCATAGGGGTCAAAGTACTAATCAGAGCTAGCTTGTACTACACACTCTCCCGCTGGTCTACAACCGTCGATGACTAGAATCAACGGTTCAGATGAAGGAGACGGGCTGATAGAGACGGTATAGTTCCGGGTCCAGCTTCATTTGCATGCTTGTCGGCGACACCACCCCTTGGTAATGGAAATATGTCATTGTCGCTCAAAACATACCGGACTTCTCCTAATATGAGTTGCGTGCCCGCTCTAGATAGTCAAAGCCCTCAGCTGGCTGCCTTTGTCGTCTCTGCTGTGCATGTCGGACGTGCTGCATCGGGTGAGCTGCGCAGTGTGCATCGGGTGAGCGTGAGGGAGGGCGGCTGCTTCTGGTGGCATGCTGTAGCTTCACTCTGTCTTGCATACATCTGCCTCAAGATCCTCCAATCAGCAGAAGGCCCTTTTCCTGCAGCGGACGGCATTGTCTTTCTCCCGGCTGCAAGCTCTGTGACTAGTGGCAGTTATCCTGCAACCTTCATACCTGAATCTGGGATTTTTGGGGTCGTTACGATGGCTAAGTACTTGAAGATATACAAAATGAATTGGCAGCAGATCCTACGCAATGTGGGCGGCTTGGTTAAGCAAGGCGGCCCGCTGTATCCAGAACCGGTGTGGTACGAGCCGGCACTTTCGTGAGACGACCATCCTCACCCGTTTTCTCTTTTGCAAATGCTCCTTTTGTGGCCCAGCGTGCCACACTTTGGATTTAGAAGAAGTCCCTGGCAGCCCTTTTGCTGGTCCTGTGTCAGCACTTTTCAGGTGCAGGCAGCGTAGTTACTTTCTCGAAAAGTGGTAGGTTGCAGAAACTTTGATGCACTCCTGGATTGTGAGAAAAGGCAACGTGGGCTTATATGTGGACTTCCTGAAGTGTTAAGCTAGGACTTCTTTTGCAAGCTTTTCAAGGCCTTTCTTACCTACCGGTAATCTCTGAAGGCACTCACTCTCCATATAAGATTGTCCAAAGCTTTCTGTTAGACTGATTAGACAACCCTCGAGGATTCTGGTGGTGTTCACTTGACCACCACTCTGAACCACCTGTCACATCAGCAGATCGTGTCGATCAATGTGTTAAACCCAAAGAGTCCGGAAGGTTGTCCTTTTGACCATGCTAAGAGAGGTCAGCTAACCCTCTTCTTCCTTTCTGCAGTAGAAGATCTTGGTCAGGCGTCAACTGGTTTTGGTTGCTGTCAACATATTTCTGTCACTGACTTCTCTCTCTCCTCTCTCCTTTGTGCAGAGTGGCTCCTCGCCCGGAACAGAACAAGTTCAAAAAACCTCCACGGCCGCCCCAGATTGTTCTTCCGGAGGATGAGCATGTCAAGGCGTTCTACAAAATGTTTCCAGAGGAGCAGAATTACACTACGCATTACAGTTATGGGTAGGTAAATACAAACTTATCTTCCGGGAAGAGCACACCGTGCTTTCCATACAGTACTTCTTCGGCGTGGCAAGCAGCATTTGCTTCTTGATTTCGGTCAGCTTTTGAGAAGATCTTACCTGGGGGCTTCCGGAACATAGAAACAACGGACAGAAATCCGCATCAATCTTGTTTCCAAATCATGGATAAATCCAAACCTTTGACGATCCAATGAGTTGTCTTTGAGCCCCTCACATGGTTCAAGAATTTTGATAGAGATTCTACAGTGAGGCTGGGTTGAGAATGACCCGTTACTTCTCACATCAAATCTCAGGAACTCAATAACTTCCTTAACGAAAGCAATGTCACAGGTATCGCTTTTCAGCGCCTTTTTCACCACAGAGCCTTGCCTCTTTCTGCATACGTAGTCATACTAGGCGCGTCATTTGTGCAGAATCTGTCACACTGCTTGCTTGTCCACAGAGGTCTCGTCGTTACGTTCCATTCAGGTGGCTGGAGCTCTGGAAACTGACTTCCACTTTCCATTCTGCAGCCCTGGCGCCACCCTCGCAACCATACCCCCCGCCAGGATATTTGCTCACCGGGTTCTCGACTTATTGAGAAACGATTACGATTTGCCGACCGCTTATGAGATAGCAGTGGTAAGTGGTCCCTCGCTAGTGCTTCCGCCATGTGGCCTTATTTCGAGTTTGCTAAGGCCACACTTTTCTTCCACGACAGAAGAAGAGCAAGCGCTGAAGCGGTCTTTGCCAACCGGTCCTTGTTGAGGATGAGATATATTTGGATTCATGAGGATGATTTTTCCAAGTCTTCTAAGCAATTGGGGACTTGCACCCAACAAGACTTTATGTCCAGTCCACTTTCTTATGGAAGCCTTTGGAAACGGTCAGAAGACGACAAACGAAAGCAGCACGGGAGAGCCTGGCACTGCATCAATTTGCAATCTCATCTTTTACACTAATCACGTGGCTAATAAAGTACTTGGAATTCTCTGGTGCTCTTCATGGAGTGACGACGCCTTTGCCGGCACTTTGCAGGACGAACACGAAGTACGACAAGAGTTTGGGAGCGACGCAGCCTTCCGGGAGGCTCTGGAGCGGATGAAGTACGGGGGCTCGGAAGACACGGAAGAGGTCAATGCATCTGGTTATGAAGACGAAGAAGATGAAACAGAGTATACGGAAGGAGACGAAGCAGAGGTTTTGGAATCTCAAAGAGAGTACCCAAATGACGAGGGCGACTATCCGGACGAGGAGGTGGAGTATCCGGACAAAGAATTTGAGTATCCGGACAACGAAGGAGACCATACAGAGGGGAACCAGGTAGCACAGAATGGGGCTCGGACTTTGACAACGGATTCGAGACAATAGCCTTTCTACAGATTTGTCAAAACGACCCCTGTTGACAGCACCGGTCCATGCTCTTACTCGTGACCTGGGGGCAAGGCGGCAATATGTTTTGGAGTCGTTTGAATTCATTGGGTACTGGTAATTCTCAATCATCAATCACGACTTATGGGGTTCGCTCTTAGTAGATCTAGTTGGTCAGAACGTATGCGAGGCCTGGGCAGCGCCGGGATCCTTCTCGAGTCTAACACAACCCTGCATGCTGCCATGCACGTATGTGATCGACACCGGATTGTCGAGCGCAAGGATGACCATATGGCTGCAGATATATTGCTTGTGTCGGAAACTGACTCATGTATGAGCATGCTGGCACGATTTTCATGTGACGGTACATACATGCATTTAGCTATTCGCGCGTGTTGAAGCTATTTGGCGAAATTCTTTATCACCGATCCTGCACGACTTCGTTGTCAGCTTCAGAATCGTTTAAGTGTGATCGATGCTATCCGACATGCTCAAGCTCGCTCCATGACATGCAGAATTGGACAGTCGTGTCTTGAGTGTCAATGGCTGACTGTCTCGCTGACTGATTGCAGGGAATCTGAACGCAGTTCTAGCTATTCAAAGCGCATGTAGGCAAATAAGTGAGGCTGAATGACATATGCATGTCTCGACCACGTTTTCAACCCATGTGATGGCGGCTCCATGGTAGCAGCAAAGTATGAAGTCTGCGCACTGCGTATACTCATGAATGCTTCAAAACAAGAGCGTCCGAAAGTGCACAAAGCAGCAGCAGTCGGATGCGTCCCGGCCGTTGCTAATCCATTGCGATCCAAGGGTGGTATGCTTTGTAAAACTCTCAGCTCCCCTTCTAAGCTCCTAAGGTGGGCATGACGACTTGCAATAGGTAACTATGCTCTAAGTCGCAAGCTGCAATATGGATAGGAGCTAGCACTATTTGAGTTGGCCGGAAGTAGTTCAAGCAGTTGGCTTTCAGTTCGGACTCCATAGAAGCAGTCCAGCCCGATAGGAATAACAATCACACGTTTTGGATCCGCCTCCCACGTAAGCTTTCCACGACCAGTCCCGCCTACCTCCAAGAAACTGCAACTAAGATAACCCCAGTCTGCAAACAGCTTTTGCAATCTGGCAGGTCTACGCTGCGCTGCGTGATGCCTACACAAGTGGCATGAGTTCACCTTCCTGGATATGAAGCAAAAGGTCAAAACCTTCACAAATCAACGAACTCTATTCCCTTAAAACCTCATTTTCATTAGGGGGCTCATCCTCAACCAAGCAGATCAGCTCTCCATGGCCTTGCTGTCCGGAAGGTCAGCTGGAGGGGGTTCCGTCACTACCGGGGCACTCGTCTCGGCAGGCTTCTCCTCCGGGGCTGTGAAAAAGGAGTAGGATTCAGCGGACTATGCAAGTAATTTCAAACAGAAAAGCTTCATCGAAGCTCGGCTAAGGATGTGCCAAGGGCGAAGAACAGCGCCGCTGCTCTTACTCTGTAATCTGGAAAGGACCTCACAGTGTCGTACAAAATGCTCCATGCTTTACTGTAAAAGTTGACCTCAAGCACGACCTATTGCTTGGGACCTTGTCAGGTCATGGCGAGTGCAACAAACTTCAGTTCGATTCAAATAAGATACCTTCCTTTCCACAGGGAAGTCAGTACGGGCTGCTTACCAGTCTCCTTCTTGCTGAAGTAAGTGTCCAGGTCGTCGTCCAACATTTTCTTGGCACTGTTGGCATCTCCCAGTCGCCACTGTAATACGAGGTGCCAGTCAGCACCCAAAACGTTTTGTTGCCACAATGGAGGTCAACTGCTTTGTGACGGCAGAAAATACCATCATATGGAAAACGAAGCGAGTGACTGACCGGAAAGTTGGACAATTATTGCAAGCCACCTGTGTTCGGGAGTGTGTTAGAAGACACTATGTCGAGAAGTGCCTTTCAAACGCTTCAGCTGGTTGCTCACTTCACTTCGTGTCGAACCGCCATGTTCCAAAAAACATGCAGACCACAGAGATGCAATAGATGCAACAAAGAGAGGCTTCTAAATAGAGGCTTCTTGATAGAGCTTTGCAATTAAGCAAAAGATCCCCGACCTTGTCTAAGTCTGCATCAAGGGACTCCTTTGTTACTGTCTGCCCCTTCTTGCCCCCACGCCCTCTGCCTCTCTTACCACCCCCTCGATCAGACTTTTTCCCTTGGCCCCCCTTCCAACTCTGCTTCTGCACGCCCCCCTTGGCTGCATTCCTACCAGACCGTCCATCACCAATTGCCGCTGCTTTGCCTCCCCCCCGGCCGCCTCGCCCTCGCCCCACCATTGCAGCGTGGCGAGCTTGAGACACCACCACCAAGGACGTGTAGACACTGTACTGTGTACAACAAACGAACCCTCGTCCTGAACGCGCTCTAGATAGATATCCTTTGCCTCGCTTGCTTGCCACTTCTTCTCTTCTGCAGATGTAGTATCACTTTTTTGCTCAAAAGTTGCGCGAGCAATTTTGTCGTCGCTCGCACTCACGTCCAGCTAACAAATGACGCTAGAGATGTTTTGCGCGCGCAAGTTTGCTCGCGCATTTCCGGGCAATTCGCTGATAATGGTGAGATGTGGTTTTCAGTAATTCAGCTACGCCATTCAATTTGTGCCAGTTGGTGGTGCTTGGCTCAAAGTGGAGCTTTAAACATGTAGACCTGGTCGTTGCTTCAGGAATCGTGGACAGTGGTGGCCCCTTTGAAAGCTAGCGTGGCCCTGTAAGTCGCCAGCTTTTCAGGTGCGCCGCGCCGAAGCACTTGAACAGAATGGCATCCAGTGGGTGCATTGCGCAGATGGCGCAGCGGCTGAAGAGCCATTCCTTGGCTGGCTGTCGACCCTTGGATTTAAACGCCACGCAATCATTCAACTCATTAGGGCACAGCATTCCTTTCCTGCCAAGACTACCTGCAAATGGCACCCTTTTGAGCAACAGCGATTCTCTTTCAGTCTGCAAATACCCGTTGGTCACGTCACAGAGTGCACCTGAAATAGGCTCCCGAGTGGTGGCAAGGGCTGGTCTACACACCTGCAGTAATCAGTTGCGGCTGAGCACAACTCCTCTTCGTACAGACCCCAGCAGAAAGGGCCAAGGTTCTCTTTTGAACGGAAGGAAGCGGCGGAGCGTGCTGGTCAATGCAAACGGAGGCGACTTTGAATTTGACGACGGTGATGATGACGGCGATGGGGGTGGTGCCCTGGATGGAGAGGGGCTTGACGACATCGAGTTTGAGTTTGACGCTCCCGAGGGGGACCACGACCAGGACGACGGGGATGCTTACGCGGACGACGAGGAGGCGGTCAACCTGGAAGACGAGGTCAAAAATGCTGTCCTTGTCTTACACTGCTTCTTTCTGAGTTCTATCTTCCACCTGCTGCTTCTAATGCCAGTATTTGCGAGCAGTTTCGTAGTTTTGTAGTCTCAACCTTTCTCAAAGTCTTCCTTCCAGCCATTTCTTGGTCATCGATCCAGGACCACGGTTCCTCTGTTAATTGGTCACTACTCATCACTCATACTGTCCCGGCTCCGTGACTTTGTGGTGCTTTAGCCTTTAGGTATCTGCTGTGAAGCAGATTCTAAGCTGTTGTGTCGGTCAATTATCTGCGGCTGGCTTTGAGTCGTGGTAAAGCGACCGTACGAGTGTGCTACTGCTGTAGTCTGAGTGGTGGTAGTCATGCTGGAGTACCGTTGAGCAAACGAAGCAAGCTATGATTGAGAGGCTTTGCCTCATTCCTTAAAAAACATAATTGGGTAATGTGTTATAGGGTGTCCGTACTAAAGTGGAGAGGCTATCTACTGGAGATTTGAGCCGGGAAATGTAGCCACATCTGTAAGCCAAAAGCTTAGGAAGGGCGCCGACCTGACAGAAGCCGCGGAAGGAGAACGTGGACCAAATTTTAGGTTTTTTGGAACCCCCCCTGCTCAGTACCCTGAACTGCGCAAACTGTGTTGCTGCCCCCGGCACCGGCCAAGAAGTCGTAAGATGATCGGGCAGCTTTCTGGGTAAAGCGCTTTTGACCCACAATAAATGTACACCACAAGCTGTATGACCGGGACGGAATCAATTTGAAACACCGGGTGTGAGGATCCGGCCCGGTCCGCGCGGGCTCAAAAAGGGTACTAAAGCCTGGGCAGATCCCAAAAGTGCGAATTTGGTCCACGGTCTCCTTCCACGCATTCTGAGATGTTCCCAATATATACACAGGGCAGCCCAGGCTGGCGTGACCACGCTTTGAGAACTTGACGTCAACCTTCTCTCGGGCCTCTGGCTATCTGTCAAATCACATTCCTTGTACAAACCTGACAGCCTAACTTGGATTAGTGAACCAATTGCAGGACTTCGAGATTGACGATTACGAGACGCTTGATCCTGAGACGATCGATGTCGAGGACCTAGACGAGATGATCTCAGCGGAAGGCCTGGGGGATACGTCCAAAGTCCGGCGCGTGCCGTACAAGATCGACGAAGATTATTACCACAAGCTGCGCTGCCAGAAGCCGCCGTTCGATTTCTACATCCGGAAGAACGAGCAGGGATTCCTCAACTTGAGCCAGGTGCGAAAATCGCCATTTCTTTCTTGGAAAGCGTTGTTAGAGTGACTGAGCAAGCGGATCTTTTGGTGCCTCTGAGTTTGAATACAGTGCTGTCAGGAGCGGGGATGTTTTGCTCTGCTTTGCCTGCGAATATTTTGTCCATAAGTAGGCACCTAAAACCGAAAGGCCATCGTCTCTTATGGAGCTCTTCGGATATTCTCAAACTAATCTGCTTGAGGAGACTTAAGAAAGACCTGGTTACGTGTTCAAAGTTGCTCTGCAATCGCTGCCAATGACTTGCATCCTTTCATTGCAGATCTACGGAGGGGATCCGTACTCGGAACGTTACGTCATCCCGAGTATGAGTGGTGACATGCCGAATGAGGTGAGCCACGAGACCTGGCAAAATCGCTTCCGACGAACTTCGAGAGTGACGGGAGGGTTCGCTTCAAGTTAGGGCACGCCATATTTTCCTAGGCCGTTACCTTACCTTTCACAGAACTCGTGATTGGTAATTCAGGTGTGCATTACCTTTCACAGAACTCGTGATTGGTAATTCAGGTGTGCAAAAGCTGACCGATCAGTCCATCAACTCGACTTGTGCGTGGATACTTCATGTTCCAGTGGACCTGCGCACTTGTTTCTTATGGATGCCGGTCAACTGGTCGGCTTAGCCCCTCCTGGGCGCAATTCCACAGATTAAAAGAGTATACACCTGCCAATCGAGAGCTGTAAAGTTTGCTGACACTCTGCCTTGGACTCCCATTGAAGTTCTGTGCAGACTCGAATCCACTTCGTTTGGAAAACATTCACTCAACGGGATCCAGATTTAGAAAAGCCTTTCCACTTCATTTCATCGATATCAGGTGTTGAGCCACGCACTGTCAAAAGACAAACCCTGATCCTACTTACTTTACTTTCATCACAATTCACTCCACGAACTCCAGAGCATCAAGTGCTTCAAATTATCTTCCCGCAGTTCCATCGCTACCAGTCGCTGAGCTGGCACACGATCGTCGGGCGGGACCACGACTCCGAGAAAGCGGACCGCTTCCCGGCCACCACCAACAAAACGATGCGGTGGTACCTCTGCCGGTGCTTCGAAGACCGGGACCTTATGTTGGACCCCAAAGCGTGCCTGATGACTGAGCACGTGTGGATGTTCGACGCAAAGGCGCGCCACGTCGAGAAAGTCGACGTCAAGGTGAGGCTATGCTCTCGAACGCGTGTGTCTTGTCAAGCTTTGGGACCTCGATTTCGTATAAGGAATTTTGAGGGGATCGAGGGTCCTGATCTGCGCAATCTTTATGCAACTTTCGAGCTGGATGTTGCGGGAGGGACATTCACCGAGGCGGTGGGGTGTGTCGAGTGAGCAGGAAACAGCATCTTCAGCGCACACAAAGCGAGAGCGGTTGTAGTATCTGCTTTGAAGGCTCCCAGGATCGTAGAATGACTCGGTGCTTGGGTTGTCAGTTGTTTCGGATCACGCAAACAGAATTGTCGGGTTGGAGTGACGGTAGTCAGTCGACCGTAGCTTGCTGCCAGACTGGTTTGAGCGATACGGCATTAAGTTCAGCCCTGAACTGGTTTGGCAGTGAGCGTCCTCTTCCGCGAGCGGTTTCTGGTTGTTATACTCTCCCCTTTTCAACCATCTGCTTGCTTCCATCGTATGCTGTTACGGTACCACAAGAAGCAGAACGTCCGACCTGCTCGATGAGGAAAACAAGTCATCGAATGCGTGCGCGTCCCGAGGTGCAAAGTCAGAGGCCCGCACCCAGACTTGCGGAGGTCCGAAGCTGTGTTCTGAAGCTGCTTCTTTCTGTTCGGTAGATGGAGGTCACGATGGGGCCGGACCGGGACCGGAAGAACGAGGTGCTTGTGATCAAGCCCCAAGGCGTCATTGCTAGAAACCAGGTAAGGGTCGCCGTCCAGCTTTCCAAGCGCTTCGCCTTGCTTGGTTAGAGTAACTGCGAGTTGTTGATAACAAAAGTGTGTTCCAAGGGACATGCTGAATCGTCAGACTCTGGTTCCTCGTTTGAATCTTTTTGGTTGAATGGGCTTGCGGGAAGTGGGTTCAAGCTTCTTGACCTGATCTGCAACATTCTCGCAGAAGAGCACTGCCCTTCTCGGCCAACAAAGTAGGGCTGGGTGCTTATTCAAGGCTCACACTTGCGGGTTTCTGTCGCAGGAGGATATGGAGGACCCCGGTCACATCATAGAGCGGGAGGCGCGGCACAACCAGCTGCTGAAAATCGAGGGCTACCTCCAAGTCTTCCGAGACTACAATTGGTGCGTGCCCTCCCATCATGTTTTGAGTTCAATCGGATTGATCTGATTGCGGGGCTGCTTAGGATCCTTGAAAATTTTAATCTGATTCTGTAGTTTGTGGTTCGCTTTATTGTGAGATAGTCATAAACCGCCATACGTCGTTTAGTCGAGCAACCAATGCGTACGCTCAGAAATTGAGTAGAATACCAAACCCTTGAGGTTGACTGAATGGTGCTTCTCCGATATTGTTTGTTTGACCGGGAAGTCGCGGGCTCTGGCAATGAGCATCTGCGTACATTTTCGTTTTAGTTCCTTCCAATGCAGCCGCCAATCGGCCAGCCAAACTTGAAGCGACCTATTGAGCGTGCTCTGAGCAAAGTACTGTTATCTCTCTATGCTCTGAAATCAAAAGTTTCCTGTGGTCCTGCTTGACGTGTACAATCGTAGACGAAGTACGGCTTCGCTGAGGTGCAGGAAGGACCCGCTAATACGCCGCAAATCGGTTCTGAGGTGCAATTTCCGGTCAGCGCGGTTGTGTCCTCATTCCGCTGCCTTTCCGTGCAGGGAGGGCCTCCGTCCTCGGTGGGAGGAGAACCTGCGGGATCCCTCCAAGGTGTATGTCACCCCGGAGCTCATTCAGGCGCTGATAGACGAAGGACGCTTGACAGACACTCCGCAGCTCTGGGAAAACTTGAAACTAGAGCGGCCTAAGGAGAAGGTGGCCGCTGAAGGGAAAGTGCAATTGCCCACTCAGCGGTTCAAGAGGAAGTAGTTTGTGCCAGTTCCTTGAAGTAGATAAGCTTACCTTTGGCGGCGATAATTGCTGTCCAAAACGAGGGCTTTCTGGGAGACGGTACTTCTTGTCCCGAGGTCCGGACGAGTAGGAAGAGCTTCAAGCCGGAAGGAGTGGCTCAAATTAGAGCGGTCATGGACGGGGTATTCCAGGATGAGTCACAGCAAAGCTGCCATGCTCGATTTAAGCATCTTCTACCTCTGGCCCCGGTCGCCGTGGACTTCGATCCCCCCCTGGTGTACAGATCAATCAGGCATCAGACCGTCGGCGGGCTGACATGATCTCGACCATGTAGCAATCACGCACGCTGCCGGCGCTGTCATGTGCATGCTGCAGGCGTGCTCCCGCGGTGATTGCATGCATGTCGAACTCGAACCAGCGAGCCTGAGTTTTGGGTACACGTATGGACAGGCATGCCATGCATGCAGCGCGCATTACGTCATGCGCTAGCCTAGATAGGTGACATGGCCTAGTATCTTTGATTTAAGGGACTCGGAGTAAGACGGATTCACGTGACCGTCCCATGCTGATCGTAAAACGCAGTTGCTGGGTTGTACTATAAAGCGTCACCATGGCTGCATGGCCGCCCTGAACCGCATGCGAAGACCAGTTTCGGTCGCCCTTCAGCTCCGTGCCTTAACATGAAACAACCGTTGCAAAAGATCGAAGATCGTGAAAGGTACGACATCTTTTACTCGATGAAGGTTGACGCACGGACCAGAGACAAGGCAAACTTGCGAGCAAAAGCATGCGCCAAACGTCCTCAAGCACGTTGGAGTCTGAAAGTACGTGAATCGAGCAGACTCGATTTTTTCGCGGTTTCATTCGAGAACAACTCGACTGCCTCTTTGGAGTTTCTTACTCGCTCTCTAGAAACTTTACTTATTGAACCAATTGTTGCCGCCGAATGTTCCAAAACCCCAACCCGTAGCCAAGTCTAATGAGAGCCAACTCGAAGAGCATGTGGAAGATGCTCGTGAAGCGTAGCTTCGACCCGGGTATCTCCGTCCACGTCACTGCCACCTCCTTGATTGGTATTCGCAGCGATTTCGCCAGGTATATAAGCTCGACGTCAAAACACCACCTGCAATTGCAGAGAAACAAGGTATGTCGCCAACTAAGCTGACTGAGGTTTGGAGGCGGCAAACATCAGGGCAAAGGATGCAGGAAAAGCAAGCAGCCAGAGAAGCACGGGAGCCTACAAGAAGTAACCAATCTGGACGGTTGGTCAACTTCTGCAGGCTTCTCATACAGGATGTGAACACAATCGACCACTGGTAGGAAAAGCAGCGGTTTCTCACTTTGTGAATGAAGCGGACAGATCTTTCGAACACTCACCTATGGACCCGCTGGTTCGGAAAGATCTGTTGGACGGCGGACCTTGTGAACATCTTGAAGCCGCACTGCAGGTCGAGAGCACATGAATGTTAGGACACAGGGCAACTCACCGCAAAGTGACGTCATGGTTCACAGCGTGGCAGCAAATGACAGAATTACACAGTGGCGTTGCCTGGCTTCAGAATGCGCGAGGTCATTCAGAGAAGCGGTGCGTGTGAACAGTGCATCAGGCCAGCTGAGATCGGTCAACGTCCGCTCAACAAACTTTGGCACCGCAACTAGAAGACCGACGTCAGTAAGAAGCAGGAGACGTGAGAGGCACCAATGAGGCGCCCGACCAGCGACAGTTTGCAAGACCTGAGATGTCCTCAGAGGTTGAGGGTTAAGGAGCGGGTTAGCAAAGCCGACGACGGCGTACCTGCGTGTCCTTGACTCCAGGCCCTGCCACCATGAGCACACACAAGTGGAAGCCCCGCATCAAAAAGTTTCGGTACCATTTCCGCTGCACGAGATCGAGCCGAATCAGGAATATGTTGGCGTAACCTTGCAATGATCTCAGCAACTCCCGGCGGTAGAGATGTGCCGCAGCGATTTGCTGGCAAATTTCAGTTAATGCTGCACGACCGGTCGCAGCTACGGTTTGAATCAGAAGGACCGCACCCTAACGCAGGACCGTGCATCTTGGATGCCTCGAGCGAGAATTGCGTGACGGAATACAACAGGACGCCAGGCGGCGATGGTATTTTCACATGCCAACCCCCTTACTTGCCTTCTCGCCACACACGCAATCGCCAAGCCCGGGCAATCACGTTCAAACCCTTTGCCAGATACGCTCGCTCTAACGCTCGAGCCCATATGAAATGTCAACCATCCGAAAACCCTTGTCAACGAAGCACTGTTGCAGCTTGTTTCTTTTCGGTCAGTTGTTTATGCGCAAACCTCAATTGTTAGAAGGCGGGTCTTTTTCTGCCGTCAGGGGAATTCGTACAGATTTCAGATGGCGGACTTTCAAACCCTAAAAGGAAGCCCCAAAGGGTAAGTCCCACCAAAGGGCCCACCTTGGCAATGGCCAGCTTCTCGAGGTGCGCGCGCGAGCCCACCGCCATCGCCGCAAAACTCCCCACGTGGCCCTTCAAGCTCTGCTTCGCTCCGCTGCGGGTGACGGGCGCCGGGCTCGCGCTGTGGACCGCGGTGCGCTCGAGCGCGAGGAGCTGGAAAGCACGGGCAGTCCGTATGTCAGGACCCGGGTTCACTGAAGGGTTAGGGGTTAACGGTCTCGAGCAGAGGGTTTTTGACGAAGATACTTCCACACCGCAAATAGACCCGGACGTAAAACCATTCTGAGAAGCCACGGGGCTCGTTTCGAGTTGGCTTGGGGCCCTTCTGCTTCGGCCGAGGTGCTTTCTGGGACAGCATCAAGGTTTGACTTCCACATGACCTCTATCACACCGTCCAAGACCCATCTCGACCACGCCAAAAAGCATCGGAAGCCTTTGACAAGTTTATCGTAGTTATGTCGTGTTGAGATTCCCTACCTCTTGCTCGAGCTTGCTGAGGTCATGTATGTCGGTAGCGGCGTCGGCGTCCATAAAGAGCGCCAGCTCGCCCCGTGAGCTCAGCATGCCCTGCAGACATGCAGGGTGAGATTCATGTGATAAGCTGACATGATCAGTGGTCCATTTGACAGCCGTGTACTTGAAGCTAAAGCGCGACAAGAGGACTCGTTTTGTTGGGACGTGAGTCAAGCACTTTTCTCCACTGGAACTGTATGACTGAGCGGCTGTAACATTCTTCCCTACGTCTCTTTGTTTGCGAGGACGACCTCCTATGTGAAGAACGAGCGGACGTTGCGGACCGACACTCGAGAGCTGAGAACGCTCGGGACACATTCTTGTGCAACAGTTATTGCGGCGCCACACCTTTAGCATCGTCGGAACGAGAAGCAGATGTTAACCTTCCAGGGACCTCCAGTTATAAAAAAGACTGCTCATCAGGCGGGACCAAAGACATACCCTCTGGACTGCGGCGCCCTTCCCCTGGTTGCGCCCCAGCTTGATGACGCGCACCACGTCCAGCGAGTGCTTCCGCACAAACTCAAAGGCCGCCTTGGCGGTCCCGTCCTTGCTGCCGTCGTCCACAACGATGATCTGAAACGAGGTTTCTCCTCAGTTGGTTCAAAGCAGCAAATTCAAAGGAGTACTTGTCATTACGGACAAACTTTTTCTTGCTGCCATCCAAAACGATTCAAAACGTGAAACGCTGGTATTCTTACCGAGGAGAGTGAGCTTCACAAACTTCTGAATGGAGGTTTGTTGAAGGTAGTCAAGTTCTGTAGATTTGAGCGGGTGGAAGAGTATGACGTCTTCGGGGTGCCAAGATGTTGACACACTTCAAACAAGACACTTGTCACACAAAATCGAACCCAACAAATACTGCACAAACTTTTCAAACCTCTACATCGTTTTCAAGGTGCTGAAAGCGATTCAAAAAGCCATCGCTCTTACTGGAAGGTGAGCAGCATTCTAAGTGTGTCGTTCCACGAGCGGTGGAAGTAGGAATAAAAATTCCCTCATTGGCCCGAATATTCACTGCCGTCGGTCAACGGGCGGACTTCCGGGCAAATAAATGCCACGTCGGCGGCACAGCTTTTATGAAAACTCGACCCGAGTATTTGTAGGGTCGAACAAAAATATTTTTCTCTGCCGGGACGTGGCACCCAATCAAATGAGACGACGCCATGTCGGATTTTGCAGTAAGTACGCAATTTTTTAATGCCACTTCCATCGGCGAGCTATTCCACGGGCGGCCGGAAATTGTGATATATTGAACTTCCAGGCAAATTGCGGTCTCTTCAGAGCCACACGTTTTATATATTTTGCTGACTTCCACCACCGCTCGTGGAACGACACCCTAAGGCCGTATCCCGAGTATCCAACCTGTTCACTTTCTACGGGACTGAAGACTGATGCATACAAACAGAAGGAAAAGAACAAGGTGAACTTACCTCGTAAGTGAAAGACGTGTCTGCCTTTGCGCGCTGCTGTAGAAAACTGCACGTTGAACAACCGACCATCGTAAGCCCTTGTCACACCACAATCTTAATCAAACCCTGACGATGGCCCTTGCTTTGGACCACGGCAAGAGCATAGTGGATACATTCAATGGTCTACTTAGCTTCAAGCGACACATCATTCTTGACGAGTTTGTACTTTAAGGTACCCATAATGAGCATACAGCGAAAAGATAGTCGAGGTGAAGCAATGAATCTGTCTCTCACTATCTAGGATCCTAGCAAGCATCCTCACATACTCCATCAACAGGCCATCCAAATCCGAAAGGCCGCGCTGACGCAGCTGGGGTTACTGTCTAGTAGCAGGTCACCTACCGGAGGGTTTCGTCGAGCGTGTCGGGAAGCCTGTCCTCCTCATTCATGGCGGGGATAATCAGCGAGATGTACTTGCTAGCGGGGGCAAAGACGGAGGGGAGAGGGACCTGCCAGCACCAAAAGCATAAGTTTTCTCTTTACTCAATGTTTCAGCACGATGAGGACCTCGCAGAAAGCCGTCTTGCTGTTTGTAAACAGGAGTTTTTGTGGACGTTAAGGAGAGTTGATGGCAGGCTGGCAATCTGATCACGTTTAGCACGTGGGATTGCGCCCAGCGCAAAGGAGCCTGGCACGGACTGGAGCGAACTGACACAAAGTGACCTTCCCGTTTGAGCGCTTGCTCAAATCTGGGGTAAGCCAGAAAGGGGGAAAAGGCAGTCGACTTTTCGATGAAAAGAAAGGGTCCCGGCAATACATGGCCCTGTTCCATCACTTTGCAGATTCACGAGCATTCTGCGCCATAAGCTACGACTAATCTCCATCTCTGGCGTGACACTGTCCCCAACGAGCCAACTCCTTTCTCGCGCCGCTGATTGATGCCACCACTAGTGAGCATTTCAGCTTTCACAGCGGACGGATCCTCACCTTCTCCAAGGACGTCGGGTCCTCGAGGAAGTACGACGTGCTGACATTCCTGAACAACCAAGAAACGAGTATCAGCAAGAACCATTGTGTGGGGCGAATGCCGCAAGTGTCCATGTGGCATGTGTGTCTTGGGTGGAGAATCAGGGTTACAATAAGAATGCAATGAAAGCATCCAGTGCCAGCTTAATTAGACCCCGTGAGTCCCTCTCTCAGCTCGCCCCTCACAACTGGTAAGTTCTAGGCCGCCTGGCAACGAAGCACGCGTGCTCGAAATCGAGCTGGATGCAGTGCACATGCCGGACAAGCTGAAGGTGCATTTCGGAGGTGGAATGTGGCTTGCTTACTTGCTGATATGATCAAGATGGCGAAGCCTTTCCAGAATGTATGTTGACACCCAGATAACGACGAGCGTCACCTGTAATTACAGAGAAGCCATAATGATCAGGTGCCCCACATTAAAGTACAACATTTGCGGCAGATCCCACACCCATCAGATGAAAATTCATCAGCTGTAGCATACCTTGCAGAACTCCGCTAGACAAACGAAAGCTGAACATTCAAGGCAGTTCTCTGTGGCATCACTGATGGAGGCAATCGATCTCCCAAATATTTCCTGCATTCCAAGGCCTATAACCAATAAGCGCCAACTTACCACAGCGAGTCCGACATAAGCCACTGCTGGTAAGTCTTGCGGCACCATCGCCTCCGCTTTGCTAAAACCGCGCGCTCAGCGTCCCTTCATACCCAGATTAGCTCTCCGCAGGCCCTGCCACATTGCTCTTGACTTTGTTCACCATCTCGGTCGGTCTATCTGCGGCTTATCTGCGGCCAAATAGGCATGCTGCATGAGCGCTGCCAGCCACCGGATGCATTGTGTCTGGACTCAGGAGAGGTGTCGGTGGCTCAGACTCAGAGTACAGTATGTAAGGCTGGAGGCAACTCTGGGTCAACTCTGGGTCAACTTGGTTTGACTGTACGGTCCTTTGAACCGTCGATTGCCTTTTTGCAGCCGCTAAGTTGCTCAAACTTTTGAATTTTGGCCAATACCAACGCTTCGATGACAAGCAAGTTCCTAGGGCGGGTTCGGACGATCCAGACTGCGTGCTCAAACTGGCCCAAACGTCCATTTCGTCCGACTCCATACCCCGTAACCCCGGGTTAGGTTGCAGAACCCTGGGGCAGGACGGTTCGTCTTGGGCCAGCGCAAGGATACGACACCCTCATGCAGAAGACAAGCAGCTCGCATATGGGAAGCTCTCATAGCTGAGCGCTATTAAGGCAATCTATGGCAGCAAGTCGTATCTGAGCGGCGAGAAGTGGTCGAAAGGTGGTGGCTCAGGTAGATTGTGCTGGAGCTGCTTCTTTTGTGTGGAGCAATTGAGGAATCATGGCAGCAACAGCCTTGAGGATCAGCAGCCATGCACCAACTACGTGGCTCACGACGGGAAGTACGAGAACATCGAAACCTTCGCATGAGAAATCCATGCAAACCTCGACAAACAGAAGCGCCAACTTTTTTCAATGCAGCAGCGCCTCTTTCCAGCACCTTGAAGCAGCGAGCAGAAGGGTTTCTAGAGTGCGGAGTGCCTGCGAGCCCTTGACCTTTACAGGCCTGTCAGTCAAGGAGCGAGCTGTGAGTAATTCGAGGCTGCAGTCGAAGTTGCCTGCCATTGAAAGATTGGGCTCTGGTTGCTCATCCTGGTTTGGTCAGCAGACCAGCGCAAGAGTTGATGGCCCTGCGGCTGGACGAAGCAACTCAACCAGATGCTCTGCAAGCGCAGAGAGCACTCAGGAACAGCAGGTTAGAAAACGTCACCAGCGTTTGTCTTGCTTTCTCGGAATGAGGGGCCTTTTTTCCAGTTCGAAGCCCGGTGCTGGGTGTGAAACCAATCTTCTGACCTTGGGATTCGATCACTGACCTTGTTTGGCAAATCTAAAGCAAGCCTTAACCGTGGCTTTCTGTGTACACATGTTACAATAGATAGAGACATCAACTTCAGTGCTAACAGAGCTAGTCTTAGAACAGCACTTCATAGACTATCTAAAGCTTTTCTCATCTGGTGGTGTCATTTCTCCAAATTGAGATTCATTGACTTTGAGAAAACCACCTTCTGGTATCATCCGACTTGTCCTTCTCGTGTCGCGTTTGGTGCCAGTTTCTTCTGCAGACTTCCGTTCAATTTGGATTGTGAGATGAGGTTGCTTTTATATAACTTGTTTGCTTGTTGATAAGTACTTTCATGTTCGTTTGGAGTTGATGAGCGGTAAGTTTTGCACGTGCATGACGGTCTCTTTTGAATGAGTTACTGAAGAAAGGCTGCAGGCCAATCGACCTTCGAAATGGCTGTGCAGATTATGGAGATTCCGAACGTCCATTTGTTTTCAGAGTACATTCTGCATTTGGAAGATCAAGGAACAGTCCATTGACACGAATCCTCCATTGACACGAATCCTCTCTTTCGTAGAGCGTCCTTCAGGCCGGAATAACTCGCTGGACACGTCAGCACTTTCAAACACCTCCGAATGTTCTGCAGAGAATTTCAAGCCCCAGCGCCACTCCCCGCCCCGCTACCAAGCGCCCCGCCGGCAGCAAGGACAAGTTCGAGCGCACCAAGCCCCACGTGAACATCGGCACGATCGGCCACGTGGACCACGGCAAGACCACGCTAACCGCCGCCATAACCATGGCGCTCGCCCCCAACAGCGGCCTAACCCCCAAGCGCTACGACGAGATCGACTCTGCCCCGGAGGAGAGGGCACGTGGCATCACCATAAACACGGCGACAGTCGAGTACGAGACGCGGGAGAGGCACTACGCCCACGTGGACTGCCCGGGGCATGCGGACTACGTGAAGAACATGATCACCGGGGCGGCGCAGATGGACGGCGCGATTCTGGTGGTGTCGGGAGCGGATGGCCCGATGCCGCAGACCAAGGAGCACATCCTGCTGGCAAAACAGGTTTGGCACTTTTCCCCCCCGACAATCCAGTCTGCTCTCATAGTTACGAAAATTGTCAGCATGGTTTCCCCTCGTCGGACCGCTGGTTGCTTTCTTCCTGCTCTGCAAGCTCCCGTGTTCGTGCCTCACTGCTTAATGAAGCGCTCATCGGATTGCCCTTTCGGTCTGATTGTCTGGATTCCTGTATCGACGACTTAGAATGTACGAACCAATCGCAACGTCCGAGAGACCTTACCCAATGGAAGTGCTTCCCATGCAAGCGCTTCGAGCTTTGGCCTCCCGTTTCCAACTCGAACGGTTCTGCAAAGCTGCGTTAATATGTTGCCGTCTTTTGTCTCATTGCTTCTCGAAGTTGTCCAACTGTCTCAATTCAGCCGCAAACAGCTTCGTTTCTCAGAAGTCCCTCGTTCCAGGGAATCGAATCTGCGTTTGTCGAATTTGCGTTTTGCATGTTTCTTACTCACCAAATCCCCGATCCCTGAAACGTAAGGGTTGACCGGTTTCGCACCACTTCTCCGTCTCCGTCGGAGAAAAAGAAGGAAAGTAGTTTTCCTGGACACATGACCTGAACACGTCGACTGCGAGAAATGTCAAACCTTGAACCCCGTCTTCTCTGCAGGTCGGTGTCCCTTCAATGGTCCTCTTCCTCAACAAGGAAGACCAAGTCGACGACGAGGAGCTCCTGCAGCTGGTCGAGATGGAAGTCCGCGAGACGCTCAACTACTACGACTTCCCGGGGGACGATCTCCCAGTCGTCTCCGGCTCCGCGCTGCTCGCGCTCGAGGCGCTTAGCGCGGGACCCGTCGCGCGCGGTGTGAATAAGTGGGTGGACCGCGTGTACGCTCTCATGGACGCGGTCGACGAGCGCATTCCCACCCCCGCGCGCGAGACGGACAAGCCGCTGCTCATGGCGGTCGAGGACGTGTTCTCGATCACCGGGCGCGGGACCGTGGCCACCGGGCGCATCGAGCGCGGGACGGTGCGCGTCGGGGAGCCGGTGGAGCTGGTCGGGCTGCGCGCGACGCGCGCGAGCACGGTGACCGGGCTGGAGATGTTCAAGAAGCTGCTGGAGGAGAGTATCGCCGGGGATAACGTGGGGATGCTGCTCCGGGGGGTGCAAAAGGCGGACATCGAGCGGGGGATGGTGATTGCGAAGCCGGGGACAATCAAGCCGCACACGAGGTTTGAGGCGCAGGTGTACGTGCTGAAGAAGGAGGAGGGCGGCCGCCACTCGCCGTTCTTCGCGGGGTATCGGCCGCAGGTGAGGGCGCGAGGGCGGCCTACTTATCTGGTTCGGGCTCGGCAATTGCTTTGCTTGAAGGTCTTATTGTTCAAGACTTCATCACGAGAATTTGAAACGTGAATTTTGAACGTGGCGACCAAGAGGTAAAAGTTCTTGGCTTGACGAGTGTGCGCTTTTGACTCGAACCGGGTTCTGTTCAGGCCAATGACAACAATTGACTGGACTTGCAGGCTAGGTTTTCCAGACACGGTCAATGCCAGAAGCTATTTGCAAGGCACCCTGTGCTGAAACCTTGACGATATCCAACACCCTTCCGTGGTGAACCTTGAAATTTCTGTTTGTCAAATGAGTTTGCTTGTTGAAGTCAAAAGGCCGCAGGTAAACTCATTCTTGATTACAACTGCAGTTCTACGTGCGCACTACGGACGTCACGGGGAATGTGCAGTCGTGCTGGAACGACTCGGGGGAGCCGACGCGTATGGTGATGCCAGGGGACAGAGTGAAGATGCAAGTGGAGCTCATTCAACCGATAGCAATCGAGAAGCAGATGCGGTTTGCGATTCGAGAAGGGGGGCGTACGGTTGGGGCGGGTGTCGTATCCGAACTGCTCGACTAGGGGGAGTTCAGAAAAAAGTCGCGCTCTCGGCACTCTCGGTAGTCTTTGCCTCGGAGTTACCTCTGAGAGATGCGAACGGTGTGCCGGCTAGAAGGTATTCCTACCGTATTCACAATTGCTTCAATCATGGATGATTGGAGCCATGCAGGCACAGATAAGCTTCGATAGGGAACGCTGTCACTATACGATATAGGTTTGATCCTAACGATTTTCTGTCGAAGGTCTGCAAATGCTGACTGAATACATGATTAAGAAGAGATTTTTACTTTGTGAATGAGCGGAGGCTGCTCATGGGAGATTTCCGCTGCCTACGAAGTTGCGAGAAAATTTTGTGTTGGAAAGTACGTTAAGCGACGCGCCCCTTGTGGGAGACCAGATTGCATTTTAGCCTCAAGTCTTCGTACTGCAGCATCGATGCCGGACAACTTCAGCATCCGCAGCCTGTACCGTCCAGTCAGAAGTTCCAATTGAAACCGATTCGATCACGCTGTTTCAAGTCAAATACTGTCTTGACGTATGTCTTCTACCAGCATCAAACACTTTTCAGGTCGGATGCTATCGTGAGATTTGTTTTGAGACCACATCAACATGTGGATGCGCACGCAATACAACAATAGTACTTACTGCGCGTTCGCGAACCTGCGAAAGTGTTAGCTGATCAGATCCAACATGAAAGTGCTTGACAGTTGAGAGAGTCTTCTCAGATGATTGATGGGTTGCGACTACGTTGCGACAGCTCAATGCTACGCAATCCTTGGGCCTGGCCCCTTACCATGTGCGCGCGGCTACTTTCAAGTGAGGTACGAGGACGCGGCCGCGGAACATGCTTGCACGCGAACGGTCAGGCTTTAGCGACTTCCAATTCTCGAGCACATCGACGGTGGCAGTTGCTTGATTGACATTTAAGAAGCCAAGGAGAGTTTCAGCAAGGATGCCACGCTGGCATCACCCATCCCGCAGCTGTCTCATGCCAGGCATGGAATCCGACCAAGTAGGAAAGAGAGGGTTAAGCTTGTCATCAACACTGTACGACAAGGCCTCTGTACTCTGATAAGTCTTATGTAAACAGTAGCTTAGCCTGCCTTCTTCTCCAATCGTTGTGTAAGATGGTGATGGCTTGTCGGACGTAAGTACTCACCCGTGAGTACCTCGACGGAGAGCGAGTAAGGGGCCTGTAATACCGTCGAGTCTGAGGTCTGCTTTTTGAGGAAGACGCCTCACGAAATGTGGATTGTTCGTATGTCGTTTCACAAAGAGATTGCAACTTAAGGGGACGAGGCGGGCGCTGCCACAATGATCGAGTACTCTGATACATGGGGTGGTCTTTCCTTGCTCAACAGGCTGAGAGGCTCGCCCTTCCCAGCTTCAGTCATCTTTGCTTTGGGAAGTTCTATCATTGCCGTACTTATCTCTTCTTTGGCTGATGGGAAGAGATATGGGAGCTACTTTGGGGACCCAAGCGTTCCTGGTGAGTGTTTTGGCCTTCTTTAGGCATCATGATTCCGAAGATGAACTCGCCCTAGGCCCTATCTTTGCCTGCTAGTGTGCTGCCATGCAAGATTTTCTACGATTCTGTCAAAGGCATCATAATCCGGTAGAATTATCATGTTATCATCAACATGACTGCCAAGGTCCAGACAAGTTGTTGAAATACGTGAAAGATACGCTGATATTTTGCAGTTCAACTCTTCGGTTTAATACTGGGCGCAATCCTGGTTGGGAGGCTTTTCGCTGCCTACAAAACATTCACATCTGCGGAGTCAAAGATGAGGCACATGTCGTAAGTTACATTTCTCATTTAGTCAACTATTCTAGTCATCCAGCTTAAACATGGTGTTTTTAACTCTCATTAAACTTCGTACTGTCTTTTATCTCCATCACTTTGCATGTCTTCGTCTTAGACCTAGAAAAGTGTTATTAACATATAGGTTACATTTTTGCAGATCTAGATGGTCTGACGTCATATTGAACGGCATCATCTTTGATCAATCGTCCGAGATTACGCCAACTGCAAGAGAGGGGCCAGTGTTCCAGCGAGATTTTGTCCATCTGCTCAGCCTTCTTCACGCTTTGGCTTTCATGGTAGGTCTCATCTTTGATCAAGATTGAAAAGCAGACTTCAATGAGAATGAGGCGATGTCTGCGCTGATCTTTGCATCTTTGACTGCCTGTAGCAAAGACATGCATGGTCGATACATCTCACATGTTTCCTGATACAATTCTCGAATATGCTTCTGCAAAAACCGATATGTCAGGCGCATAATGCCAACAAAAGCTGTATCGCAATATGAATCTGACCAGGTAATACAATCCTGCAGCATCTTCGAGGCGATCATCTGATTGAGAATCTGGTGAAAGAAAAGGAAGTCTCACACATGAGAGCTCCGTTGCGGCAAATCGGAGGAAGCTTTGGATTCAGAAACTTTCTGAGGTCCGCAGCCGGAATCTTTCAGAGCAAGGCAGAAAAATCCGCGAACTTGAATCGAGCAAAGCCCTTGGCTGTCATCAATGGCGTTACGGAGAATGAAGCTTACTTCCTCCGTGGTTGCGACGACAAGGTCCAATGTGTATTGGCCTGGTGAGAAATTTCTGCAAAAGTCTCCTCGGATTGAAGTATGGCATGTCTAGCATGAGCATATCTAGAAATGGTGGGTCTCTTCTGCGCTATGAGATCCTACATGAGAAAGATTTCTTAAACCCGATGGCGGATATCTGATATCTTTCTGCTCTTTTCCGTTCAGGATTACTCGGTTAATTGTCAACCGGGCTCGAGCGGGCGGCTTGAATGTTCCGGCGCCTGCAGTCGCTCTTTTGCACCAATGGCTGTCAGGTAACCTGAAGACTTTATCCACTTGCAGACGTCTAGAAGCAGCGGCGATCGAATCTCATGGTCACTTCTTAGAACGTCTCACTCTTGAGACGAAGTTCTTGGTGGCAATTACTTTTGTCAAGCGTCACAATGGTTCATCATCTCCGAATCCACTCTCGTTTAACTCACACTGTGTATCGAAGCTGCTGCAGATGGCCAAGCCAGCTTCATGGAGCTGCGTGGTATGGTGGACACACCATTTCCGTTCCCGTTCGCTCAGCTTATCGAGCTCCTCCTGTTTGCTTTCACCATCCTTCTGCCCATCACGGCAGCAGGCTACTTGTACTCCCCGGTTTTGGTCTGGATCTTCACTCTGACCACTGTATTGGCGTTCAGAACCGTTAATGAGGTAAGATTCAGGCGCTTTATTTTACTTTTCCAGGTGTTCTACCAGCCGCAATGAATGCGGATTCTAGAAAGTTTCACTTGCTGCGAGCATCGACTTTAGCCATCAAAATATATGTTTTCTTCAGTGGACTCGTCAATCCTGCACCAGAGTAAAGCTGACGACAACGTCCACGTTGCTTGCAGGTTGCGAAGATCCTGGAACGTCCGTTCACAGCCTATCCAAACAACCTACCTTTGCAACTGTTGCAATACGAGTTCAACTTCCGGATCGCGTTCCTCTGCAAGGAGTTCTTGCTTCCAACCCCAGGTGGATCATTGCGCAACAGCACAGAAACGGTACCGCCAGCCACAAGGGGTCCAGCAACGGAACAGAATGACAAGAAAGCACCAAGTCTTACAGCCGAGAAAGCCGCTGAAGGGGCAGGAAAGGAATCGACTCCTTTGCAGCCTCCGCCACCAATCTCTCAGGCTGACAAGGCTGACCGTTGGCGCAAACTTCTGCAGCAAAATGAAGCAGGTCGATCTCTACAGAAAGGTACAACCCTTGTAGCCGCAGCAGTTGAGAAGCTCAAAGAACAGGGGCTTATAGTGCAGGAAAGCGCAGAAAGATCCGTTCCAGTCCGTGATGGGAAGGGAGCAACGTCCCCCGAGAAGGCCAAAACTGAGCCTGACAACCCCGGTATTCGACAGAAGGCTCTTCTCCAGCGAGTTGGCGAGGACTCGGATGAGGATGTGAAGGCAAGGAAGGTCGATTACGGAGCAGCTCAGGACCCGCCACTAACGAAGGCCCAAAATATCACAAGAACCTCGAGCAATGCTGCGTATTCCCCCGAGCGCCGTTCGCTTTCAACCGGGCGAATTCGATCACCACCAAAGCCGTCTCGCCAAACCAGGGAGCCGCGTCCTGTGGAACCTCTCAACATCATGGTGGACCAGAAGAGAAAGCCCGCTCCTCAACGCTCGAACTCCGAAGCCGGTAAGAATAAAGGACATTCAAAGCCAGTAGATGGGATTGGACGTCTGGCCGTCGCACAACCCAGCCTGCTGGGTTTCCCCCCCCATTTGCGAAATCCCTTAAGCAAGGGAAGGTAACCTCAAGCATAGAGATATCAGAGAAGTATTTTCTTCCAACGGTCCGTGATGAGATTCTCATGAGCTGCTGCACCAACTTTCGCTTCATCGAACGGAACCGAGGAGAGTTGTGCTCTACAAAAAGCAATCCTTTGTGTGCAGGTAGCTCTCACATGCCGGAACGGAGGAGACCGTCAACTGGGGGTGCCGATTCCAATACTCACAAAGCAGTGACAACGCAGCGCGATGAGGAAGGCCCTGCCAAGCAACGCGGCATCCGCCCGTCCTTCATCGAAACTGCAGAGAACCTGCTCGAGTCAGTGGCCAGCGACAAATCAAGCAATAAGCCAGACCCTCCCAAGAACCCGACGGCAAACGGGCAGAATCCGAAGGCTCAGGAGAAGGTTGCTTACACACCGGGTCACCACGGAGACGAGGATAACGGCGACATCTGCTTGTACGATGAAGAGGCTGCGGCTACTCCCGCACCAGCGAAAGAGTACTTGCCCTGGTGACTGTAGTATCACAAGAAAACTGGCTAACTCGTAGGATATGCTGTCAGTGGGACGTTGCATTGTTCTTCTTCGCCGGGTAGGCAATGAAGACCATGTAGTGAGCTGTTTGTAGAGCTTGTTCTTTATCGATAGTATTGCAAATCTGTTGTCGAACAGATCGATCACTTCAATCTTGCTCAGTTCAAGCTACAGTAAGCGACAATGTCACAGGCTGCCGAGCCGATAGTAAAACGCACTTTGTCCCAGAATTATTTGAATCTTGTACCGAGACACAGCCACCCGCGCCTTGTTTTCTCAAAGTGAACGCGCATGCGAGCTCTGCCCTCTGGTCGTGAACGCGCAATTTTGTGAGCTGCCAAGTGCAATGGGCATGCATGTGGCATCCGATATAAGACAATTGCGACTTGTCTCCAGATGAGAGCTCGCCGGGGAGATACGAACCCGGCATGTATTGCACATGAGCCATCATGGGCATGGCATGCCCGCGGCGCGAGCAAGCGCACTGCATGGGCCGGCAAGCTCGATCATTCGGCGCGCCACACGTATCGAACGCTCTTAGCAATGTGTTCGGCGTCGGAAGTCGTTCGAAAGTGTGCACTTTTCACATGGATGCGACATGCTTTCCTTGGAGCGTTATAAGGACTGGCCAGCTGCAAGCCAGCTCTTGATATGGCGAATGCCAGCACTGCCGCGCGTCTGCATATCAGCACGAGCTATTTGTATCCGCGCAATACGTACCTTCAGAATACATCTAGCTTACCGAAAGTATGCCATCTCTACTTCGCAGCGTCCTCCATGCCAATGATGCTTCGGATTGCATTGCCAGAGTCGATGCATGCATGATTGGGGGGGCATCAATTTCTCCTCACGGAGAGTACCAATTGCCATGCACGGCCGTGGTCGAGAGGGTCTGCATACTGTACCTTGATCCAGTCGGAGCGCTGACCAAGGAAAGCTCTCAACTTTTCCACAGAAGACTCTTTGAAAGACTCGATGAAGCCCGCGGATCACGTCAGACGCGTATGCAGAAGCGCTAGCATCAGTACAACTGTGAAGTACGTCTAATGAATCTTTTTAGCAAACAAGATGTAGTTGACCCCAGTATCTTCAGCGAGTGACCAGCTTCGTGTCAGCGGATTGCACACCATTCCCGCCAGCTCTTCTACCTGCAAAAACAAGCAATGAATATGAATCCAACAAACACTGGGTGCAACCCAACTCAAAAAGAAACCCAGCATAAGCCGCGGCTTCGTCCCTCCGTTCAATGAACATCCGAGTGGCAGCCACCATCAACACGTACTCAACATTCGGATAAAAGCTTGAAATCAGCGAGCAGAATAAGGGCCGATCACTATCGACTTTGCGGTACCTACCTCCAAGCCCGCTCTATCCAGCGCCAGCGCGAGTTCCTCGGGAGTAACAAAGCGCGACCAGTCGTGCGTCCCTCGAGGCACCTGAAGAAACATTACGGTGTTGATCGACCTTGCGAACGAACCGATATTGCAAACCAACCCAAGCCTTCCGGTAAGGCGAATCTCTGTCCCTCCAAGACTGCCGGATCAGATGCACATACGTATTGTCTATATTATTGCTTTGATGACCAGAGCCTCTACGTGAAGGCCGATCTGGCACATGCTTGGTAAGCCTCTGAGGAAGCACACCAGTCGTTTGTAATCTGAATTGAATATTCGTTGCTTCTGTAGGCCGCGGGCTCAGCAGTCACGCCAGGAACTCTGACCCCCTTCTAAAGCCAGCCAGAAATCCGTTCGGCATCAGCACTGTATGCTGCATAGCGGGAGGCCTATTCACACCGGTACACATGGTTTTTTTGCAGCAGTACTCGACATTTGCACAGACTATCATGGCCACAAAGCTTCGGCACAACAACTCACCCATCGAAAGAAGCACAACAACTCACCCAGCGAAGGACGTATTCCGCCGCCCCGATCGCCAAGGCGTACGCACGGGGCGTCCGGTTGATGGTCGACATGAAGACGCCGCCGGCCGTCCGGCACAGCTGTCCGAGCGAGCGGCAGAAGCCCAGGGGGTCTGCCACGTGTTCAACCACCTCGAGCGCCATAACGGCGTCGAACTGACGACCCTCCGCAACCAGGGCCTCTGCAAAGAGGAGTTGTTGAGAATCTGACGAACGAACCCGAAGAAGTTTTGTCTCAAAGGCTGCAAGCACACACCAAGGCTGGAGGATAGAGACTGGAAGGGGGGCGCAGGAACCAACTGATATGGGACTCGATACTATGAATAATAAGGTCAAGCCCGGGGGACGGGTGGGGTTGGCTTAGTGGTTAGGGTGGGTCTGGGTGCGGAGCGGGTGATCGTTATGTTAGGATCTTCACTTTGTCTTTGCCCGGTGTAATGACCTTAACGCCTATGCAGCATATAATTCATAGAATCAAGACTAATCCAAATTGCCCCCGTGGGACCTTCCCCTCTGTGATTGCCTCGCTTCTGAAGCAACGAAAAGACTGTGGGCGGAACTTCGAGGCCCTGATGAAGGCCGCCCTAAGATGCGTCAATCACACTTGCGTCTCAAAGTCATTCTCACGTCAACTTGCCCATACAAACACAAAGAGGTCCCAGCTGCTCCTGACGTCGAGAGGACGACCTTTATGAGGCAAGAAAGCACGCAGAACGCATGAGAAGCGCTTGTCGAATTCTTAACCACAAGAGCTCACAGACTTTCAACCGGTGACTCGTACCTGCTGTGGTAGCTTCATACTCGGTGTTTGCGATAGCAGGGTCCTTAGCCTGTGAGAAACAAGGACGTGAGCAAGTGTTCAATCCGAGGATGAACGAACCTCTCAAGAAAGGTCGAGAGGAAGATTGACAGCAAGAGAAAGTCTTGCTGGCCTTAAGGTGTGGGCGAAAACTGTTCCAGATGTCAAACACGTCCCACTTACGTGTTTCGAAGGTCTAAAGCCAAACATGACTCCTTCTAATGAGACGAGGCTCGAAAGAAGAGACGACAAACGATGACATTGTGATGGTGAAATGCGGAGCCAGAAGACGGATCTCGGGCAACGGAAAAACGTTTTTTGGTTGCATAAGCAGTTATTGCAACCCGTCTTGTACCAAGTGGGCTCAGATGTCACCATGACTACCCGCATGTCGGTTCTGGAGATAAACGGCCGGATGGAAACTTACTCTCACGCTTGCAAAGCAACCCCGTTCCCTTACGAACTACGCGAGGTCCTGTGGTTCGCACAAATCTACGCCCTGGTAGGATTGACGCTGCCAATGAGAGATGGACGGGGGCTTTATACAAACAAGGAAAACATAAGACAGAAGAGGAGACAAGAAGAAAGGAGTCGCCGAGCGTTGCTCACCGCATGCAGTTTGGCCACCTCGATATTGACAGCTGTCGCGTCCACCCCGGTCACTGTGGCACCCATGCGTGCCAACGGCTGCGAACTCACAGAGGAAGCAGTGAGAAGCAGTAAGTCGGAAAACAACCGGCTGAATAGGGCCGAGTACCCATCCTAAGCCTCTGCCTTACTTCTGCTTTTTGCGTCAAAATTGGCATCCGAGCTCGGATCGAAACACGCGTCCCTCAATTCTCGGGTCGCGATGTTGGTTCTCAATCTTTTCCAAGCTACCCCCCCGGAAAGACTCCTCATTTCCGTTCCGGTCGCTGTTGAGCAGGGACTTCGGTCGGGCGGGAGTATCGATACTTTTTTCGGGGGGCATGTCTATCAACGATCAAGGAACCAACGTCGAGGCTAGAGATCGGGAAATCCGCAATTCGATCGAGTCGGGTGCCGAGTTTACGCGAAAAGCAGTAGTGGATGATGCGTAACCAAGGCAAGGGAGAATTATAGGGAAAATAAGGTAGATTGGCTTATCACATCAACTTGGACTGTGTGCTGTTCTGTATAACAAGGTTGCTGCTACAGGAGATCGACAATACTGACACAGGTACGATATTCCCCACCCTCCTGCAACCCAGTCCAGAAATGTCAACGACTTGAAACCCCATACTCTTCCTCACCTCACAGAGCAAGCCTCCCCCGCACCCGACGTCGAGGATGGTCAGTCCCTGCAAGGGCGCCGGATTGCGTGCGTCCCTGCCAAAGTGGTGGCATAGGGCGGAGCGGATGAACGCGCAGCGCACTGGGTTCATCTTGTGCAGCGGGGCAAAGTCACCATGGTAGTCCCACCTGTGGAAAGAGGACGTGGTTGGGAGGTATCCAAGTAGCCCCAAAAAGAGCGCCGGCAGAAGGCGCGTAAGGAGAAGATGGAGACTTGAAGGACCGAACAGGTGGGCGCACTTGTAAGCTTCGCTCTGCTAAACTAAAGTGTTAACCATATGAGGGTATCCAGCTGGCGCCAGCTTGTATGGACAGTTGAAAAGCCAGATCCCAGAGAAACTTTTTAGAAACTGAAAATACGAACTGATTCCTAAGCCAGATCCCAGAGAAACGTTTTAGAAACTGAAAATACAGACTGATTCCTGTGAGGATTGGTGTAATACAAAATTATTCTTGTTCTTCAGAGATTGCTAATATTCAAAGACTACATGTCAATCACAACGCGAGCAATGGGATCCCAGCGCATACCAGCTTGCTGAGGAGAGAGTAGACTGCCAATGATACCAGACACGAGCATGTATGAAGTCCGAATTCAAGAAATTGTCCTCCTTGCCAGGAGTCTGCCATAGCCGCAAACTTCGCAACCTCGCCCGCGTCAATTGAGCTCTTGCTCTGACTCTTCCCGCTCGGTGAAGAAGCCTTTTGCGGCTGGTGACGCTCAGTCCCTTCAGAAGTGCGCCCTGACGTCGATGGGGTCTCCGCTGAGCTCCTCCCACTTTCGCCCAATTTAAAGTCCTTATGATTCTCAAGGTGGTTGGGTCGAGCCCCCGTGCTAAAGCACAAAGCACCACCATGGTGGAAGCTGCGGGGACTCAATGCTGTGGGAATAGATATGTCTTCTTGCTTCTTAGACTGGTTTACTTGACATCGCTGGTTTGCATCAGACAGAGGGGTTAAGCAACTTCCAGGATCAGAGACAGCACAATGTTTCCCTGGTGCTGCGGCACCGCTGTAAGCATGGGCAGCAATTGCCAACACGGCTGATGCGCCAGGTGGCAAGCTCTGGCTGGAACGCTGGGTCTGCTCTAAGATAGACGAAATGCGCGACACTCTAAAGAGGGAATAAAAGAGCTGTCTCTCCATGGCGCTAAACTACACCTCAAAAGTGCGATCCAACAGCGGGCTCTGTAGCCGATCAATTGAAGCCTTAAGAACACAATCTAGCAAAACTCCAGGTCTAACTAATCCCGATTTGTTCTCAAACTGGCACTTGCATCGAGCATCAACGCACCACCCGGTTCTGCGGCTGCCTCCCTGATCAAGGCGCGTTGCAAATTGCAATTAAATTGCCCGGACCAAACAGCCTACCTAAGCTTTTAAGCATGTTTAGGCATGCCGCATGCCGATGCAGCTCTCTCTTCAGCAATGCACTTCGCCAGCGTTGTCCGTCGCGTTGTGCGCTTTGAACGCGACGAGGAGCTCGCCGTCATTGTGCCTGACGGGCGTGAATATTTCCTGCGGAAAGGTTTGCATGCAAGCCGTTACCAATGACGCGAGACGCCGTTACCTTTTCTGTATCTCGCTCTAGATCCGAGATCCGAGAGTTTCCAGCAAGCCAAATGAAGTTCGGACTAAAATTTGAGCCTATCACAGGCCGCCACGTCATACCCCCCAGAGCCCAAAGGTGTGATGTTGTCCGGGAGGGTCGTACCAGGGGTCGAAACCTGAAGTGGGAACCGGGGTACGGACCCAAGTGGTCCCAACCCGATTACCGACTCAGAGGTAATGCCACTAATTATGTACCTTAAGTAGGTTACTTAGGGAGAAAATTTTCTTCCCCAAAAAGTCAATTACAATATTGCATCTTTTTCAGGTATGGCCTTATATACATACATATTGGCAATTGGATCCGAGGGGGAAAACTCTGTACAAGTATTCTGTTATATTCTCTTCTCCAGAAAGTCAATTACAATATTGCATCTTTTTCAGGTATGGCCTTACATACGTACATATCGCCAGATTTGAACTGAAGGGAAAACTCTCTACTACTAATCTGTTATAATTCCTTCCCTGGAGAAGAAAGAAACTATAACAGATTTTAGTATAAACTTTTCGGACCGCGGCCGAGTTTGGTGATATACATGTATCTAAGGATCGCAAACCGGTCACGTATTGTCCAGCATGGCAGGTATAAGCCGTGACCAGGACGCGAGGATCACCTGTCCAACCCGTTTTTCGTGTCCTCCTGTCGATTCATCCAGTCAATCACAAATATCACATATATCGGGTGATATCGTCAAAACATAAGCGGGGACTTGGACACACGATTCACCTGTCCGTCCTGTCCTCCTTGTCGACTCTGCAGTGTTCGTAAATTATATTCGAACAGTCTACATGATAAGTATGGGTCAGATTGAGGTCTGTCCTGTGATCGTGTAGACTTTCTGGATGAAGGGTGCTTGAGCATGAAGGGGATGGACCGGACACCAGAACTAACCTTACTGTTCGCCCTGTCTCTCCCCTGTTGTCCTGCTAAGTACTAGTCAAAGAATCCCAGCACCTGTCCTGTCTACGAGTCTTTTGTCATGCAAGGAGCATCTTCGGGCGCAAGCAATATCGGTGTCTGCGAGATGACTTTTGCACACCAATCATCTTGGTTGGGAACAGGTCGGGAGATCAGCACTCTCCTCTTCTCTTCACATTCTGCCTTCCCAATGCTGCCTGGCTCGTTTCAGAAGGAGTAGATGATTGAAGGTAGAGACATCAGAATGGATCCCATTGAGGAAGTCAAGTCGGAAATAGCAGAGGTCAAGGAACAAGTCAAGGCCGTTTCAGCGGAGATCAAGGAAGCGAAGGAGGGCATCGAGCGC